TACATCATCGGAAGAACCGAAAATAGCCACGTCGTCAGCATACAGCAGCGAGTTAATGATGGTGATATCCGTGTCTTGGCGACGACGATCACGCAGGGTGCGGCGTTCCAGCAACTGAGCAGATGCTTCAGTGTAATCAGCAAGTGGTACAGTGCGGATGAGCAGTGGTTGGCGGCTGCCAAGTCGTAGCACCTTGGGCAGCGAGTCGATGAACACGGCGTACAAGATCGGGCTAAGGATCGAGCCTTGTAGTACACCGCGACGAGGACGGATGGCACGCGATTGGTAGTTGCTGAGGATGACGCTGATCGACACCTCGTTGAACATATGCCTGAGCAACTCAAGCAATGCTGGCTGCAGATGGTCAGTGAGCGCTCCCCAATAACGTTACGGTCGACAGAATCGTACGCCGCTTTGATATCTAGGAACGCGACAACGGGTGGCTGATCGTGTTGGCGTTGGAATTGGCGCATCAACACTTGTAAATTGAACGCCTGGTCGAGAGCACCGCGGCGAGCCCGAAACCCACCTTGGGCTACATCGAGCGCAGGCATCTGTTGTAGCAGCACTGGCAACAAGCACCGCTCGACGATCTTACGAAACGTGCTTGTTAGACTGATCGGCCGATAATTGGACGCAAGGGATGGATCGCCTTTCTTGTGGATCGGTACTACCTGTGCAGTGCGCCAAGCAGCAGGCAAATACGACCAGCACCAACAAAGACGAAGAAAAGGGGAGAGCACCGATGCGAGTGGACGAGCAATCGGCTTTAGCATCTCACCACGAATATGATCTGATCCAGGCGCTTTACGACCTGGCAGCTCCTTGCGGATCACCATGACAATACGCTCTAGTGAGAACGGATCGTCACCAACATCATCCAGCTGATCGTAGCGCTGTTGCGGCGGGTCAGAGACCTCACCACCAAAGACACTAGCTAGATGAGTGATCATTGTTTCGGCGGCATGGGCGGGACCTTGAGGATGCGAGAACGTGGCACCTTTCTGGCGGTTTCGTCTCATGCTCTTGATGACGCTGTTGGCCTCGGATGGGTCGTTGCGTTGCATCTTGGTACAGAATTCACGCCATTGGCGAGTACGAGCACGGCGGATGGCGATACGCAGCTCGTCTCGGGCATCGGTGAACTCCTTCCACAGGGTGGCTCGTGCAAGGGTGGCAGGTGCATGTCGCCAGCGACTGTAACGTTGCTGCCGTTCGTCAGCAAGCTTCTGTAGCTCTGCGGTCCAGAACCACTTCCACTGCTTCGGTCGGGCTTGCCCTCTAGTGACACTTGCATCCAACGCTTCGTATACGGCTTGAGTGATACGCTGGCCAAGCTGTTCGATAGCCGCCAAGTCCAGCTCATTGCGATCAAGACACTGCTGTATCTCGTCACTAATCGGTGCGACATTGCGAGTAAACTCATCAATGTAGACCGTCTGGATATCTTCTTCATGCAAACGCTGTAGCTTCCAATGTGGCGCGGCGCGTTGGGAGCTGGCAACCGGTCAATTGGTGTGTGAAGGAAGAAGTCGAACTGGCAGAGGTGATGATCGGATCCAAACGTCAAATCATCTCTTACTACGAGCGAAGGTGATATCACTGCAGTAGGTGAGGAGATGAAGAAGTCGATGATGCTGGATCCAACGTTCGGTTTGTGGAAGGTGTGTTTGCCGAACGCGAGTGTTTCGTTCCATACAACAATGCCATGGTCAACAAGCCATTGCTGCAGGAATCCTGCTCGAGGATAAGTGCTGTCGTTATCGCCGAGCTGTGCACCAAGACGAGTGTTGATGTCGCCGAGGATTATGGTGCTGTCGTCTATGGTGAGGCGTTGGATGGTGGCGGTGTAGTCGGGAAAGGAGAGAGAAGGAGGTAAGTAGAGACAGTGGATGGTGTAGGGTCCGATCGTACAGGTGATGGTGTAGCGATTCGGATGGTCGTGAGGGTGAACATGGTAAGGAAAATCAGGGCGCACAAGCAGCGTTAGCCCGCCAAAGCCGACTCGTGCGTTGCCTGAAGTCCACGCATAATTATGAAATTGCGTCCATGGTGTTGTAAGTCGTCCAGCGAGTAGTTTAGTTTCCGTTAGCAATAAAATATCAATGTTATTTTCAGTACAATAATTAATTAACACATCTGGCGATCTTTCGATACCATTTGCATTAAGTTGAGCGATCTTGATGGTGTCACTCATTAATTATTGTCTTTTGCCGCGGCTTCGATGTTTTTTGAGGTGGTGGTGGTGGTAGAGTTATTGGCAGAGATGTTGCCCATGTCAACATCCTCTCCCTCTCCCATGTTGTTGTTGCTGCTTTTGGCGCTGTCGTCCTTGCGGCCGTCGTCGTCCTTGTTGCTTGTTGTTGGTGCTAGGAATGCTGACGCTGCTTCTACTGGTGTCAATTCCCTACGACGACGGAATTGCGGTGCTGGGCGCAGCTTCTGGAACTCAATCAGCATTTCCGTAGGTAGCTTATGGGGCCCGTCATAGCTGTCAGCACAGAAATAACGCATGATTGCGTTACCAAGATAGGTGTGCGGCATTTGAAGGCATGTGCGGTAAATGCGTCTCTGATGGATATCGATTGCCTTTGTTGTTTTTTCCGTTGCTGTCATGGTTTTGAGCTTTTGATCCTTAATGACAGTAGGTGACAATGGATCAAAATCGACAAATTTGATGCTACCTGGCACCAGTAGCTGCTCAAGCTCATTCTTGAACGATTGATGGATCAATAGGCCTACAATACCAGTAGTAGGGAAGTGGACGTCAAGAATGCGGGCCTGTGGTACCTTGAGGATAGCAAGGCGTTTACGCACTTTACTATGGCGCATGCGGTGGGGGCTGTTGAGGTACACAAACGTATACCCTTGTGTGGCAGTAGGATCTATTGGGGCAAATCCACGACTGGCCCATGCCATCATTGCTGCTGTTAGTGTTTTCACAACACGACGGGTCTTTTGCTTGTTGTTGTTGCTGCTAACGTTTTTGCTGGCTGCTGCTGCATACGTCTTTTGCTGCTGTTGTTGTTAGGTGCAGGTTGTTGTTGCTTTTGTTGTTTTTGTTGCTTTTGCTGTTGCTGCTGGTCCATGCGATCCATCAGCTTGAGCTGGCGTGCGAGACGCTTCTCCCGATCTTGCTCTTGTGTGCTTCACGGGCACGCTTTTGCTGCTGGTACACAGCTCGAGATTCTGGTGTACCCGCGTGTACGGACTCAATAGTGCCTGTAAGACATTCATCATCTTCGTACTCAGGGGTGCTATCCATAACAGTCAGTGTTGCTGCTGGTGGCACAGGGGGATGTTCTCCCTCGAGCTCGGCAATACGCTGATAAGCGAGTGCTAATTCTGACCGGAGTTGCTTGTTTTCTTTAATTAGAGCGGCCATTTGCTCTAATTGCTCATCGTGGGCTGCAATTTTTTGCTGGAACGTGAGGAACCAGGGAGGGATTGCTGTTGTTGTTGTTGTTGTTACCAATGCTGCATCCTCCTGCTCCTGTGTATCGGGAGTGATGTATGCAGAGAGCTATACAAGAGCTCTTGCTCTTGCTGGTTGTTGTTGTTGTTGTTGGTTTGCTGTTGCTGTTGTTGCTGAAGGGCGGCGGTGCCGCGTTCGGCGAGGGGGCTGTTGCTGCGGGTGCGTTCGGACTGGGGGTATGGTGATACCTCTTGGCCGTTGATAAACATATCCGCGGAATTGATGGTGTTGGGGGTGGCAATCTCTGTTGTAGTAGGTGAAGGGGTGGTGTGGCGTTTTTGCCGTTTTTGCTGTGAATTTCCTTCTATAGGGGAAGGGGTCTTCTTGATAGGGGAGGGGATATGGGTTGCCCGCTGTGAAGCACGCCGTTTTGCTCTAATAGGCAAAGCCGATGTGAGGCGTATGGCCGATTCTGGTGCTGTGGGTGATGCAGGCACGGCTGTTGTACGTGGTGAGGTGGGAATATTGGCGGTTGCCTCGGGTGTTACGCGAGGCGAGTTCGAGGTCGTAATTTTTGGGGGGTGATCGGAAAAAAGGACGAGTTTTTGGGGGTGCAGATTGAAGAAAAGTATAAAAAGAGGTGGTTTTCACCGCGCGCAATGCTCGACAGATGTCTCTCCTCCTCTATGGTCCAGTGGTCAGGATCCCTGTCTTTCACACAGGTGGCCCGGGTTCGATTCCCGGTGGGGGAAAATGTGAGCATTTAAGCTTGTATAATTTTTTGGGATTGTTGTCGAGTCGCTTTTTGGCGGGTGGATCCGTAGCCAATGAGAAAGGATAAGAACAAAGGGTAATCAGAGAATAGAGGGTTGTTAAAAGATACTTTTTATTGCTTGTGATAGCGTGGCTATTTATAATCTTTTTCTAATAAAGTGCCTCGGCGCTTGCCATATGCTACAACCATATAATACGATACAATTACGATGCTGTCGAATCCCGCCTTCTACTCGTTGTTTGTGGTGTGTTCGTTTGTATGTTGTCAACGTATTTTTGCGCCGCCAAAACGGAATAATTAAAGGCTGGTCATTTTTACTATGACACATCATCTATAACCAATGAAAAAGGAGAAGACCAAAGGATGATAATAGGATAGAGGGCTTGATTGAGTTTGAACAGGATGAAGGGAACTTGGAATACGAGAGAATTAGATAATTCTATGCCTTCTTTTTATTTGATGCTTCTTTGATGGGTATTTATATGTGTACTCCTAATCGCTAATGATGGCACATGATTCTTACATACTGATGGCTACGTCTTTTCTGATCGTTTAGATGGCGGCGTCATCATTGATCATCTCACATCATCCCCTTCTTGTGAAAGAAGGTGGTTCATGCCATGGGTGCAGGTGCTTGATATTTGCGGTTGTTGTGAAACAGCTTGGACCTTGTTTCTGGACCTTGTAGGATGTCCCTTCTTCATTGTTTTTTGCGAGTATCACATAGGGGCCAGACCAGCGTTCTTTTGGAAACGATGATTTCTCAAGATTTCTTTGGGTAACCAGGTCGCCAATTCTATAGTCATGTTTTGTATTCTTTGTTTTATCGTAAAATCGCTTTTGGCGGGCTTGTGCGGCCTTGATATTCTTGAGTGCTTCTCCATGGATAATTGGTATGTGTGAATTCAGATAGTGTATCCATGATTGTGTTTCGTAAGTCTTGGCTTCTGGGCACAGTTCGTTGGGTAGAAGAACGGCAGCCCGTCGACTGTACATAAGCTCAAATGGTGTCTAGCCAGTTGATGATTGTTTTGCCATATTGTACGCAAATGTTACAATAGCAGAAATTCGTCCCACTTGCTAGGGTCTTACTCCACATAGGCGGCCAACGAAGTCTTGATGGTCCTGTTCATGCGTTCAACAAGGCCGTCGCATTGAGGGTATTCAACCGAGGTGAGCGAGCAAGACACACCAAGTCCGAGACAAACAGCTTTCATAGCATCCGAAAGAAAATTAGAAGCGTTGTCCGGCAAAAGTCCTATTTGGCTTGCCATACTTGAGCACCATTTCATACAAGAGCACATGTGCCACATGATCGGAGTCAAAGCTTGGAAGTGCTGCCGTGATGCACCACTTGGATAAGTATTCCACAAGAACAAGGAGGTATTCGTTTCCCTTTTTGCTTTGTGGGAACACCGCGATGTCCGCCGATCATATTTTGCCAGCGAATCTTGGCAATATTGGTTTCATCGGCGCAGCTGTCGACGTGGTACTATTCTTGTATTTTTGGCATGACATACATCCCTGAACCCAAGCTTTTACGTCTTCTTGCATTGTTGACCACCATGCTAGCTGTTTGGCCTTGTCCATGGTTTTTCCAACTGCAAAGTGACCTGCTGTTTTGTCGCCATGTGCTGTTTGGAGAACTACTTGGATCATCGTCTGCGGAAGGACTGGTCTTGTCAAAATTTCATCTTGTTTTTGAAATAGAATGTTGTTTTTCCACAGGAACGGCTCTTCTATTGCCTGTGATAGTATGGCTATTTATAGTTTTTTTTCCTAATAAAACTGCCTCGCCGCTTGCCATATGATACAATGATATAATACAAATACAATCACGATGTTGTCGAATACCTCCTTCTACTCATTGCTTGTATGCTCGTTTGTATCTTGTCAACATATTCTTGTGAGGTGGTATTCTGTATGTTGCAATCGTTTGTAGTCTGGCAAATGTCTTGTGCCGTCAAAACGGCCAGTCATATTTAGTACAACACTAGGAGAGAAAAAGTTTAGAAAAGAGGAGACAAGTGAATGCTGGATAGGATCGCAGAAGGTGGAATCCGTTGAGGAGGAGATGATATGTAGGTACTTCCCTACCACTGCCATTATTGGCCTCATAACTCGTCAATTATTCAAGGACGAGCTCGAGTTAGGGGTCGCAATTGGACGGGTCGGGTCGGGCCAAGGGTCTGACCCATTGACCCGCGGGTTAAGAAAACACTGACCCGACCCGACCCGTTCAACCCGACGGGTCAAAACTCGGGTTGACGGGTCAAGACTGATTTCGATATGGTGATGAAGGAAGTGTCAATCAGCCTGAACTTGAGCACTGGAAGTGCAAAACTCTATATATATATACAAAGCTTTCTAAGATGATGGCACGCAAATTTCTAACAGTGCTTGCAACATCTACGTTTTGTGTGATTATTTCAAAGGTAAAGGGTTTTGTGCCATCACAAAAGAAATCGCTCGGGCTCACATGTATTAAAGAAAGCATGATGGTAAAAGTGTGGTTGAAAATCGACTTCCCTATATGCCCCTAATAATCCCTTTCCTTTTCCCTTTTCTTATCACTTCTTCCTTCTTCCTTCGTTTTTCTTTTTTCAATTCCTTTTCAGTCTTTTGTTAAATCTCGTCTCTTACTGCCACCCTTTATTGTCCGTTCTCATTGTACTATTGCTGCTTCTTAACTCCTTTTACATATATTGCTTATAGCTTACTTATCCTTTACTCTTGAATATAAAAGATAATCCCACAATAAAAAGCATTTTATGTTATAGTTCTATAGCAGACATATTGATAACTACATCCTATAATATAATGATGCTTCCCAACAAGAAGATTGACTACTTGAATACAAGTACCTCATACATATTATATGTATACACGGGTCACAACGGGTCAACGGGTCGGGTCAAGGGTTAGACGGGTTGACCCGCGGGTTAGAAATGCATCAACCCGACCCGTTGACCTGTCCTCAACCCGCGGGTCAGATTGCGACCCCTACATATTTTCAGCTACAAAGCCAAGTACAATTAGATCTAAGACCGTTATACAAGCCCCGAGTTTTCATGTGGGTTCCTCATTTGCTCGAGACTGTACTATGTCCAAGCTGCAAGAAAAAGCTGGACACCCATGGATGGCCAACATCGTCTGCTGCCCATAGAGTCATCGATATCACGGACAACTTTTAAATAATGTCCTACTGTTATAAATACAACAATGGATGCAATACAACATATATGGGGCATGACGAAGAGGTCGTTGCTATGTTACCACCCGAGCTATCGAAGAATTCCCTACTTATTTTTTGCATCGCAGCGGCGTGTCATTTCAAGTGATGCGACTAATGTACAGTACCTTCGCTTCTGGAATAGGGCCCAAGCCATTCATGCGTATGCTTTACGAGCTCCATAATCTTCGACACGACGGTCTGGAGCATCAATTCGTCAAAAAGCGTGAGCACATTCAAGACCAACAGAGGGAACTCGAACTTAAACACAAGCAAAGAATGCTGAATAGTATGGTGAAACGAATTAAGATTGCAAAATTTTCATCATTCGAGGATACTACTACTGGATACTGTGGCTTCGTACCAAGTGCCAAGTACTTCACAGAACTTTTCAATGGCTTTGTGGAAAAGTATGTACAGATCACAATCAGTACACAAGCTCCTTATCAGCAGACGTCGTGCATGTTGATCACAGCTATAAAGTAAATTGTTGATATAGTATGCTTAAATTTGATTGAGCTGTTAAACTTCCAATCCTTAGGTCCCTGCTCACCTAGGTAAACTTGATGGAATGAAGATCTTTGAGGGCTTGTTTACCATGACCAACGAATTCGGCGAGATTCGCTTGCAGTGCTTTGTACTGTCATCATCAATGGACTATATACATCAACCAATCTACAACATGTGCAAAAGCTTACACAACTTCGGTCATCAGTGTCCTCAGGTTCTTTTCACAGACAAAGCTAGCGTAGATAAGACATTTTTCGAGGAAGTCTTTCCTTCTTTGCGCGAAGGCATCCAATCTCAACCATTGCATCCATCTCAGCATTATCTAGAGCTCGAGCTACCACAACAGTTTTCAAACCCTCCAGTACTTAGTACAACTGCCAGTATCAACAGCGCTCTTAGAGCACCTGCAGCGGTCGCTGTTAAGAACCTGTTATGTTAAATTTAACAGTTTATTTAACAGCCAGACCTTGCAGCGGTTGCTGTTAACGTCCTGTTAAATTTAACAGCCCGAACAAAAACTGTTAAATTTAACAGTTTCTTGAATCGAGAAAAAGGACTTGAAAAATAAAGCTATATCTCACTTCATTCTTTGTTTGTATTCTTCAAATTGAACAACGCTACTTCTAACGCCACTCGCCTGTCTGACGTTTCTGCCGCTGCCCCCTGCTCAAGAGAAAGGGCAAAGCTTTCATTGAAACCAACGACGTGTGAAGTTAACAGCTTCGTAACAGTAACCGCTGCACGAAATGCCCTGTTAAGCTGTTACGCACTGTTAAGCGGGCTGTTAAACTCTGAAATTTAACAGTTTCGTAACAGCGACCGCTGCAGGTGCTCTTACCCTGTTATTGGAATCAAGTAGTCAAGATAATCCCAGAAACAAGGCCGGATCAAGTTTTGCTGTTGGTTTTGACGCAGAATAGAAGTTCAACAGAACTAGTCAGGAGCCTTTTCCCGCCACCTTGCTGCGTACACTGCGCACCTTTGACATGTCATCCCCAGCGCCTCAGCCATCCTACTTCTAGCAATGTACAAGTCCCCTTTGCTTATACTTACTATCTGTCACTTATCTTATATAAGAGCTACCAGTTAGCTTTGAACTCACAAAAAAAAATAATTTATTTAGTCTCCACTATGAGGAGAAAAAAGCATGAAAATGAAAATATATTTTTTCTTCTTTGAACGAGATCATAAGATATATATGATAGCTGGACTTCTGTCGGTTCCAAAACTCGCGTGAAAGTATACAATCTTACCTTTCCTTCATACTGTGCGGCATTTGGTGAACTACCGTCCTTTCTACTATCTGGTTTGCCTATCAAGCTGCAATATATCATGGTAAAACAGGGTACTTGTCGCCGTATTTCAAACACCATTAGTTGGTGCTTTTAGTACTACAGCTTTAGCCATCATAGTGTAGACTGCCCGCTTTGCTCTCTCCAAACTAAAATGAATCGTTGAGTTGTTGCTTGGCTATTATCGCATTTTCTCCGTCCTCCAGTCGACCAGTCTATCCATGTAAATTTGCGATAACGATTACAACACCACGTCGTTATCGAAGAAGAGCCCCTGCTTGATAAAGCGAATTTTGGCGAGTCGTTTCTGGCTGAGTTAAGCCGTGAAAATCAGTTGTTCAATGACGATGGTCAAGTCGCTTGAAGTAAACGTCTTTAATATAGCCAACTGATTAGTAGATGCGTTTTGTCCACGGTAAGAAATTGAAGTACCTTCGCAATTGTTTGGGATCACTCAATTAAACTTGACCGAATCGGGCTTCTTGTATTTTGAGTGACATGTATAAAAATAGAGACACGGAGCATTGACGTGAACTCAGAAACCATGCGATATAGACTTCTTCCTTCTTTTTAGAATCAGCAGGTAATACTACAATGCGTCCGGTCTTGCTATTGAGCACTTGTTCTCCAAAATCGCTTTTTAGACTGATCACAATCAGAAACATGATAAAAAAGTTAGCAATATTTGTTGGAATGTTACCGCAGCTACAATCATCAGGCGATATAAAAGCGTATCCAAAAGCGTATCCATTTTGAAAAAAGCGTATCCAAAAGCGTATCCATTTTGAAAAAAGCGTATCCAAAAGCGTATCCATTTTGAAAAAAGCGTATCCAAAAGCGTATCCATTTTGAAAAAAGCGTATCCAAAAGCGTATCCATTTTCAAAAAAGCGTATCCAAAAGCGTATCCATTTTGAAAAAAGCGTATCCAAAAGCGTATCCATTTTCAAAAAAGCGTATCCAAAAGCGTATCCATTTGAAAAAAGCGTATCCAAAAGCGTATCCATTTTGAAAAAAGCGTATCCAAAAGCGTATCCAAAAGCGTATCCATTTTAAAAAAAGCGTATCCAAACACAAATGGTTTCAAAAATAATTAAATAGTCGATAATGAAACATAATTAAATAGTCGATATTCAAACAAAAAGCACCATGTACAATAGATCGCTGGCCTTAGCACTAGATTGCGTGCCGTCTCTGTACATGTTTTATTTTCTTTACTAGCAAGCCACAACAGTACCAGTAGCAATTTGATTGCTACTGCTATAGCACGATAGCCTTGACGTCCTGCCAATAAGACATTCTTTAATGTCGCCGTTGTCGTCATGTGCTCAGTACTATAAGTAACGAAGCTTTTACACAGCCTCAAAACTGCAAATGCTATGATACCAACTGTGTTGGTGTAACGAGATTACCATTATAGTTTTACCGCAGCAAACAAAACTTGTGGGAGTCGCAGGAATCCGCAGTAACTGAGAAACTTCGCGAGATTCCATGAATTACACCGTGGTATAGCTGGTAAGCAAAAACAAACTCGGTTTATAAATAAACAACACAAAGTTTTGATTATTTTCTTAGCTCTCTTTCTCTCTATTTCTCTTGTTACATAACAAAGCAACTAGTGAGAAAAGTATAGGATGGAGAAGAGCAACGAGCGTATTTATGTCCTTGGTGCCACTGGTAATGTCGGCTCTGTTGTGTTGGACAAGCTGATCAAAAGCGGCATTCAGGTCACGGCCTACACTCGTACACCGCCAAAAGTTGCCAACACGTCTAGCACTATCACCATTATTCAAGGCGGTTATCACGACTTGACACCATTTAATGAATCCATTGCCGGTCACACGCGCTTGTTTCTGCTTGTGCCTGACATGGATGACATGGCTGCCATCAAAATTGCACTGGCTAAAAAGGCCTACGAAGCGGGGGTGAAACAAATTGTCGACTTGTCAGTCCAATCTGTGCCTTGGCGTCAGTACCAAGCGCTGCTACCACACCAAGTTGCAGAAAAGGCCATCTATGAACTAGCTAACAAACCTTCACGAAATCATGGTTTCGTGAGTCTGCGGCCGAGCAATTTCATGAGCAATCTATTGTTCAATCTCGAAACTATCCAAAAACAGAGCACGATCATGGATTCTGCTTCTGCTCCGGACGAGTTGCAAGAATGGATTTCGCCATGCGATATTGGCGAGGTAGCGGCACGTATTTTGATGGATCCAGTCGAAAAACATGGTGATGCTGCATACGAGCTGGTTGGCGATGTCAAGACACCCCAAGAACGTGCTCAATTTTTGTCTGAACTGTTGGATCGCACAATAACGTACACTCAGGTCCCACCACAAACCATGTATGATACTTTCCTTAAAATGGGATCCGCTTCTGATCTTGCGTATTGTGCCGCTACGTATCGCGCCGTAAGTCCAGCAGTGACTCGTGGTTTGCCAATCCTGCTTGGGCGACAGCCTGAATCAATTCAAAAATGGATGGCTCGTAACAAGAGCGCTTTTTCTTAAGTTGATATTCACCACATGATAGCCAACTCTAGCTTAAATAAAAGATAATAAAGGACAACTCAAGTGATATATAGCGACAATGAAGTGAGTTCACTAGATTCATTACAGTAGCGTATCAACAATGAATGTAGCTGAGCTGTTCTCTCTCCTATTACGACGCTGTATGCCTCTTGGACGAATGCATCATTACAGAGCCATTGCAACTACAGTATCTTCAATAGCAAGATAAATCAGAAGAAAAATACTTTTTTTCATTAATGCAAAGTAAAAAGGAAGGATGAAAAGTGTTTTACAGAGAATTAAGGTGGGGGTGGCTGAATGAAGATACTAGAAATACAGCGGCTATTGATAATCTTATCTGCCACGATACTGCTGCTGATGCGGACGGTGATGATCATGTTGATGCTGCTGCTGATAGCCACGAGGCGGTAAAGGTAAGGATGAAGTGTTATTTACATTGGATTGTGACCGTTTTCTGACAGCCTGGGCCTTTTGTGATGAGAACAATTGGTTGAGGGCTTCAATGATGTTGGGTGAATGAATGGAATGTGCTTGAGCGAACTGACGCGCCACGTTGAGCGGATCATCGTACAGATGAAGATGCACGGGTATCTTATTATCTGCGCTTAACTCGACATTGATGGACACAACGACAGGATTATCTGCGCGCGACGGAGGCGCCACTTTGGTCGGTGGACTGAGTGGTTTGTCAGGCCGATAGTTGGCTGGTGTGGGGCCCTTAGATCGAGTTGAGTATTTTGGTCGACCGGGTCGAGAGAATCGACTTGGTGCCGTTTTCTGTTCACGTTTGGGCTGTTCTGTTTCTTGTTGTCGTGTTGCGTCAGAACCCCAGCCATTATTGTTGCTGCTCCATGTAGTATCAGTGTTGCTATTCCAGCCTTGGGTTGCTGACGAATCGTTCCATGGACTAGAAGCTGAACCATCCCACGATTTTGTTGCGGGTTTCCATGAATCATCGTTGTTGGATACAGGCGTAGTAGCCGTTGTGTTTGTTTCCCAATTGGATGTAGGCGCTAGCACCGAAAAGGGAGACTGCCTACCTGGTGGCGTTATTGGTTTCGCTGGGACTGGTGGAGTAGACGTCGTAGTACTAGTGGTGTATTGCCAAGATGTGTTTTCTGCAGTAGTGGCGGGTGGTGTTACTGGTTTTTCTGATACTGGTGAAACAAAAGACTGCCAGTTGGTTGTTGATGGTGCAGCAGCAGGAGTAGGCGCTGCTACTTTTGCTGGTTGCGTGGGCGACGCAGCTGGTGATACAGGCTTTGCGGGTATCGATGGAGTTTTCAAAGTAGTAGTGCCGGATGCTTGCGAACATTTGTATGAGTCGCTATGAGATACTGGTGTAGATGGTGCAGTAAGCGAACTAGGCGGATTCCATGACGTTGGATGCTGCCATCCGCCACCAGCTTTCATGGCTGAAGTATGTGGATTGGGGTGGTTGGTGGTTGCGGTAGGATTACCAACTGCTTCTTCGTTACCCAGGCTAGGAGTAGCTTTCTTGCTGGTGGTTGACTTGGTGGATGATACCATAAATTCATTCACCCAATCAGCCGATGGAGGCGGATGCCACGCAGGCGGCACTGTTCGTTTGGTAGGCGTTGTCACGGGCGACGGCGTGAGCACGTCTCCCGACGACCACTTGGATGCCCCAGAGGATGTGTCCAATCTTTGTAAAGATTGCTGGGGCTCTGTCTCTTCAATCAACTTGGTATCTTCCTTTTTCTTTGCAGTGCTCTCCTTTTTGAAGTAGGTTAATAACGCCAACTTTATTAATCTTGAATTTTACACGCGGTTTGCACGTCCACTTGTTTCCTCTCTTTGTCATTACCTTTTCCATTGGTCCTTTCCAGAACGGCTCCTCCATTAACAGCTTGCCTACCCACGGATTACTGTTGCTGCTTGCGATGGACGGTGGGCGAGCAGCAACAGGTGGTAATGATGGTGATGCTGTTGGTGTTGTGGTTGCAGGACTCACGATATTACTAGCGGCTGTGGGATCGCAAGCAGCAACAGGTGATGATGATGATGGTGCTGTTGGCTTCGTTGTGGTTGCAGGGCTCACGGTATTACTATCGGTTGTGGGGGTTGTGGAAGCACCGGAAGACGCTGTTGCTGTGATAGTAGTAGTAGCAGTAGTAGTCGTACTGTCAATATGGAAAACATTACTGGTGCTGTTGCAATTTCTCAGAGTCGTAGTCGTAGTTGTAGTTGATTTTGTGCTTTTGGGTGAGTGTAACGCGATAGGAGGCGGTTGCACCAACGGATGACTGAAGCGAACTGATGCTTTCTTTTTCAATTGCGATTGTTTTTCTTGTTGTAGTTGTTGTTGTTCAGAAGATGGTTGTTTTGATGGTCGAGGTTGTTTTAGTTGTTGCTCAGGAGAAGATGAAGATGGAAACTTCGTCACTTCAGTAAAGTCGTCCCATGGTGCCGTTTCACGATAGACAGCCAATGGCTTGTTTTCGATTGGCGGCAATGGTGACGGTGGCGCTACATCGTCAGTGTTGCCTGCTGCCGTAGTAGTGGTTGTGGTTGTGGTGGTATCGGATGGAGAGAACGATTTTTTTCGTGCGGACGATGAGAAATTGCTGCGCGGTGAAGAGAAAGGCTTTTTACCACCGCGTGCAGAAGACGAAAAGGAACGTGCCGATTTCCTAGTGTTGGATACAAATCGTCGAGACGTAGGCCGGTCTTCCTCCAGCTCCCGAACATAACGCATCATCTTTCTTTTTCCTCGGGCGTTGCGCTCCCTGTGTGCCTTTTTCTCTTCTTCCGTTTTCAAACTGGCACCCTGGAGCCGTTGTCGTAGAATAAGAGTTTCATCAACAGGTCGATAATTCGGTCCTCTTCGATGTAAATCGCCACTGCCCACACCATTATTACCAAGCTTGGCATTAGGATCGATTAAGGAAGCCCAGTCGTTTACTTTGTCTTGCTTTGCGTTGTTTCCGTCGTTGCTGTTGTCTGTTGGTTTTTTTTGATCACCCCAGCTCGAGGCGACAATGGGGGCATAGTCGTCGTCGCCACCGCTGTCAGTATCGCTGCCACTGGTATACTCGTTCATTTGTATGTGTGTGTATATAAAGAAGCCCGCTCTCGCCTTTGTTGTAATCGTCACAGCAGCATGTATAAATGAAGGACTGAGATTGCGAGTAAATTAGGGTGTTGACTTTGACAGCGAGTGAACGGAGCGAGCGGCAAAAGAGAAAGAGAAGCGTGTGGAAGAATTAAAAATAAAGGTGATTGGTGTTACGCTGAAGGTTCTTCTGGGTCAGTGAGAAAGGAGGCTACCTACTGAAACAGCAGAGGATGTGTGCAAAAAAGAATTGAAGATACTAAATAGCCCCTTTTCATCTACCCGTCTATGTTGTCGCCTGCCATCCCTTTGTTTTTTTCAAAGACAAAAGATACCTTATGTGACAAAATTATAAAACCAGCAAGTGTCGTTTGTCAGTTGCATAAAAAAAAAACTTTCCCTCTTCAAGTTGAACACACGCACATCGCTACACGTAAATACCTACATATATAATTCTAGTCACCGACTAAAGCACGGCATGACAGTACATCAACTAGTGGGCCAGTATTACCCTTCCGATCAGGAACAGCTCCTGCAACAAATTCAAAAGCTGGAAAGCTTGATTATTGAAAATCACAAAGAAACCATCAAGGAATTGAACAAGATCCGCTGCGAGAACGATCAAATAAAACAGTGGCTACTACACCTTGAATCGACAGCCACCACGCCAATCGCCTCTCCAGCCACTTCCTCCTCCTCTTCCGATCCTATCTCTAACGCTACAGAGCCAGAGCCAAAATCCGAAATATTCAGCCGCTCAGCTGTTACATCGACAAGAAAGGCGCCGGCAATACCATCGTCACCATTTCCAGTTCTACGATCAATGACAAGGACATACAAAGCAAATAAAAAACTCCGAACGCGCCATCAAATACCTTCTTTTGCATCCTCATCTTCTTCCAGCGATAGTAGCGACGAGAAAGGCCCCGAGCAAGAAGAAACTAGAAGCGATGTTGAAGACCCGTCGAGCAACGAGTCATATGTTCCAGAAAAGGATGACGGAAGCAGCGACAGTAGTCTCGATACGGACGACAGTGAATTGCATCCACACACCCAACGAGACGCTGCTGCACTATCGTCGCAATTATCAATTATAACTCGTAGCCAAGTTAAATTCGGACGAGGACGCCCACGAAAACAAGTCACAGAAGACGAAGAAGAAGTGCAGCCACGGAAGAAAACGGCAACGGCCAGAAGAGGAACACGAACTTCGTTGCGACGCAACAGCCAAGAGGCGATATTGACAGAAAATGAAGTGGACGAAGCTGGCAACGACGGCGATATTCCTATCTATAATTTGAACAAAGAAATCACGTCGGTCAAAGATGTATGGCGCGAGTGGACCGACGGCGTGACCGACGATGAGCCAGCTGTTAAAGAGTTAGAAAAACAGTATGGCGACTCTTGGCGGAAAGATAAAGACAACAATAACTTGTTCTTAAAGGTACGACTACCAATCATTAATGAAATCAACTTAATGATGCGATACGGCAAAGACACAACGGATGTGGACGCTGTGCGTCGACTGGATGCTCACCGCATGGGTAAAGCCCTTAATTTGGCCGACTTGGCAAAACGAATCAAGGCTCATAGTATCATAAGTCAAGGTATGCTACTTAACTTACTGTTATTCTGATAAGCTTTATTTCTCAAAGAATGATTGTATCCTTTATAGAACGCGGTGTTGCACCAGTACCATTTATCGACTAATTTTTGAAGACCAACCGGCCAAACTGTTATTAACTCGCAATTAGAATTCAACCACGATAGCCGAAGGATTCCCTCCCCCTCAGTTCAGTGGCTCACATAACGCTTTTGCTTCATGTAGCACGTCATAAAATAAACAAACTCGTTCCTTCTGCTATACTCGTATAATTTAATTAATGGAAAAACGATAGTACCGTAGAAGGTTAACAACGAAAAAAAAACCCTCGGTACTAAAACACTCCCCGATGAAAACATTCTATGAGCAAGAATGAGGTCTACCTTACGTTTTATATGACAGATAACCGACAACATTCTATATAGAAGTTTGCTTCTTTTGTTACCATTACTATTCCAGAAGAACAAGAACCACATACTTAGGGAGCACTGTGGACTATTGGATGTTACTCATCTTTATTGCAAGTAACGAAAACCATGCTGTCTTTTGAGAGATCGCATTGACAGAATTATCCTTTTGATATGCAGAATTCTCATTAAGGACAATTTGCTGCACCATTTCGGTACCCGCTGCCTTTTAGTAGTATGATGGACATTCACATTGTGATGCTATGGCTATCTTTAACATACAATATGCTCGTATTAATTCTCGGAAAGAGTGTCCCTGCCTGGCACAAGCAGAATCTATTCACTGTATATAGTATATGTAGATTTTGTCATTATGCTTACAACCTTGTCGTCAAGTGGGTGTAGTAACTCTAAAATAATATTGTTTGATCATATTACACATGTGTTCTATACAAACAATACCGATTCCATATGCTCCTCCAATAGCTCTTCGCCTTTGTGTGTAAGACCTTGGATTTCTTTCAGGGCCAATCTTTTAAGATTTTTACACGCTGAAATACTATGCACGCTGTTATCTGTCAGCGTCATTTTACCTAGTCCAAGTTCTGATAGAAAAGCGAGGTCTCCAATTGATTGTGCAAAAGTATTGACGTCACAAGAGCTAACTTGTTGTTGATCGCGGGTCGACAAAACGATACTAAGTTTTTGAAGACTCTTGATTTTGGCGGCCTGTTGCAATGCTGATGTAGCGAACCCAGGGCAGTCGACGATACGCAGACATTCCAAACCACAATACGAGCTATGGGCGCCGTAGTCCGTTGTTGATGCCAATGTTAAGTTTTCTTTCTGTGGCGGTGCGTCTTGTGCCGTAAGAGTATAATGGAGCATCAGCCGGTCAAAAAAGTCGTCGCGTCCAAACATAATGTAAAATTGGCGGAACTGTAGAGTAGATAGCCGAGTTAATTGGATTATAGCACCCAACAAGCGTGATTCTAGCTGTTGTTGGCGCGGGTTTTCGGATAACGTGTCGCTGCTTATGGGCGCATTCTCTAAACACAGAGATTTGAGAGCCGGTAAGCGGATAAGGATTGCAGGAAGATGTTGATAAAACGGCTTGCAGTAACTTGACACATGAAGCGATGTCAGCTTATACATGGTAAACGTGGAGAGTGGTTCCCAGCTGCTTATGTTGGAGTAATGGCTGTAAAAATTGAACGAGAGGAACATCGTTTGGAGAGTATTGCTGCTTTTCTCTAGTCGTGACTTTAAAGGTGTCGCTGATCGCAATCCTTGAATAGCCAAACGACGAAGTCCTTTCTTGGCACGTTGTTTCCTCGTCTCCGATACCGATTTTATGTTTTCGATCCCATCGGCCGTTGTGTTTGTTCTTGATGCTGCTGTAGCTGCCGTTCTATCGTCATGTAGATTAAAAGTAGCGCTATCGTTGTTATCCTCGTCATCGTCGTCGTCTTCGTCGTCACCAGGAGGGTCAAAGAACAAGGAATCATCATCATCATTCTTGCTCCTCATTTTCACCACGTCAGAAGAACCAGTTATAACGTATTCCAACTCGGGACAGTTGTGTTCACCAAGCATATCGAAAACATCGATACTGTTTATTCGATCCACCGAATGATACAGAACTGTCAAACGCCGGAGGCATGGCATGTGAGGGAAAAGCGGATGGAGGATTTTTAGTACTTGAGAGAATATGGGCCAATTAGTAATGACGCTCAAAGATGTCAGCGCTGTAGTTTCCGGGATTTTTTCTTCCAACAATGTCGTCGCAGTGATGGTAGTAAGAGAGTAGACATTGACTTTGAGGTGAGTGAGTTTCCGACACGTGGATAATATACGTACGAGCGATATCTTGATGAACGAGTCCGACTTTAGTTCCAGTTTGGTCAATGTGTTTGAGACGTGAGGGAGTATGACATTAAACAGAGATTTGGTCAGCTTGAGTTCCGCAGCTACTGGTTCACCTATACATAACACAGGTAGGCATATATTAAATTATTAAAACTTATATTTTACAAAAAAATACATGTTAAGCCCGTACCTGTGTCAGAGATAGACAGCGTCCGAAGATTGCCAAATGTATTAGTCTTGAGCAATCTAAAATGCATCCTGATCTGCTCAGGACGCGCAAGAATTGATACGTTCTCGATGTACTCTGACATAGCTGACAAAATTTGAACAGATTTTTGCTTCTTGCCACTGCTACCGACAAGGGACACGCTTTTCCAGACGTCTTTATGCTCGAGAAACTTGGCGCGCCAGGAACGACAAACATCCAGGCACTGCATAGTGGTTTGTGTATCCAGGTAGTTGGCAATGGTACAAACAACTTCGAAGGGACATCGGGTGATGAAATCGATACGACATGTGAGTCGAGCCTTCACAATGTCAAGCTGTTGCTGAATAAGGTGGCGTGAAGAGATCTGTGCACTGCTGCTGCTGCTGCTGTCGTTATTAGCGATTGCTCGTAGACCGTGTTCAAGCACAGAGATGGCCTCTCGTTGCTTTCCTTGACACGAATATAATTTTGAAGCAATAATGTATTTGGTTGGCTCGCGTGTCTGGTCATATTGTATATCAAAAAGGATTTGATCTGTCTCTTCGGCGAGGGTTTTAAGGATTGTTGGTTGTAGCTGTAACTGCTGATCCGCCATTCTGTGTTGCTGCGATTCTTCGAGGATTCAATTCTGTTGTTCTGGAGCGTACAAATATTCGACGTTTATAAAGGAAGAAAGAAGGTGAGGCGCAGCGCAATGTTGTACGTATTCTGCAGACGCAGTATTACACCAACGAATTCTTCAGAGGAGCTTGAAAAACGAAAGCAAGAGCGGTTGCCATGGCAACGGCGTCTTTCGTGCAACATAAAATAAAATTATGGCGCGTGTTGAATGGACATACCAATCTAGGATAAGTTTTATACCCACGATGTGAAAAATCCCGTAGACCTGAACCGGGAAATTATATACCCGGTAAGAAACATCACATTTTTCCAATAAAAAACAAATATAATGCGTACATTGTAACGTTCATTCGATCGATAAATGTCTAGATATATCAAAAAACAAGCTTTTAGTCGAAAATGATGGACGAGTAGCTTCTTCACTACAAGACTTCTTACAGCAGTAATCCTATTCACGACTGGTGCATTGATTGGTGGCAAGATGGCATATCAATTAAAGTTGGTAGGGATAGTAATGTGTGTTTGCTCTTGGACTACATGCGTTTGCTTTAAACCATGTAGGACTCCCGTATAATGAACGCTCCAAGGCTACGTTTTTGGTTTGAGCCACTGATCCGGTCAGTGTACGGAAATGTTCACGAAGCTCATGTCACCTTTACCAATAGGTCAAGAAGGACGTAGTCTATGGATCGCTTTCAACGGCATTGCATACCGTGGGCGACTACTGATAATGAGCGCCGAAATGACTATCTGTCCCTCCAATAGGGATCGTCGCTTAGCAGAAATAATCATAATTCCTGGATTTCAATGGAGTTTTCCCAACAGTGGATTATGATGTTGGGGAATCGTTTGGTCATATAAATGTGTGGATAGTAGCATATGATACCGTGATACCATCCGTTGCTGCTGCTGCTGCTGCTGCTAACACTATAGACGTAGTTGTAATATTATATGTAATGTAGCAGGACGGATTGTTAGCTCTACCACAGAGTTCTCAGTAAATAAACCTAGGGCACGAAATTGGTGATAATGCACATTTTGAATCCAGGCACGTATATACCTAATTTTTCGCTGCCACACCACACGCACGCTTTTCTATGTAACTTTTTATAGTAATAAATGCCAGCAGTTTAGTCTTTTTTCTTCTTTCGTTCCGGCGTACAACACGCACCATTACAGTGAGTTCACTAGCACCCGATCCATACGGTACTGACATTGTTGTCAAAGTTGTGCAGGCTGTTGTTTCTGTCAAACTGGACGTTAAAATGGCTAAACGACACATGTACACAATACTTTTTTCTTTCAACCCAACTTGTATTAATGTTGCTGTTGTTAGATGGCGCAGAAAATGTTCGCGCGTATGAACATTTAGTAGGAAACCTCTCGGGTGCATCATTATGAAACTGCAGCAAGGTAACGTTATCATTGTTCACACGCAGTCTGCGTACTGTATAGCATTATGTAATACCAGTGTGGTTTCTAAAATGTAGGATTCTATCCGTTTCCATTTATCTAGTGATGACTCGTAGCACGGTACAGTAGTAGTCTCTCGCTAAAAGCGCAACTCATCAACCAGCAGCAAGACATTAACCATGCATGCATACTATCGTCCGTAGAAAGGCATGAAAAAGATATAGATATGCATTATAGCACTATCATGATGCAGCATGTAACAAGGCTTCTCTTAGTAAATATACATAACACAGAAACGATAGCTGTGTGTAGTAAACAACACGACTTTTTAAAATCGGTACGGAAAACTCATCCCACTTCTCACCGTCTTATTAATTACTATGATGCGATTAGAGAAAACAACGCACACTGGTGAGCTGATATAGACAATACATAATCACTACCATATCAATATCAATAATCCCTCAAACATCGATCACAATGAGAATAATCAGAACCAGCCGTTGTATTCACAATCTTCTATTCTCGTAATTAGTCGACACTTCCTTTCGATCCAAATACCTGGTTTACCAAATTATCACCTGTCAAAAATCAATTTCAACACACGAAGGTGGCACTGCTTCAAGGAACACACTGTTTAAGGCGAAAATAATCCTTTCACTCGGAAGATAACATCCATCATCATGGCATCCAAACTCCACCTTTTTCATCTTCTTCATCTTGGAAATATTCAATATCCGGCATGTCTGCGATCCGTCTATTAGTTTATCCCCACAAAAGTCTATCATAGCAGACAGAATAGACGTGTTCAGGTCAGTGAGCGTACGTGTCAATGTAAAATAGCTTACTTTTTGGATTTTGTTAATGCTACCAAGGGTGCATCAAATTGCTCTCATTAGGAGTAGTGGCTGTGTCGTTGTCGTCCAAATTATGATAGTCTATACTCTTTGGTGTTTATCGTATCGTATGTTGATTCATCGTAAGAAATGAAGAGAAGAAGAACAACACGCTTTCTGTATCCTGCTTCCTTTTCGTAGTTGCTCTGATCTGCACAAAACATCTCAACGAAATTTTCCTTTTCCGGTTCACTCCACCCATGATCTCTTTACCACTCAGTGACCATCCTTCTTTATGAAGCTTGCTTAACTACGCTGCATAAGAAAGCTGCTTATTTTTAAACGAGAGTACCCCAAAACTTGTATAGCTTGAACGCCGGGAGCACCATATTAGGCGATCGCAATCCAGGGAATAATGAGTGCGTAGATATACAGTCGCTACCATCGGTTGCTGCCTTTTATTAAGCATTCACTTGTGTTTCACAATTTGAGAGAACAGACAGCTTTGTGTATCCGGATAAAGAAGAGTTTAGTCAACAACTTTGGTAATATGTTTTATTTAGTAGAGCTCTTGACAATTGTCTAATTGGAATACTTCCAGTAACTACAGGATGTATCAACAACGAGGAGTTTGCGCTGTTTTAACTTTTAAAAATTTTATTCATCCAAGCCCCAAGAAGTGTAAAAACGAGGCGGGTTTAAAAGAGAATGCAGTGCAAAGTCTAACAGGAGAACCAAACATCGTAGAATTGAAAGGTCCTGATAGAATGACACATTACCAGTCCTCGTCATCTAGTTTGACAGCGCTACTACCCAATCGCAATAACAAAGTGTCCGCCCGATTTGCTAGCTGCGCATGTCTCCGCAAAAGGAGCTTGCCACACCTTCGCCACCGTATACATAACAAATCAGCAACCTATACAAAAGTGGAATGGAACTGGGTCGAGCGAACTTTCAACAGAATACTCCATGGGTCGAACAGAACCCGCATTATCACTGGTAGATATCTGGTCCGCCAGGGCAAATGATGCGAGTCCTTGGCAATTTAGCAGTTACTGCTTCCCAGATCGCACACGAGCACTCATCCGTCGTTCTTAATCATCGTTGGCATTCTGTCTTTCTTCCTTGTCATTTCTAATCGAGTTGTTCAGTCGCATCTTCTTTTTTTCTTGCGTACTCATTGAACAAGTTGATATTCGAAATGTACCTGTATTTGACGCGGAGGCCGGGTGCGTGTACTGACACTTCTTTCCAAAATAAGCGGCGACAGTATCGGAGGGTACATCGGCATGGTGAAACATACATAGCATGTCGATCACTGCTGCTGTAGCGTATTTGACTTCTTCACGACGACTATCACTTACACATCTCCTTCGCCTTCCCTTTGCTTTTGGGTCAAGTTGCGTCATATGATATAAGCGGTCCATAAAATGAGCCAACCAGAGCCTTACAAATGAGAGCCAATCAACATGATGGATTTCATTGAAGACCCGAGCGTGACGGCAAAAAATTGTCTGGATAAGAATACCAAAAAACCCCCCACCCCTCCCATTTTTTTTCTTCTCCAGTTCCATTTACACAAACTTTATGAAGCGCAAAGTGTTGTGTGAATCCTTGACTTGGAAAGCTATTAGCCAGGTTGAGGTGGATATATTCTACCCGAAAGATGCTTCAATGGTAGCAAGGTTGTTGGAAGCATGCCCTAGGGCTGCACCAACGTAGTACAACAACCTTGAGGCATCTTTGTGCTTAGTTGACGTTGTGGGCACACACGGCACGGGCGCCACTAGTGAATGGCGAAGGTCTCTCATTGCGTAGCGACCATTCACTACCTGCGTCTTCGATCAGGTTTTGTTGTCTTCCTGGAAAAAAGAGACAGCAGGAGTTTTTCCCCTCTTTTTCTATTGGAACTTCCTAGAAAAGAGGGTTTCTCTTTAAAATACAATAAGAAAATGACAAAAAGATAATAATCAACAAGAGAAGCTTTCTATGTTTGACTATTATTATAACGGAAACTTAATCTATCGTTGGGTAATGCCATCCCATTTCACAAAGAAAGATCTCTCGCGTATTGATCGACCTTGTGATGTACTTTTGTACTTTGTTTGTGAATGTACTGATTAAGACTTAGGATCTTTTTCAAGTGCATATAAAGCGGTGGCAACTCTTTGACACCGTGCTCTCTACGCACGGACCCTGCTAATGTTCTTAAAAGTAAAAAAACGAGGTTGCGTCTGTGTTTTTCTTTTCTGTGATGCAAGATCCGTTTGAAACAAATGACCACCAACGGCAGCAATTGAAACACGCTTGACTTCAAGCTTGACTGACTGCTGCGGATTCGCATTGTCAAAGCTTGGTTTAAAAAGGGCTTATACGATATTTTATAACGCAAGTAGGATGCCTTTTTTCCCGCTATTCTCCGGTTTCAAAAAGTACCCCTTTCCTCTTGACCATTCGTCTTTCGTAAACGGATTCCACCTTGTCAATGGCGATTGAGCTTGCGTTACTTCTCCCTCGCGCTTACAGGCGAAGAATGACCCTTTTATCATTTTAGTTATCATCCTCGCATTATCTCTGTCGCGTAACCTGCATGAATAATCTATGTGGCACATCGTGCTATACACATTTACACATATACAATGCAAATTGCCAATTGCATCAGTCAGCTTACTTTTGTTGGTAAGAGTTGGCGTGGCACGAGGTGTTAAAGAATGTGTGAGTAAACGATGCAATAATTTTATTATACGCGTGATTTTACTTACGGATATATGATTCTTCATCAGTAAATTGTATTAAGCGCGCAACAACCGAGCCATCTCATCTCCTCCGCTTACAACTGTATTCTCATTTGTAAGCAACCACAGAAATGGCGGCGTAAAACAAAGGTATGTGGTTCTTCCAGATACGAGAGCACTCTTGTGAATAGACTGCATAGATTCATAGAGCTGCGAAACTACAAGGATGATGGTCGAGAAGAAGGAGAAATGGCAGTCGCTATCCGGATCTTTTTTTTTTAACAACATGTTCGTTCGTCTCAAATCGTGGCGCATTTTAATGTACTGATATTGAATAATTCCTGGAAAGTTGAAGGCTGAAGACTAAATATATACAAGCGCAAATGTGCATGCTCCAGAAAAGTTGAACGCTCCCCGAGAAACGCAAGGTGGTTGGAAGAATTGCTTAGATCCTGATCGTTTGTCGGATCACGGTCTCAAGCCAATGATGTATTACCGAGTTTACTGACACGGGTAGCAACAGTTTGTACAGGGGTGATAACAAAAGCAACGAACAAATACACATTTTAATTTGTATTGTAAGGCGGAAAAACAGAGTGTTTGGAAACGAATCTATGCGTACGCCTCTCACATACGCTTAAAGTACTGATGTGTATAGACTTAAATTGTCTCAGAATAACCGTCTGTTTTATTGTGTCAGTGGTAGAATTGGGGCCGAAACAACAGATACAATACGCACCAATACTACTGATTGACGCTTTACAGTGTAAAAAGTAGACAACGAAATACACAGGGAAGAAAGATATCATAGGAGATTCCTCTAATAGAGGTATAGCGATGGGTACACAAAAGCACCAAAGTACTAAGTTGATCTAGTGACTACTATGATAATGCCAAATTCGCTGTCAACTCATCAGTATGCACTAACGAGGAGATGATGGTTAATCGTGCAAGAAGTGAATTGAAGTTTACACTCAGAGGGCGCACAAGAAGGTGGAGGTACTACTAGCCAGGGGAGGTGTGTTTTGATAACAAATACATAGAGAAAGCTATATGAGCTACGCATGGGGGTTCTGCAGCAGCATGTGAGGTAAAGTAACGATGGCAACGATTGCTATGTTATGTTGTAAGGAGGTGATTATGACACATCCGGTCCTTCAGTTTATCCGTGCGAGTATAGCGGTACCTGCAAAGCGCTTCCTTGTCGACCATGAGTCTTTGACGTGTGATCACATTACAGTAGGTCTCTCAACACCTTCCCGCTCACGGTCAAACCAGAGTTCATATGTATCATCGCCACTACCATACTCCACATATGGGACTCCCATTGGCATCAAGTGTTTCAAGGATCAACCTTCTGGCCCGACGGTGTAGCAGCCCGCATTACATTGAAATCAGTACTTTTTCATAGTGCGTTTGTCAACCCTCTTTTCTGACATTATAAATACCGACAACAACGGTATTTCAATAAATCATCGTCTACACAAAAAAGGTACCTGCAAAAGGTGCGGAGCTCAGTCCAAGGTGAAACTGGGTGTGTAATGCAGACGAGGCACGAACCGGGAGACATGGAGATACTCGGTGTATGTGTAAACCTCCTCTTTTCTCTCTTAATGATATCCCATGCAGAAAAAAAGCAGCGAAGCAGCGAGGCTTAGGCAGTGCGCCATGGTTGTGTCGTTGTTTCAATAATTTGACAGTCAAGTAAAGGTTTTTTCCATCACCACTCTTGTCTCTTTCAACAAGAACCGTGATGGCAACAAACCTGGGCATGTAAGTAGAGCAATGCGCGAACGAGTTACTTCAATCAGTTCCTCACTCGCTCTTTCAAAAGAGTTCTTTTTTCTAACACATACTCCATTGGCAATTCGCTTTCTTTATGAACCTTGTCAGCGAATCTGCTTTTGCACACGCGGTGTACTATGGACCTTTACAGTGTAAGTTTTTCCTCCTACTTTAAAACACCTTTCAAATTTCAATGATCTCCAACTTGTTTTTTTTTTCCAATGCGTCACCAACGTTTCTTTTAATCATTGTCGTTGATTTTGCGTGTGTAGTAGTAGTAGCGGCGGCGGACGGATATGCGTGACGACTACAGGGTAACTATTTTTTTCTGTACTTCTTCAACTAGGGTAGCATTCTTCTGGTATTTACGTCTTAATAACTTGATTTTATACGTGCTTTCGTTGCTGTAGTTGTTAAGATTTATCAGGATTGGTTCGCGGATTGGGCGATGCCTAACCTTTTTCTCTTTTGTCGGAAGGCCTGAAAGAAATTTTGGTTTACCTTGCGAGTGGAAGAGCGAAAGCATGGTAAGTTCGATTGCGCATGCACCTCTCCAGTAAATCGTGACCTGCGCCCACCTCTTGATCCTGTACTCCCTGTGACCGCTTGCTGAGTCCTGGAAATGACTCGATAAACTGACCACCGGCCGCGCATAGACGTTAGGTTCGGGGCACGGGTCGGCAACACGTAGAGACTATGCAGTGGAGCGCGGCCACAACTAAACGCGATGACTGTCAGGGTCATGCCGCCGTAGCAGGCAGCCATACGGGATTGGGCAGTATGGTGAGGTCACGTACACGGATAAGAGGAGGCGTCACAGAGAACGGTTAGTGGCAAAATATACACAAGAAAACGTCTGAAGAGCGAGCGAGGGGATAATTGCATCTATGATAGGTTCTGGAGCCCAGACGAAAGTGGAGGTTCTCCCAGCAATGGGAGGGTAGGGTAGGGGCCGCGACGATCTGTTCTGGAAATACGTGGTGAGTAATTGATTCAATTGTTGTTTGCTTTTACTATATACTCCAAGTATGGCTTTCTCTAACTTCTTTCTTTGATAGTCCTTTCGCTTGTCTGCAAATAATGCTTGTACCAACTATATATTGACGGGATGTTCTATTACCTGATGATATATTCATACAAAATAAAAGACCAAGAGTCATCCTCGTATCATAATGATGTCTTTAAGTTAATTTTCTAAATCGTCTCAATGAAAGTGTATACTTATACTAGCCACGCGAACACGATATCCTGCCGCCAGCACACGACATCGTCTCTCTGAAGGAGTCGTAAGGATTCTTTGCCAAGTACGACATGTCTTCTTCTCCTACATGGATTAGGATTAAGGAAGTAGATGTCGTTGGGTGAAGCGTACACTATATACAACATATAGGTAATTTCATCACGCAGCAATATTATGAGCCATAAAAATCATGTACATCAATGGAAAATAAAACAGACGACCACTTCCATGGTGTGATCACTACGAAAAGGATTTACGGAAGGCAGATGGGAGGGTAGTTTGCATTTGGTGTGTTGTGTCGAACATGATAAATAACACATATCATATCCTTTGAGCCGTCATTAAAGATTGCTGTGATTTCCCTTATAACCTCACATGTGCGGACATCTCCTCATCCAGACAGATCTTGATGCTACACGGATTAGCTATGCTCAGGAAGAAGCTGTCATAATATAGATCATGTAATTCACATTAGCTACTATCTGAGACGTTTACTCGGATGAGCTCAATGAATATGTTCAATGCACATGCTGGTGAGTACTTTTGTTATCATGATAACCCGGTTTTAGATCCCATCGAGGTCTCGTTGACTTATTCTGTCTCTTTTAACTGCTGAGCAATTGTTTAGATCTACGCAATGTCTATTTCGAGTATATAGATAACATGGACTTTATAGCGCCGGATTGACCAAGTCGGACATACACACGAGAAAAAACTTGGGATACATACACTGTGCTATGGAAAACAAATTTCAGCAATCTGTTTGACAAGCACGTTTTCCTCGGGGCTGAATCGTGCTTGTCGTACGCACGATTTTACAACACCAGTACTTTGCGAATGCAGTCATCAGCAGTTTGTGATGCTTCAACGGACTCATAAATCTTGGAAACGTATCAGTGTTTTGACCACCATCATCTCCATCACAACAACAACAACAACAACCGCAGCAGCAGCAGCAGCAACGCAGGTGAGCAAGAACAGGATTAAAAGAGCGAGCAACAATAACACCCGCATCTCAGACAGTAGAGCTCGCACAACATAGTGCTGAGCCTTTCGACGTGGATGTCTGATTAGCAGAGGGTTTCGGCGGTTCGTCGAACTGATTTTCTTTTTCTTTTTTAATGTCTTATCTTATGGTCGACGGAAGAGTATTGCGCTGTTTGCTGTAATGGAGAGATCATCAACAGGGTTGAGCAGCCCGCAGCGGCACTGTAACCTGACAACAGCTCAAAGCTAGGATTCCCGATTTTTGTGCGAAATTCAAAGAGGTGTGAGAATTGACGGATCCTGCATTTACGTAAACCGTCAACTCCTATGTATTAAGTACATAAAAATAAGCACTGGCTATGGTGTGCTTGCATTTCGGTAGAATACCTTCGCCACAGATTTTATTATACTATAAAAGAGAATACAGAGCGCAAACACATATATAAATACACTGTGGTAAAACACATCATTACACTACCTAAATCATCATCGGAATAAGGTACTCGGCTAAAAATCAAGCAAAAGCATACACAGCAATTACCATGGCAAAAAGCTAAGCACTGTCGCATAGAGACAATCCAAACGAGTTGTGTAAAGCACGTAAACATTATACTCGGATGATCCAGCATATGTAAGGCTATTATAACCCGATATGGACTGACGCGATATGATGCATAGACGTATGTCATTTGTGATCTCTTAATCTCTTATACGATTATTTACCAAGAAAAGGGAGCCGATGATGCACTCAGAACGGAAGTTTTGTCACCACAAGTTATATTGACGAATTCAAATCAGAAAAAAGGAAAAGTATCTGGGGTATGATAGCGGATAGTGTTATGCAAGTTGTTTAATATGATATCTTATCACCAGCATGACTGAGCGTGTATTGGATTGGGTTGGAGTAAATGTGTGCTGAACGCCGTAGCCAGCGTCTTATACGAGTATATGCCCACGGCAATCAGCGATTGCCGATCGTCCAAGCCCGCAATGATGGATGTGGGCAGCTTTAAACAAATTGTCAAATTATAGACCAGCATGGCTGTTTTCGGTTAATCAAGGGGTTGAAAGGGGCGTGGCGAGCGAAACAAACCATTAAACTGGTTCTCTCAGTTTAGAACAGCTTGCCTTAAGCGCCGTTGTTGCTGGAGTCCATACCCTCCCAACAAATTCTTTCCTTTCGATTATTTCGCGAGCAGAACTACGCGACCACTGAAATGTAAAAAAAAGAAAGGTGCAAAGTGCATTCCAAAGTGTGATAAAGCGCGTTGTGATCGTGTTACTGTCGTCTGTCATTGTTCCCCGCTTTGTTTAGCACGAAGCTGTGGGTGGGCAAAAAAATAAGGAACTTGTCAATAAACTAAAGCGGTAGAACGTTTATGAGAAGAGTGCGAAAAGAAAAAGATTGTTTTATTTTGTTTATCATTTTCTTATTTGTGTGTAATAATGTGTGTAATAAATAATAGTAATAATAATCTGTTCGTTCCTCACCCTCCACTGACCCGCACTGGTACATTGCAATCATCTCTTCATGGCGGACCACTGAGCCCATCCAATCATCAGAAGACTCTGAACAATCGCCAGCACTGGCACGGAACTGATCATAGCACAGACAGTGACTCCTGCGCATACAGCCCAACGCCTTTCCAAAACGAACTAAAGTAAAGAAAAAGAAAAAGAAAGGAAAAGCGAAATTGCTCGCTTTATATAGACGTTTTTTGACTGTCACGCTCGGGACTTCAAAAAGCTCCACCAAGTTCCATGGATTTTCATTGGCTCTTGCTTAATAGTATGGCTTTAGCATATGGCTCAAAGGGACTATCAAGAAAGGAAAGGAAAGGGGGTGTGCTTGGTGGTCATCCAAACAAATGTGCTGCGGCGGTAGTGGTACGTGTCTCTCACCATGGGCAGCTGTACCTCCGATGCTGTCGCCGCTTGGTTGTGAGAGGTCCGTGCACGGCACCGTGTCAAGCGAAAACAAAGACACGAATGCGAATGAGCAAGTACATTCACGGAAGAAATGCTTTTCTGTGAGCAGTAAATGCCGGAATTAGGCGTGACTGACAAGGTAGACAATTTACCATCAGTGAACACTGAGAACACAATCCACCCAGCAGCCAGTTTACATTCCTTCAGCCAACAGGGCAAACAGCGTGTGTATATAGCGTACTTCACAGACAAATCCACAGTACTTTAATATTATCTTTTGACTGTGTGTGTGGTACGTAATGTTATGTGTGTGCGGAAAAAGATGTCCCCATCGCTGCACTATATAAAACAGACCCGTTATCTTTTATGTTTAACCGTGCTCGTCAAACTGTTGCTTTACCATTTCGCTATCCGCCAACAGTTCTCTGAACCACGCCGTGTAACCTCCTCCCTCCATCCTCCATCCCGGTTGATGCTACTACTAAAGTTCTATCCTCCATCCCAAGTATATGCTGCTGCAGATAAGTTGGCCCGCTCATAGATAAGTATCCGCTGCCGCTAGTGAATTCGACTCATCCTTCATTGTTTTCCATTGCTGCCGATAAAGTAAATTGGTTCGTTTGTTTTCGTGCGGTTCTACGTTCTTTTAAAGCAGCGTTTAAGTTCCTTTGGGACGATCAGAAGAATAACACTACAAACGATGACTTCCTCCAACGTTTGACACTTTTGCGCATATTGTTGCTCCATTGATCACCTTGTTCACTCGCCATCCCTTTGTGCATTTCGAGTGCGAAGTCAAATGGCCAAATCGCTGCGTCACAATGCGCATAGTTTTCGTTTCAGGGGAAAGCTGTTGGAACGTTCAAGGTTTGGCACACGCGTAACTTCGTCACTATCCAAAAAAGAAAGATATGTGTTGCGCTCTTCCTGAATTCCTCATTCCTAGACTACCTTTGCTTCCTTGATTATTTGCGTACGTGATCGGAGCCTTCGTTATGTGATAATAAAAAAAGAAAAGAGAGACGCAGCGAGTTTACCCCTACTGTTGCCTGTTTTCACAGCAAAATTCACATCATGTGGGCTTGTGTCTCTGACCGGCTCTTTGCACACTTCTTGCCGTTGCCGAATCAATGATGTCATAATAAACCCCGAGAGAAAAGTCCTGCTCTTTTGCGGTTGCTTTTTCTATACGTTAAGAGCACCGTTTACTGTGCATTACGTCCCACTTAGCTTAATATATAGTCCCTTTTGGTATAAATTACGATCCGCTTATTTTTACTATGCCTTGTCTTTAGATGCCACAGAAAAGTGAGTCGAAAATGATGATACTCTCTGTTCGTGGAGTTTATTTGCTTATTACTGCCCTGAAAAAGAGGCTTGTAATTGTTTTCTCGTTCCTTCTCTTTTCCCTCTCCCTCATTAAAATGAACAACAGTAACTCCACCATCGCTGCTACTCCTAACATTACAGTAATCAATAATAATACTCACTCCGACTCGGTTACGACCGTACGCGAGGCTCGTAATGCTGGCAGGTTTAGCGAATTCGGACAGTACAAGTGTACTGATTGCCGCAAGACACGTGAAGGCACGCATTTTCTCGGACGTACCAGGCCTTACTTGACTCCTTCTCTCTCCCGCGACATCTCGTCCATGGCTTACTGCTCTCGATCCGAGACTTTTTTTAAATCCTCTTCCTGCAACAGAGCGCCAGCGTTTGACCAAGCGAATGCCCACATCTTGTTGTGGTGGCCGTATTAGAGGCACCGTCAAGAAAGCCCTCGCTTATGTGGAGCTGTCGATTACCCACTCAGAACACGAACGTGTCGGTACTGATCCGTCACCACGTAACCCTGTGGCTGCCAACGTCCGAAGCTATATTCAAAGCAGAGCGCTTCTTACGAATTTCTTTGATCTGTACTAAGAAGTTGCTGTCCTTTTTCCTGGTTCGGATGTTACGCCAATGTAAGTCTACTATTGGTGGCACGAGACTTTCAAGCGGGAATACCACCTAAACGACGATCAAAAATGGTTTCCTCAAGGCCAATTGTTGAAAAATATAGCAATCAAGGCCTTCGCGAGGTATGTATGACAATATTTTGCTAACAGATAAACATAGCCTTTGCTTCTTGAGCTGTTTTGCTTTATGAACGTCAAAAAAGGTATTGTTAGTTAGCATATAGTATATATTATTTTTTAACGACAATAAATACTAGGTGCTTAGGAAGCATACATTTGAAGTTTGTGCATTTGGTTTCGTTACGCCATTTTCCCCTGTGTTGGTTGAGTGCGAGTATGTGGAGGAGTACTGCATCGATTCCACTTACAAAACAAATCGTGCTGGCTCTGAGTTGTTTGGTATAATAGCAAACGTGAACGGTGTTGGATATCCAATAAGCAAGACCTTTGAGCAAGACCGAAACTCTTACAGAGATTTTCGGACAACTAAAGTTAGACGGATTCGATCCATTGTTCATGTTTTCGGATAAAGATGCGGCAATGATGAATGCTATCGAGGGCGTATGGGGAGAATTACGACTGCACCTTTGCCTCTGGCATATGCAACGGTCAGTGGATAAAAAACTGGCGGAGGACAAAAGCAGAAACCTACCTGCATACAATGTCCATCAAGCACGAGAAGATTTTCCCTTTGTCGATATGTATTTTACACCATCCATCGGCGGTCGTACTGGGATCGTCAGCATATTATTTCGCTCATGACAAAACTTTATCATCAACATCCCTTGATTCCAGATGGTAACGTCTTCGCGCTTGTCTCACATCTTTAACCGAGTTACTCTGTATATATAATATGACTTCATAAATCATGTTTAAGTTAATCGTAGCGATTCTTCTGTATAGGTACTGTACAACGCACAGCCGAACAAATCCAGCAGCTTGCTATCCTAGAAGTCTACATGTTTTGCGTCACAAAGAATTACATAGATTCGTGGATATGCAGTAGATGGTGCTACCTATATCAAATCAAAACTCAAAGGTGTTTCTATGCCATGTGCATGTATATACAATGTGTACTACCAATGAAGCATTTACGTCTTGCTGTGCCATTAATCAAAAGCAATATTTTCATAGATATAGCGTATGTTATAAAAAAAAACCAGTTTATGACCATGCCTCAAGTATCAACGCCGTTACTATTACAGTTGCATATGAGCAACAGTGACACATGCATTTGCAGATCGTCGAACAGCTTTTTTACTATGATACGTTCTTCGATAATTGATGACGGTGATGGATGTCGTTTTTTTAAAGCTGTTTTACATTGAAACAAAAATAATGAATTTTTACAAGTTGGATGCACTGTGGTCAGTTACCGCTCGCCAAATTTTTATAAGTGAACATCTCCATTGGCACGCCAGAGATCGCACTTCTGGTTGTTTGATTAAATGAATGGATCGCTCTGTCCACGGAACCACACCGGCAAATTCACAATTCATAATTTTCTTTTAGAGAGAGGCTGGTCTCGTTTTCTGCAGCAAGCTGCTCCTCGAAAAGCATTTATTATAATAGTCAATTGATCAGCCCATGCTCAGGATAGTTACAAACACTTCTTCAAGAGAGTAGAAACGAAATTAATAAAATTTATTGTACACAAAAGACAGAAGAAGACAAGTTTATTTAATATTGCTTTCAAATGACCGGCTTGTATATGAATCCTTCGTTCCTCAAAGGAGAGGTTGCTCTCCCTTGGTCTCCACAAGCCTCAGTTCCAAAGAAACCTACACCTCCCAATAACAAATCACTACAAATAGAAGATGGGTGAAAAAGGTTTGTCAAGGGCGGAATTACGTGTATACTTACTTTGTGAGTGCACTGCGGTAAAGAGAACTTTACGGCTTGTAGTGCGCTCACGGGTAGGGCTCGCTGCAATAGCGATTCGTGCACTGCGTCACAAAGATCCTAATGAAAGTCGCAAATGTACGCCGAAAACAATAACGAATACTGATTCTGCACGTACACCCACTCGGACACAAGTAGCAGAAGACAACCCTCAAATGAAGAAGCTGGTGAAAAGTGGTATCCATTGGTATCGTTCATTAAAGTGGAAAAGGTGGAAAAGATCTTTCGACAGTGAGGAAAAAAAAAAGAGAAAGGGGAATGCGCAGTCGAGTCCTGTTCTTTTGTAGGCGTCACTGTTTGACCTGTTTGACCATCCGATGTTGCACAAGGATCGCGAACAATGGATGGCTATCTCTCAAGGGCCATGCTTCACACCGATAACACCTGCACATTGTAGGCGCTCCAGGCTCCATGCACACACTCGTCCCATCTCGCTACTTGGCGATCACGATGAGTTTCGTTCTTTTCTGTTCACTTAAGCTTGCCTCTTATCGGTGTATTATATGCATTAGGGGCAAGAGTCGAGTGGGAACATTTTCGAAAGTGTGTGTAACGCCAACGGTTTCTGATGTTTTCATGCATGAACGGTGCTTCGGCACCAATTCAGATACCATGGAAATCGCTACCAAGTTCACTTCAAGAAAATCAAAATATGTCACAACGGCCTATTCAAAGAAAGAAGTGGCAGTGACAGCCGAGGGACACAATCGCAACAATAAGGATGTCGATGAACAGAAGGAGTAGAAAGGAGAGCAGCAGCACCGCCAGGGAGCGACAACCTATCGATGTGACGTTGAAATAAACTATAGAGCGCGTCGTCACCTGGATGCACTTGTCGGCATGAGTTGTTCCTTACATCTACTACTAGACATATTTAGCGCATGTAATTAGCAAGCATGACTTGAGCTTTTGTTTAAAATTTGAAAATAGCAGTCAGGGTATACAGGATGATTGGTAGCAGATATGTAGGCAGTGGCAGGGACGGCAGAGAAAAGGTTGTAACCTGAGGCTTTTTGAAGCCTTCAAAAGCCTTGGAAAGCTTTCCAGAGCATTTAAAGATTTCCAGAAAGCAAACATGAATTTCAACGTAAGGTTACCAATGAACGTGCGTCAGACCTCCAACATCTGGTCTTTATCGTGAGCGGTCGAGTACCTGTACTGTACCAGCCAATGTCCTTAACAAAGATGACCTCGCTTTTCGCGCTCCATGAAAACCCGTCTTTGGTAAGGCTTATGAGTTTGCTTTATTGACAACCAATTGCTGTTGCTGTTGTTGTCGGCTGCGGTGTGAGTATTTCTGCTGTGGAGACATTTTGGTATAATGAATGGTGTCATAGCATTTTTCCACTCGAGGAATCCTCAGGTGCTAAACAACACTCGGCAAGGATTTTTGGTATCCTTATACCACCCTACTACTGAGCGTTGAATATTTCAGTTGGTGGCATTCCGTACTTAGTAGTGGTACTAAATGCGTCTCTTCGTTCATTTTTTGATTTATCCTGAGCGTCGTAAGATGTACTACTATCCTTTCATTACTATTTTGCTTATACCGCATATCAGCTCCATGAAAATGGTTTCAAAGATATGGCGCTGGACGAGCATCTTGCCGATCATCATCGTTCACGAGGTGCTGCCGCCATTGCTACTACTACAACACCGACTACTACTGCTAATGCTACTACAGCTACTGTTACCACTACCGCTTCGCCGCTAACGGACAGTGAAGAAGAAGACGAACCACTTATTTTGAATCGTCGATCTCGCGTACAAACGCATCAACAATCAAATATCATCGATTTGACCGAGACAATCTTCGAGGATCAAGAGCAACAGCGCCTGCGTTGGGAGCGCCAAATGCAGCGTCTCCGCGCCCGCCAATGAGAATTGATAGCGCGATTACAAGAAACAACGGAAAGTTTTGAATCTGCTTCGGCACACTACGAACGTGTTGTATCCGTCGAGCAGTACCAGGACTTCCAACAGTCACTGGATGACGATGCAGTCGATGCCTATCTCGAAGCCAACATCACTTTCCGGAAGAAGACGCAACTTGCCAAGAACGTGGCGCGATTACAATCGCCATACACGCCATATATAAACACCTTCATTTCTATTTATCTACACCAATAATTCACACTTACACAGATACACACTTCCCATAGACACATGCATATTTGTTTTAACTATTATTATCTTTTCATATCTCTTTTTCTGATCTTTCATGACATCGAATGGTTATAGGTAGGTAGTTTGAGTATCGTAACGAAATATCAAAAAAACGCAATATTCGGAAAATGTGATGTTTTTTTTACTGGGTATATATTGTACCGATACAGGTCTACGGGATTTTTCAGCGCCCCAAGAGCTTATCTTGATGAACTATGCTCTGTATCACGTATCGTATTACAATAGCTTTGTGCATTTAGAGCACGTTATGCACCTCTACCTTGGTGATGGTTGTCTTATTGAAGCAATCTGTATGATACAAGCGGAAACATAGTGGAGTAACAGGTAATCAAACTCGGAAAAGAGGCCTTAGCATATAACCCATTTGATTCCACTGATGTTAATCAAGACTCGCCTGCGTTTATATACAAGCATTTGCTGAATTGAGTTCATTCACAATTTTCATGTGCCTATGATGTGAAAGGGCTGCAATTATACTTTTTCTTATGTATATTATCACTGTACGTATATACCTACTAGTAATCGCCTTTTATACAGATATCGCGACCATTAATTATAATTCTTGCATACCTCTGACAATGACACCTGCATAAGCTTGTATTACGTAATGCATTGTGCTATCATGTACTTTTTTGATTGACGACGTCAATGCTATTATGTACTAACTACTACTACAACGAAGAAGTACACTGTTGTCGCCAAATGTTTTAAATGAAGTAATCCTAAAAACTTGTCTTGTGTACGGGAATTGCTGTGATGCTACCTGCTATTCGCAAGGAAAAACGATACTTTAATAATATTGATGGATGTTATTGTTATACTAACCACCTTTTTACTCATTGATACCAAGAATGATCCAAGAAAATTGACAGATCTCTTCTCTTCTCGCGTATAAATACCCTCATCGCGCACTACCGATGTTCTCAATACTTTTCCATACACCTTCATCACCCAAAATGTCTTCTCAGAATGAACGTATCGAACACGCCTTAGCCGTAATTGAAGCGAGCTTAGCCCAATTCGTTCAAGATTTTCATAATGCGATAATGCAATATCAACAATGGCGACAAGAGCAGCTACTGCAACAAGTGGCGGGTCAGCTACAACAACAGCAAGAGCCGCAACATGACACTATGATGACAACAGTGGGTTCAGCACTCGAAGCCGCCAACATTGCTTCTCGTTCCACTGCAGCCACCATAGCATTGGCATCGGATGGCCTTCAAGAACGCTTCCCTGGGTACTTAGATGATATAAAATTTATACAGAGCAGATAATAGTAGGATTTTATCTTTCTGCTTTCTCTCCCTTTCAAACCGAACCCTTTCACTTTGTTTCTATTTAAGCTCTTTTATATTGTGACCAATCAAATATTTTCACTGATCAGAACGCCTTTGTTACACCACTTTCCCCCCTTCTTCTTCTATAGTGTCCAGCAACTCTCAAGGTATTTGCATACAATAGTATGTATTCGCGATGCTCCTGTAGGAAATCTCCCAGCATCTGACGAGCAGCTTGAGGCCTTTAATTATCTCTTCCAAATCAGCCCTCGCGTTCCGGGCAATTCAGAATGAAGAACGACGACGACGACGACAACCACATGCGGAAACTATCTATGCGGATCATTATAACGAAGAAGATAGACAAGTTGACGACAACACCGACAATGAAGGAAATAATTCACTGGCGCAAGAACAGGATCAACTACCTACTCCTCCAGCAAGCAACGATCAATAACAACATTATATACCGCTGTTTCTATACTTTCTTCGCTCCTTCTATATCAAAATATGGCAGTCTCACACACGAGTCCATCTACTACTTGCTGTGACATTATATCAATAAAATCAATTTTGCTTCGATTTTAATACAATATTATTACTCATGTTTTGCGAAAAATATGGCGCATCATCCAGAGATATGTTAGTAGATAATACTTCTTATGTAGTCATACATAGTAAATTACTTTTATTCTACTGTATGTACTTGTCGATGAAAGTGCTACTGGCTCCGAGAAAGAATAGCTATTTAAAGTGAAAGAACATGTCAAAAGTGGCCTTTTGCTGCAATCAAGTAATCTAAAAGGGCTAATGTAAGAAAAAAAATGCAAGCATGCCATCTCAAGTTAGATAAAAACAACTGAGTATAGTTTACTTGTCGTCATTGTTTCTTACGTTCTTACTCTACGTAGCATATAGCCTCATCCAGATATCTTTTGCTGAGGAGTAACACAAACTTACTTCTTCCGTCTGTCGCTCGTTGTTCACACTACTAAATGCGGCTCTTTCCAAATTTTCACCCATTAATGCCAAAAAGGCAACGACTGCTACTTTACCTACATAATCCTGCCCCGTAATAGTCATCACTGATCGGATCATAAGGTATTTGACACTTCTGACACTTTTTTACCCGAGAGTTGCACGACGATACATGACACTGACTGCCTCATTGTGTGTCCACGTTATTTATTTCTCTAAATCAATGTGGAGTTGGCAACAGGCATATCACGTAACAGTATCATCCAGCATCGCCTTCCCTTAATTTCGATCCCAATCTCCTTTTCAATGAATGAGTGAATATACACATACTATATGCGAAAGTCGTCAGAATAATGTATTTTTTATATTGAAATATATCTTTATTTCTCGAAAACTGCTTTTTAGCAGCATAGGCCTAATTGTCTATGAGCGCTATTACATGTTTTTTGTAAAGAACATTTATGACCACATTAGGATGCTTCTAATTATTCATCATCCTCTTTCTGTGTTGAGGCGACTGGCTCTTTAGTACTAAAGGTTGTTGCCCAGTTGCTCCTGCTGTAGATCTTGGCGTATCTTATTGATTCGCTTCACTAGTTCGATATGCCGTTCAAGAAGGTCTTGTAAAATTTGTTCTAGCTGCCGCAAAATCGCATACTGATCTGAATAATCTTCTTCGGGGAGGCTTGTCTCGTTGACCATTGTTCGTTTTATATCAAGGAGGTAACTTTTTCTTCATTAGATCATCTCTTTTTCTAAGATACAGCCACTTGTATTGCTGTTACCGCTGTGTATTTCGCATTTACCTCGTAGTTATATGTTTATTACTGTGTGTTATCAGTAGCTAAATGTGTAAGGTGAAGTCGCAACTTATATACTTTCCACCAGGCAGATCTGAGATATAAACGAGGTCATGAGACTCATGCGTCTTTATTTATCATCAAGCGATTATTAGCATTGGCAGCAGCTTATTAGCTTACTACTAGCAGTAACAGTAGGACTTTCTTCAGCGTTACCCAACAAAATTTAGAGCTCTTTTACCGCGGAAACATCATAGATGGCCGCGAGAATATGTATTCTTTTACACCTGATACCAACAGGTAGATTATGAATAGCATATATTATTAGTACTTTCTACATCTTATTTATAAAATCTGAGTGTGTAGTACATCGTTGATATGGATCATAAAGTGATCTTGCTTCTTTTTTCCCAATTATAACATTGATTTTCTTCTTGCTCTCTAATAGTATCACTAAGGTACGTTAGTAACAGCATCAGATCAAGGAATTATCCGTAAATAACTACGGGGCACATCGGCACAGTACCAACAATAGTAATACAAGCTAGCGGGATGCTGAGCATAGGCACATATCCATCGGCTTTTCAAATTGACAAATTTAGGCAAAAAGAACCGCTTAATGAAACAAGGTAGTAAATTATGCTTTTTTTATCTCTTTTGGTCTTTTCTCACATTGATCCTATCAATCACAGAAAAGCAACCGTTTTTTAGACATCCAACAATCCAGTTGTTCTTAGTATAGATCGATTCAACATAAAACTTTGCCGCGCAGTAGATCTTTTGCTATCGGCGTTAACCGGAATTCTTTGATTTAGGCAACAAAGAGATTATCTCCGACTGCCATCTCGATTTTCTCATACAGTTTGACACCCTCCACACTATTTTCGTATTTTGCGTGTTGCACTCACTCTATCCCTTATCCAAAGTTTACCAAAACCAATAAATTATAAAGTATAGCACCATGGCTGCCAAAGACGCTAAAAAGAAAGACCCCGTCTTCTCCCTGATTTCCGGCACTATTGCTGGTGGTATTGAAGGTGTCATTACTTACCCAACCGAGTATGTCAAGACACAGTTGCAGCTGCAAGCTGGTGGCAAGTTACAACCTGGCGAAGCACGATTCAAAGGTCCCATTGACTGTCTTGTACAAACCTATAAAACGCGAGGCTTTTCTGCTATATATACTGGTGTTGGTGCCTTGGCTATTGGCAATGCTGCCAAAGCTGGTGTACGATTTTTGACATATGACCAGATCGCCAATCAGTTACGTGACAAGGACGGCAAGTTGTCTGGTGCCAGAAGCTTGTTAGCTGGTTTGGGTGCTGGCATGACCGAGGCTGCACTGGTGGTGACTCCCTCAGAAACTATCAAGTACGTCTATGTGTGAATATGAATTAGTTAGAGATATATATTGGGTGAATGACAATGAACTAACAGATAATGTATTGTTTTAGAACAAAGTTGATTCATGATAAAAACAGCCAAACACCAAGATATAAGGGATTGGTACATGGTACTTCGACAATTATCAAAGAGGAAGGTTTTAGCGGCATTTATCGTGGTGTAGGTCCTGTCATGGCACGTCAGGGCGCCAACAGTGCTGTCCGATTCAGTTGCTACTCAACATTCAGGTCATGGTTACAATCGTACCGCGGTCAAGGTGACGCACCGTTGCCATCCGCATACACATTTGCTGCTGGTGCCATGGCAGGTATCGTCACTGTTTATACCACAATGCCCCTGGATGTGGTCAAGACGCGTATGCAGGGTCTGGATGCTCGTCAGTTGTACAAAAACTCGGTTGATTGTTTGCTCAAGGTCGTAAAGGCCAATGGTGTATTTTCGTTATGGAAGGGTACTACACCCCGATTGGCGCGTTTGATTGTAAGTTTTGTTCTCTTGGGTTCGATACATATGTGGTGCATGGATTGTTTGAGGGGATGAATGATTCTGTCGAGTATGTGTTCTATGTGCTATACTTGATGTGAATAACTCATTGAAAACTTTCAATATCAGTTCTCGGGCGGCATCGTGTTTACCGTATACGAACAAGTATACAATGGTCTTACACTGTTCAAGAGCAATTAAGTATATTCATATCTATATGTATATTATGTAATGGTATATAATATATATATATATATATATATAACAGAATGAATTTTTAAACAATAAGCCTTGTATCTACCAGAATAGAAGAAAAAAGAAAAGACAGATCTAAACAATATATAATACCACTAGAAAAATAAAACAATATAAGCAAAAGAAGAATAACAAGTATTTTTTGTGGGAAGGGAGTATACAATACTGGTATGGATATATGGGTGAATAATTATGCGTGTAAAAAGATAGAATAGTAATAAAAAGAGAACTGGAAGGACCAGTTTTCCAGCGTTCCTTCATTGTTAATAAACAAATCTATTAAGAAATAGTAGTAGTAGTGGTGGTGGTGGTGGTGGTAGTAGTAGGAGTAGCGGTGGCAGCAGTAGCATTGGTGGGACTAATAGCAGTAATAGTAGTAGCAGGATGATCGTCAGCAGGCGAGCTCGGGCCTCTGCTCGTAGATCGATCTAATTCCTGTAAAGACGCACTGATTGATAGCTGTGTTGCAGATCGCATCACTTCTGGACGACAGCTGTCGGGCTCCTTGACCGGATTATCGATATTGTATTCATCATCTGCCAAAGGTGAACTTGGATACGCTACAACAACACTATCGCCCGAGGGTCGACGCGTAGGTGTCACTGGTACAGAACTTCGTCGATGGTTATTGTGGTGATAGTGGTATGGATGGCGGAACTCGAAAGATGTTGAAGATTGGCGTGAAGTGGGACTGGATTGACTTGGATGTGGATGATGTTGGTGTCGTCCACCTGTGTAATGGTTGTTGTTGTTGTTGGATGACGACGACGATGGACTGATAGGTCTGCTGGTGGTAGTGGTTGTTGTCGTGGATGCGATGGAATTAAAGGTATTATCACGTTGATGTTGCCGCGTACTGTTGCTCGTTCGTCTGCCTTTTAATGGTGTGCGAGAACTATAGGACATGGCCGGTGAAACTGGCTGGCTACTGCCGAGAGACGTCGGCGATTGCACCGTAGCTAGTAGCTAACGCATTCAGTTTTAAAGGAACACACTTATATAAAAGCTCACCCTTTTATACCTTTCCTCATCTGACTTAATGCAAATTGTTGTTTTGCTACTTACTTTCTGTTTCAAATTCTGGTGGCTCGATCCACTCGTCCGGTATAACACAAGGGAACATGGTGCCTAGCTTAGCAGCTCGATTGATCCATCCGGGAGGTGTTTTTCCCGTTAGTCGTTTACACAATTCGTCCGTAAAATGATTACAGTTTCTAATAGTATTACATAATAAAGCATACAGGGTTAATTTATACTGTTCATATTTGTCGAATAATGGTAATTTTAATTATTACCTGGTCAAGAGATTGTACGTTGTACCACCAAATTCGTGTGAAATAGTCTGCAATATCTGACCTACTTCGCTTTCTGATAGATCTGTATAACCCATTGCAATTGATTGTCTGATTTTTATCACCCTTATTAGTTGCTATTGACTTACACTCTTACAAGAAATTAGACGAGATATAGAAAAAGGCCTACTTGAACAGAACCCCTGGAGGGCCAATTTTAGGTTCAACGGCGAATACACCTGTCAGGTTATCATACTCGTGACCTCCAAAACAATATTCGCGACCACCCACTTCAATGCCTGAATGGTAGATCCCTTTTTTATGAAATATTAATTGTTACTAGTGCGTCACACTCACACACACGCAGCAGCAGCAGCCTTCAGCCCCATCAGAAGGTTCTCTCTTGCATTCGCCAATCCTAGCACTAGCGGTCGAGAAAAACGTTCGCTATCTTAAATCCAACCAGGTTTATTACTACTGCTTACCAACACCCAATGCGTAGCCAACGTTCGTTAATACACTCGGTTCAAGCTATTGTTCAAACAAACCTTTCGTTAATCCTTGTTTCCCAAACCCATCCTCCTCTTCTGCGTCAACTTTCTAGTTATCTTCTCCAAAAATAAAAACAAAACGGTTTTTTAAAAACATCCTATGGTTACTTTACCATGTCGTATACGTTGACGAAGACTAAAATGGGTTAAACAAAATTGAGAAAGTAATTAGGACTCGGTGGACAAGATTATCGAACGGAAAAGTTTAGTTTAAATAGTGGTGTGGTGACTTTACCTCTCAGTTTATCGGCATTCTGGGAATTATAACGCGATTTCCAAAAACCATTACAGACTGCTTCAAACATTTAAGTGAACAACGAGTAAGTGTCGGTTAGAAGGGAAACAGTGTTGTGTTTATAGCAGCTAAGATAAAGCGAGAGGAAAAGAGAGAAAGAGAGAGAGTGTGTGTAAAGGAACAAGAGAAAAGAAGAAAGCTGTGGCGGATCTGAAAGGCTCTGCTGCTGTTTAACAGTAAACCTTGTTAAAATCCCGATGCTCTTTCGTTCCGTTTTGGTTATTGTCATGCAGACAGACACAACACAACACAACTATGGCGGAACAATAGAAGCGGCTCTACTTGTCTAACTTCTAACTGACCAAGTTCTAAATAACATATTAAAAGTGCCTGGCAATTTTTTAGATAATATACACTAGCATTATTGATGAGTCCCCTATTCTTCTTCTTCATGTGCTTTTATATTGCATAACCAGCACAAAATAGCATACCTTGTTCTTTCTTTAGATATATTTGCGCTTTTTCCCCCATTGCATTTACGACACGGCGAGCGAATTGGTCTCTTTGGTGAGATACTCACAATTCATGTCGGCACAGCAGCAGTAATAAAAGGAAGCATAATAGGCTAGCGTTGATGCTAGCATACCATTATGCACCTGTTTGTTTTGTCGATCCGTATATGTATGTATGTGTGTATCATACAGTATGTAAAGTGATGTTGTAATAACAAAGTGAAGCATACATATTTCTTGTGAGGACCTGTTTGTGTAGTTGATAAAAATTAGATACATTTGTGGTTCGTTCGTGGCTATGCATAAATATGTCATCTTTGGGATACTCTTATATTTTGGTATAGAAAACGTCATAGCTGCAATTTTATACTGGTAGCCGCATATCAGCTAAACAGCTAATCATGCATTAGAATGATGACTACTTGAACACCCCATGCACTATGATGTAGCGATACATCTTCTACTATCTTGCAGTCAATCCTCCTTTCTGCTTATGCTATAGACCTTTGGAACGAACGAAATTTGCATTGAAATTTTGTGGGTCTTAGCTTTCTTGCTAGTTTTAAAGTATAAGTAGAGAGAGTGGCGTGAAGTGTAACTGTCGTGTTTATTTTTGTCGTTCCTGAGGAGAAAGAAGAAGAAGGGGAGGGGGAAGCTATACAAGTATATGAGTGGACGAGGATGCGGATAACAAGGGCAGGATGCGTGGGCTACAGAATGATTGTTTTATGCAACGTAGGTATATGTGTCACGTTCTTCTCGAGCAATGAACTGTTTTTCAATCAATTGCTCAATACACTTTTTAATCAAGATCACCGAAGGATTGAATCGCGACCGTGTTTGATCAATAATCTCCTGCACCAACTGGACATGGGTCAAAGCTTTTCTGGACTTCATGATACGCACAATGGCTGCTTGCAGATACATGCGTCGGTCTTCATCCACTGCTTTTCTTGCTGTCTGGCTTTCTTGCTGTTCAGTCTGTGCAGCTGCAGCTACCTTTATTTTGGTTCGTTTGCTCGTGAATGCCAAGTTGAGTGAGAGGTGTGTGTTGCTGTTGTACTCATTGTCGGATGGTTCAAGCAGTTTTAAATCCATGAGTGGCTAAAGCAAGGTTAATAATCAATACTGAGATTCTTTGTTGCGGCTGTTGTATCCTTTTCTAGCTCAAGTTCATTCATTACCTTGATGCTTCGAAGTGTATCTAGCTCAGAGAGGCCCGATTGATGTGTCATGTCAGCTACAGACAGAGTCGCTTGAGCATTAAACAAGAGCAGAAGCACCATCTGGAAAAGGCCCATCTGGATTTCATACGGCCGGTCCAAATACGTGAGTCGCAATTCGCCTCTGGCCAGATTCCATTGCCACAGTAACTTGCGACCGCTATGATGCTGTCCATAAAACGCTTCAAAGTGCGATACGCTTTTTTCTAGTTCGGCAGGAATATGGATCTTGTTGGCCTCGGTCGCCTTTCCATCGTCTTTTTGGTTCAGTGGCCAAGCTCCAGCTGTCAAGACTTGGATGTCGAATCCAACTGCAGATAATGAGGATACATGTTAGGATATCATAACATACATAGACATTTCAGCCATATATTATAATGTCATAGTATCAATTTACCATTTAGTTTCGATGCGTTTTGCTTGAGATACTCTCGGAAGGTAATATTTAAATCGTTACTCAATGACATGTCCGTAAACATCTTGTTCAGTTTACTAGTGTATTCCACTCCGCATATTTCCTAATTGTTTTTGATAACAGTCTTGCATATATTAGAGAAAAGTTCCACGCATCTCTTCCTTTCTCCTTTTCCCACTAACCTTCAAGCGGTTGATCATATTCATTTCTAACTCTTCTGAAGATGATGTGCTATAAATCAATCGCTTGGCCAACATCCTTGAATAGAATTTTTGAAAGATGTCCTTGTCTTCGACATACTTGAACAGTGCGATCTAAACATTTGAAGAGTTGTTGGTTGGAAAAAAAAGCCTACTCACGGTAGAAATACCAATGATGATGAGGTCTAACCCTGACTTTATAATCTCTCTTACCATCTTCATGAGCTTTTCTTCCGGGTCCGTGGGATCCTCTGCATCAAATCGTCGCAAATTGGCCTTCTTCTTGTTACTATTCGTGGTTGTAGTAGTCGTAGGATCCAGGGACGAAGAAACAACAGCAGCAGATACATCTTTTTTACCCGCATTTTTTCGCATCATCATGTCACAGTAACGAGCAAGTGTTTCCGGACCACTGGCACTTGGATTGGTTTGAGTATCATTTACGACAGTACGGAAGGCCTTGTCCACGGCAGCAGTAAACAAAGGGTCTGAGGCAAACACTTGGCTATTCACACTGTAATACTTGCTGTGCAAGCTCAACAATTGATCTACATATGCTTTTGGAATCTAGGATCGCATTTCATAAGACTTTAGTCATATATCAATGTCAATCCCCCATCCCCCGCAAAAGACATGAAACAGGCTAATATAAATTCATACCTTTGGAATGCTATGGCCGAGCTTGGCCAAAATATCTTTGCCCAGTCGAGCCACGTAATCTTCATAAATAGATAGAATTGATTTCAAACCATCCGGTATCCGCGTCAAAAGATTATACGCCATCGTACAGTCTACAAGAAAGTAAGTATAATATCTGCTTGCAGTGTGTCCAATTGCCTTCATTTGTAACATATCCTTGTGATTGGAATAGAGGGTTCCTATCACTTTTTTATACCTTTGAACCGCTCCTCGAGTAACATGCTTCGAAACTGTTCCACAATTCGATCCTGGTATGCCGCAATATACTGTGCTTCAAACTCTTTCACAACTCGCCGATGCGAAGTAGAGTGACAATATCTATTGTTTCTCAAAATCTCTTGCTGTAATCTTTCCATGGCCTACATACGACAGATGATAATGAAGGGGTCAATGTTTGTGATGTCCAACGTGTCTGGATGTCTTTGTTACGCATGCTGATAAAACTTTACCCGTGTCATAAATATGCCTATGTTGCCCATGGCCATTTCCCGTGCCGCTTCCGCTTCAAAGTATCGTTTGGTGTGTACCAAATACGGCCGTTCAAATTCCTCGATATAGAGTTGCAGCGGTTGATCTGTAAAAGCATTGGCTTGGACCAAGGAAGTGACGACCGTTTTGATAGTACTGTGCGATGCCTCGTTACCATCCCTATCCCTTCGAATCATTTCGAATACTTGATAGAACAATCGGTTTTGGTATCGGTCGCGAATCGTGAATAAGACATTGCTCTTCCACAATGATAATGCCAGCTAAAACATACATATAATTATAAGTTTTTCGTCTTTCCAAAACATCGCTAGTGTTCAACAGGCATGCCTAATCACCATCATCCAAAATTTTCCCATATAACTTACAGCTTGGACATTTTGTTTTCGGTATTTTCCGCCCACAACAGTAGGTCGTCGGTCCGTTCCAGAGGAAGAAGATGATGCTGCTGACGTTGCTGTGGTTGACGATCCCATACTTGTTTGTGAAATCAGCCTATTTAGATAATCGCATCCACGTGATATGTCCCCAGCAGCCATCTCGAAACGTTCAAATTCGTGGGCGTATGCAGTAACTATATCGTCATGGGCCAATATAGTCTACCGTAAATATTTATTATTTAATAAGCATATAGGCAAAGATACACGTATATACACGCGCACATGAAAAAACACCACAAAGCAAAAAGCAGTTGGCTAACCTCACACACGCCCACTGTATGCTTGTCAATATATTCCGCTATACCCGCAAAGAGTCGATCCGTGAATGGTCGTGGAATCGCGTTGCACATGTCATATACAAGTCTTTATAAAATACATATAAGACGTAATGAGTAATAAATTTATTTCTAGTAAACGCTATTATTATAAGGATACGCACTGGTACATGTTCATGCCCGAAATTCTATGAGCATCGACGACGGTAGAGAACGAAAAGATGGCGTCAAGCGTCATTTGCAACTCTGCAAATTTCTTTTCAAAGTTGATTACTTTTCTTCGAAGCGACATTCTGTTGTTTATCGCTGTAATGGAGAGAGGAGAGAAGAGAGAGAGGGAGAGTACGTAAGGGTCGTTTTTAGGGTTTTTTTTGCAGGAAAAAAAAGGAAAGGGGTGGGGGAGGGTTCAGCGTTTTAAGTAGAAAGATGATAATGCGGAGCTGTGTTCGTATATTATGCTACTGTGTATATGTTTGGGAGAGAGAGGAGAGGTGTTGCCAAGGAGCGAAAAAAACATAGGTACGATAGCTTATACGCGAAAGTCGACTAGACGTATTCTGGAAGAATTTTCCGGATCTCGCACTGCAATGCCTGCCTTGATGATGGTTTCGATATAGGGTGACCAGTAAGTACCTTCAATGAGTGTCAAATACGGATCATGCGGTTTCAGAACCGCCAAGTTCATCAGGTCCTATGAAAATATGGAGGAGGTCAGCCCCCTTGTAGTCGTCAAATGCATTATATGCAATATCGCACTTACTTCCAATAAGAATGCTAACTCGCAAGTATCAACTTCGTCACCTTCATCTATCATTTCCGGAGCGCCCTATCCACAAATTACAGATTAATTGCCATGTATAACATGTATAACAGTACTTACGGGCATAAGTAACTTATTAGCTGACTAAACAGAAATAACAAAACGCGCTTACATCAACCGGATGAGGGGGGAAGTGCTCGTTTACAAAGTTGATCAATTCACCCATAATCGTTCGGTGCTTATCTCTTAACCGATTCAATGTTTCATGTGCTTCTCTGTTTGATACAATGATAATAGAGAAGAATTAGTTTGCTGCCATTAGCTGATGTATCCCCTTAAATGCGTGGTTGAATGGTCGGTTTAGATGGTGGGGAAGAGGGATTACTTACATTGATGCACGCTGCATAGCTTCTGGCTGTCGTGCCTCTTCTACTCGTTGCTGTAGTACCTCGGTAATTTGTTGGCATTCTGATAAGACAGTCTGTTCGCGTCGTAAAGCTTCCGTTGTATCTGTCAATTCTTGGTCAACCGTTTTGAGGGCTTCGTGTAACTGCTCCACTGTCGAATGTAACCTTTCTTTGAATTGTAGCTCATTCACGGTTTCGTCTTTAGGTCGTCGAATTTCCCTGACAGCTACATAGTAAGGTCCAGTGCCACTTTTGTTACTGATGGCTCGAAATAATGCCACGAGCACTAAATGTATGTCTCTCTCTAACTTACATTCTATCTGTTCCTTCAAATCTTTACCGAGTTCTTGTTGTTCGACTTTGAGTGTGGATAGGTACTATATATATGTGTATGATGCCCATGTATCAGCCAAGACATCCACTGGATCTTAAAATTGCAACCATTTTAACCCGTGGAAAGCGTACCTTTACTTGCGCTCCAACTTTTAACACAAACAGCTTCCTTGATCCGCTTGTGGCAAATGTATCCTCGAGCTATATATACACAGGGAACTGTTATTAGAGTCAAACACGCATAACATGTAAAGAGAGAAAAGAAGGCCACTCGCAGCTGGACCTTCCTCTACAAAGGAGAAAACAGAACAAGCGCAGGAACAAACCTCATGAAGTCTGGCCCAAAGTTGCTCGCGTTCATTCTTTTGATCAAAAAGAATCTGGTCGAGATGGCTTCCACGTGCTGTACCGTCTTCTGAACTCTCAATTTTACGTTCCTCAGCAATGATTTGATCGAAATCGCGAGCTGCCTGTGCAATAATTTCCTTAAGTTTCTCTTCGATCCACATTTTAAAGTTTTCTTTTATGTACAAGAAAGATATACAAGGAGAAATAGATAATTTCTTGCGCGTTTGATAACTATCTTTTTATTTTATTTTTTCGGGGAACCCGCTCCTTCTTTTTCGTCATAATTTACATACTCAATATACCAGCACAACATACTCAATAATGGAATCAGCAGCATCAACAACGCCAACAGCATCAGCGACAATAGTAGCAGGAACACCCACCGACAAACCTGAAAAATCAGAGAAGCCAGCAAAGCAAAAAGGCAAACGATCACGGAAAAATGCCGCAAAAGACAAGCCTATAAAGATCAAATTGACAACAAGAGACAATAGTGGAGTGGCGACGACGACTGGAAGAGCAGCAGCAGCAGCAGTAGCCGTTGCATCGGGCAGTGGTAGTGGTGGTAGTGGCCATCAATCAACCATGAGCGGATCCGAAGATGAAGACGAGCCAGAAGCAGCAATCGAAGAACATTTGATTTTACGATTACCGCAAGGCGAAACCTGTGAGCGGTTACGAGAAAGTGTACGAAAGCGAGAAGTGCCGGACGACGTGAAACTTACAATGAAAGGTATTGAGGTTGTATAGTATATACACACGCACACACATACTCTTCCGATGCAACAAGCAGCAGAAACCCTTCTTTGGTTTAACCAGTTAGAAAATCCTGCTAGATAGTAGACGAGGATACTTTTGGATTGGCGGGCGAAAGTATGATACGACGTTGATGGATTTGCCTACGATCATTGAATCGCAAAAAACCTTTGATAAGAAGCAATTTTACAAGATCGCCGATATATCACAGGCAAGTATTGCTGGCGTGAACTGTTACAGATGTGCGTGCATGCGTGTGCTGTATTATTAACATCGACAGTAAATATCAAACAGATGCTCTTAGTCGATGATGGAACTACTCCATCAGAAGAAGCAAATAGCCGTGTTAGCAGTAGCGATCCCTATATGTTTCAACACGGCCTGACACCACCATTAAAGTATGTACGACGACGAAGATTCCGCAAGAAGCTTTCTAAACGTGCGATCGAAGAAGTTGAACAAGAAGTCGAACGGTTATTAGAAGTAGACGCACAAGCAGAAGATGTGCAATATGGTCAGTGCCTCTTCCTCTTTTTTTTATTATTTGAACGGTCTGGCCACATGCATGATAGATACCTGATGGACATAAACCACTTGCTATATCTTAAACAACAGAGGTGTTTGATAATCGAGAACTGGAAATGGAGAATGAATCGGATGGCGGAACTCTTGATATTGATATGAGCGAGCCACCAGAGAGCGAAAGCGACGACGATCTGGCTGCAGCTATTGACCGTGATTTGGAAGAACTCGACGAAGATGATCGAGAGGATGAGGATAATGAAGATGAGGACGAAGAGGATGAAGACAGTGATGAAGAGGAAGACGAAGACGAACGAGGTGATACTGGTGAGATTGGTAAGCGTTCTTCTTTTTGTTCCTGCTTGTCCTCCTGCCCCTGATTGGTGCAAGCCGCAGCAGTTTTTCACAGCAGCATAACAATAGCAGCAACAGAAAAAGGAAAAGGAGTATATAACTAACGACGCTATGAAACAATAGAACAAAAACGACAAGAGATTGCAGAAATCAAACAAGCTATTCAACGCAAGAGCGACAATCTAAAGACAGCACCAAATGCAATGTTAAAGGTAAAGAAAAAGAGGTGGACAGTCCTGATGGGAAAAAGTAAACTGACTAAACACACTTTTTTGTACGTATAGAAACGATTTGAGGATGACTTGGAGAAACTCAAGAAGGAGCTTGCATTGAAGGAAGCATACTTGGCAGAGATGAACAAGGAAATCAGCAAACAGCAGCAATAAACAACCATAATAAAAGTCAAGAGTGTTTTATTGATACTTTACGAAAAAAAAAAGAACTTGTTTATACGTAAAGAAAGCAGTTAAAAGTGACAATGACAATAGCCTAGAGTGCCCAGAGTAAGTATATGGACCGCATGCACATACACACGGATACTACACAGTGCACCTAGTTTTCAGTGTGGAAATACAGCACTGCAGAAAATTACTTTTCCGCAACGTTGAATTATTTTTTATTATCATTTTCTTTTTTTAAATAATTGAGAGCCAACTAAGTTGGCTGCGGAAAAATTGCCGTAGCACTCCCGAAGGAGTACTACAGACGGGTTATTGGTTATAGTTTTCAACCAGCAATAAACCAGCATCGGTAAGACCTCACTTGCGTGGTTTTGCCCTTGCACAAAGATAAGGAAACAAATTTGGGCCCTGGGGAGCACCTGTATTTATACCTTTTTTTGCACGTCACAGCATTGCAACGCCGTTTGAAAAAAGCTTCCATGAGTTTCCACGCGCTACTGCGGAAGCCTACGCGACTGCGCGACACCCTGCGCGAAAATCATTCATCCGCAGCTAGCCTTCCCTTTTATTCCTTATATTACACCTGACGGAGTTAAAAGAGGTCGTAATCGCGTGTGATCCACAAGATGACAAGAACTACAAAGTTGTATTCTTTTGTGCGTGGCAATGCATTCTCTGCTAATCACACATATACGTAACATTATGGTTTCTTACCATAGCGTTCAACAATATATGGCGACACGACTCTTCTGCTTAAAAGGCCTACGTAATTGGTTTGATGATGTCTACCTTACCCTGTGTTCATACTCACTAAAAGCCAAGTGTAAAATACATCGGCTGCCGCGAGAAACACCTTTTGAAAGTTTTCACAAGCATATCAGTGGCTGATCATATAAGAAAGCCCTCTTTTCCATTCCGTCATTCTGACACACGGCTAGATGATGGCATCTGAATCACAAAGATAGTAGTGCTTTTCCTGCCCGTCAAGAATGTGCTGTGTTACTAAATCAAACATGGACTCCGTTTCCTTGTAGACTGGTCTCAGCTTTATTGTCGAGCGTGGATCTTTATTATTACGACACCCTTTCTGATTTATCATCTGATATATACAGAGCGAAAGCTATCAAGCAAGCACTATAGACACTGGCTAGCATTTATGCCAATTGAGCTGCTCTTTTTGAGTATTTCATATTTCGCTTTTCCTGTTACTGACGACTGCGGGTACTTTATTCGAGCCTTCAACCTTGATTATGCAGCGTCATCTATCGCAATAGTTATCATTGTCCTTGTACATCCTTGGGTGTAACAATCAATGTAATGATATATACCTAATTTTCTTCATGTCCCTTCCTAGCGCCGCACCTTAATTGCATCATCACATCAGTATAATAAAACACATACTGTAACACAAACGCGAAAAAATTTGAAGCCAAGTTGTATTTCATGCTTTTATCTTACAAATAAGAGGGGGTATGAGTGAGTGTTCTGAGCGAAGGATGAAGGAAAACGAGGGGAATGCGTGGCTGGAGTGGGGTTTTCAGTGCTATAAAGTTGCTACCAAGGTTAATAAAGGTTATGGTTTTTTATTTGTCGTGATGGCTACCAAGCGCAATAACATCGTCATCATCGTCACCGTCTGACGAAGGACCCTCAAAATCATTCTTGGTTTTTTCTGCTAGTACGGCGGACAGATGGCTATCGATGCTTAGACGAACCTGTGCTGTGCCACAGTCAGCTGCCGATTTTGACTCCTTGATCTTTCGGATCCAGCTGCGGTCGAGGTTCATAGCCGTGTACATGTATGGCGCCACAGGCTCGCTGTATCCATTCATCTTGCTTGTTTGTTTGGAACGTGCATCAGCCTTAAGTCTTCGTAATTGATCATACGCAACAATGTAGCAGAACTTTGAATATTTTTCATTCTGTACCGTTCGCAGATACGCATAGCTTGCTTTGATCGCCTGCAGCATTTGTTCGCCATTGACCTGCTTGTCGACTTGCAAGATGGAGGAAGCAACCGTTTCGGGTGTCGTCAAGAATTCGCGTGAATAGTAATCTTCGAGTTCAAAGAGCGTGTTGTATTGGTTGTAGTCGTTCAAGAACGGTTCTGTCGCTCTTGCAGGATCGAATCTGCTGTCTGTCTTTCGCTGACGGCGCAGTACAAGTTCTTTCACATCGCGTGTATAGTTTTCAAACTGTTCATTGATCAGATACTTGATCTTCGCTAGGTCTTGATCAAAAAGTTTGTCCTTGAGCTTTTGCGCCATGGCCACGGCATTTTCCCACGGGCCATAAAGATCCGCGTCCTTGTACTTCACATCTTGTTCGTCGAACATGCTACGCGTGTATCGGGTGAATGCGTCGGTTTTTTCGAGGAGTGCGTCGTAGAGTTGGTCCATAGCCGTGCCACGCGATTTCTCACGCAGCGTCACGTCTTGATTGACTTCTTGGTAGGAGCGGAAATCTTTCTCACGCTGTCGATTGCGCTTGTCTTGGAACCATTGCGGATATGGGATTTTGCCAAAGGTGTTGCGGTCGCGTCGCAATACGCTGGGTTTGAGTGCAAGGCCTTGTTTGGGTGCATCCACCAACTTGGCGCACATGTGTGACAGATATATGACATCGGAACTGCCCAGGCCGACTGTTTCCGATAGCACTGTGCGCCAGTTCTCGTATTGTCCCAATGTACCGTCCGGCACGGTCACTGCAATAAAGTGTTTTTGCAGTGCTTGTTCTTGTGCGTTCTCGTCACGATGTCGGATCAGCTCTTGTCGTACACGCGTCTCGTTCTTTTCAAAAACTGTCTTCATCTGTTCTGGTTCATCAGGCATCTCAGATCCTATGAATGGCTCAACTATTCGCTGATCCCAGCAGCAAAACACCTGTTTTTTTTTTCAAAGAAAATGTTAGTTTTTCGATGCAGGAAACAATCACAGAATACAGTATATAAACGTACAATATCACCATCATAGTCACCTCCACCCAGATAGCTTGCAAGAGACCGTTTGCCTTTGATTGGGAATATGATGACATCCGTGTATATTCTCAGTTCAGGACGATCAACGGCCTTGACCTTTTGGATGTCGCTTTTAAGACCACATGGATTGCGAGTGACAATCACATCACCTGTCACAAGGCCTGCCGGGATTCCTGTCTTTTCGTCGATTTTACGATTAGACAGTTGCAGGAAGACCTCTCCTTCTTCAAGAATCCCGGTCGGGTCAGGGATGCACGTTACTGTGCACGATTGCTGCACCTCAATCTTGTACTTTGTACAGACTGACTTCATCACATCGCGAAAGATATGTGTCACCTTGGTGGCGACGTGTGGATTCGATAAATCAAATCCAGAGTCAAGTAACCGTACGGTTGATTCGTGCAATGCCGCTGGCAAACCAGAATACGAATTGATTTTCCAGTAATCGCTTTCGACCGATCTGCTGCTGCTAATGCTGCTGCTGTTGCTACTGCTTAACCGACCCTCTAGCGAAGTACCATAATCTTCGCCAGGACTGTAGACTTCCAGATAATCGTCTGACGAATCGACCGACTGCTGTTCGCGCCATATGTCCTTTTCCGTATCCTCCATTTCCCATCGTGACCGCATGATACATCCGGTCTTGGCAATCCAGTCGCGTAGCAGCCGAATGTTGCGATTTTCCGTCACCACTGTTGTCAATCGATGCAAATATTCATGCAACAAGTCAACAAAGACGGATGCGGGCACGCCACCGGAGGACAAGCATTGGATGAACTGAGTATTCAAGTTCGACGGGTAAACGCATATTGAGTTCTTGACCAAGTCAAATGTATAATGAATCGGATCAATTTTCATGTCGTATTGCAAAACGCCAGTCTTGAACTTGTGCTGCGATCTTCGAATCTTGATCCAGTCGCCTGAATTAAAGTCCAGGTCTGGCTCAACGATCCAAATGCCCTTGGCACCACCAATACGGCCCTGGACAGCGCACGGCAGCGTATCCGAATGTTCACAGCCCATGATCTTGCGCATTGCCGACACTGAAATCAGTCCACAACCATCGGTCATGCACCCTTCGTCGCCACCACCGCTTGCTCTACCATTACCATCACCATCTAGAGCATCCGAGTAAATATCGTCAATGTATTGCACCTTGTCCGGATCAAACGTCAGCGTCGGGATACTGTTGCTGTAACCCAGCGTCATGCGGCTCGAAAACTTGCTGATGGTCATGTCCCAGTTGTCCAAAATAGGAATGTGCCAGTCAATCACCTGCCGGATCGTCATTGTTTCGGCCAGGTCCGATCCTTCCGTTGCGAACAAAATAACCTTGTCGTCCTTAATGAACAAGAAGCGATAAGTTCGACCCATCAGCAAAAACGGTTTCAGAAAGTAGTCCTGGTGTTTGCGGATCATGGCTGGATGGGTGCCTCGGTCCAGCTTGAGTTCCAAGAACCGGTCGTCGCCGTACTTGCGGAAAAATCGATTGGATGCCGCTACTTTGGGTGGACGTAGTTCGATGACTGGTGGTTTGCCGTTCGTTAATGCGATGACTGCACTATAATGAAGCATTCGATTGTGGCTACTAGTGCTGATTTGCTCCTGTTGCTGTTGCTCTTCTTGTTGCTGGTTTTTTTCGAGATGCGTCCACACATGGTCCGAGCATCGTTCCATAAGACCATATACGGCTGCGGATTTCGTGGTGGTGGCGCCCATACGGAGTCCATGCCATTCCATCATGCTTTGAAACAAGTTGCGTGGTTCTGCTTTGGCAACATCGAGGAATCGTTGTAGGATTTCAAATGTGAGGTCTTGGATGTGACACGAGGTGATGAATCTGGCGATTTCGTACTGGACTGCCCAAGGTACGCCGTCATAGCACTTGGTGCCACGCGGTGGGTTGTACAGGATGTTGGATTTGCTGTTGTTGGTTGTGGCAGTATTAAAGCTACTGTTACTACTACAGCTCTTTCCAAGCATTGCATCCGCTTGGCTCTGTTCAAACGGGGATAAGGGTGGTGTGAGTGGTGATGAGCTACTTGTAGTAGTGCTTGTACTGGCCACGCTTGACGTTTGAGATACGAGAACAGTAGAACCATTTGAGCTTGCTGAGCTGCCAACGCTGCTTGACCGAACGCGCTTCGCACTACGTCCAAGTACACTTGAGGCTACAACTACGGCCTCTGAATCTGCCGGTCGTTTGCCTTTTGTTGCCGTAGTCGTTGGTGCTTTGTTTGGCAGTGGTGTAGATGCAGGTGGTGGTGTTGATGTGTCATCGTCAATAATCACTACATTGCGCACCGAAGAAGAAGAAAGAAATGACACAGTGTAAGTAATTTGATTTCTTCAGCCTTGTTCTTTTTTCACACTGTACTTGGCAAAACATATAATTCCTTGTACAAAAATCTTACGGGCACAAAATGCGTCAATGGCCGCGTCGAGTCGAGTAGTCAAGTCTTGAACTGATTTTTTCGTTCCTTTCGGTGGAGACCATTGCAGAAATTCACGAACGACTTTGGTGAATTCGCTCTTGTCTGTCAAAAATAGGTTTTGCATTTTTTGCACCTCGATTGGACAATTCTTGACATGACAGGCGAGCAGTGGAATCCGATCACGCAGGTCTAAATGGTTATAGACTTGTTTAGCGCTTCGAATCACTTCTTGCGCCGGCAAAGTCATTGAGTGAGTAGAGAGAGGCGGTTCTCCTAAAGAGAGAGAGGTTGTGTTATATATAAACTGGGGGGATTGTTATTTACAATATAAAAAGGAGTCTTTATAAGTATGATAAAGTATAAAACACGTCGATGATACGGCAAGAAGAGAAAGGAACACGGTGCGCGTGCGCGTACACGCAACAAAAATAAATCTATGCGTTTCACCCACTGCTCGAAATTTTTAACACCGCTGCTTGGGTCAGTCTTTTGCGTTGATACTCCTTGGAAGTTGTAGCAGCAATTAGCGCATTGTTTCTTGCACTGACTTGGGTCCCCATGTCGGTGCAAACGGCCCTAGTTTTTCCGATGTTTATTTTTTATGGGCGCGTGAGAAGAAACAAAGGGAGAAAGAGTTCGCAGACGCTTACATTACCATGTACATCCACTCTACAGGCTCGTCAGAGATAGATCGGCCCACTGTTGCTGCTAATTACTACAGTTGCTTTTTATATCATTGCAAGCACATGTTTTCCTGCAATGACGATAGAGTATTACTATTGCTACCATTATCAACTCTCTGTACACAACGGTCATTTTCTCTTCGTTGACAGTTGACATCTGACTCACAAATTTAGTCACGGGTTGAAAGAAAATGGTTGCACTATATCGATTGTGCTACGATGCCAGCAATAATGACGCCCGACAAGAGCCTTATCGTCTCTGCCCCAAAGTGCTAATGCTAACGAAGATGTCCTATAAACTACGTGTCGGTATATATAAGCATAAAAAAGATAAAAAGGGAAAAATTTATCGCTTTGCTGTGGCTTCACCATACTGGCCGGCATCGTGAAAGAAACAATCAGTACGTATATTGTATCACCACAGGATTCCGATTATACTGCGAGGACAGAGTTTCATTTGCTTGTATGTCCAAAAAGAGAGTGCTTCAAGTATTCAGCATTTCAAGATGCCTTTATTTTATACTAAAACACATCTCCTTACAGCTGGCTAGCATAATACTTACGCTGGTACGTATCCAACTCCAACTGCTTTATAGCATCAACTTCATAATGTGAAATTTACGTCAAAATTTCCAATCGGTCTCTTATCCGCTGGCATAAGATAACAGATCCAGATGTCAGTTGGACATCATCAGAAGTAGCTCCCTAGTGCGAATTACCCCACACGAAATCAAGTTGCATATCGAATTTAGTGCAAACTGTGTCCATTGGAGGAAACATTTCATAAGGAGATCGTTTCTAACTGAGCACTACCTTGAAATCGTCTGCCGCCGGAAGTGGAATACTAGTGTGCACTAATAACTCTTTGTTATATGGTGCATTTCGTCTGTAATCGCCAAAACTTCATTTTGTTTCAATTTTCAACTTTAAAATTCAGATTCTTTATTCGGTAATATGTGTAACGTGTTAATAGTGAATGGCAATACTCTCTTGAAGAAAACTTTTAACTAATCCCAGTGCTTCTTTCCTGGGTATATCCTATGAATATGCCTAAACAATCTCCCAATCATAAGGGATTGTCTCCTCTTCCATTGTTGTTTGAATTGCCTCGTTCAATGTGGTTCCAGTGACGATAATACGACCATTATCATGACATTGCTTTTTCTAAGCAGCCTTTTGGTGCTTACTTTGGGGAGCCATGGTAAAACAGTATAGAGAGTGAGGGAAAGCAAATCTCGAACATGATTGGCTGATAGCTATTCACACGTGACCGTAAAAACCCTGACGCGCTTGTGCAACATGTTTCAAATCGCATTCTTCCCTGCTAAATATCTGAAAATTGCCTTTGACCGACCATCTTTGACAGCTATCAACTTTTTTTTAAAACTTTTTTTGCAACTTCTAAACTTCAATAACTATTCTTTACATGCCTAAAAGTGTTTATTAAAGTATAGATTTGAAATATAATGATTTAGGGTAAAGTAGATAGATCTCAAATTTGGAAGAAATTATTGGCGATTACAGATGAAATGCACCATATAACTGAGCTGTTTATCATGCCAATCAAATTAAACTTAGCGAGCAACTTGCATAACTTTCCCTGCTTTAATAAAAAAGCCGTAATCAATTTTTATTCACTTTTTTTTGTGCGATACTGGAAGGGAAAAGGGTGCGTTCTTTAGCTTTTGTTTTGACGAAAATAATTACATGATCGGGATCGAAGAAAAAACTGGGTAGAAGAATGAATTTTTACGACATTTGTCTTAATGCATCTTCACCAAGACTATTTCGTTCGCGCTGATGACTAGGATCATGCTTAGGGCCGTTCAAAGTAGTCTCCCACAATGCAGAGCTGCCAAATCCATCATCAAACTTGGCACCGACAGGTGCAAATCCAGGCGCATCTGCTTTCCTAACTCCCTGGTTATCGGCCTGTGATGCGTGGGTGTATCCTGCTGTAATTTTGTCCCACAAGGACGGTCTTCGTTGCTAAAATGATTTCAAGTTAATCATATGCTAAGCATCGATGCACCTTCGGTGAGTACAAAAAAATATAACTGACATACCGATGAAGAAGATTGCTCCATGTGTGCACTTCTTTCTTGTTGTTGGCTTATAATATTCTGGTTCATGACTGTAAATAAAGAGAGTAAATCATTTTGTGTGCGGCTCCCATGCATTTATATTGGATGGCTGTGTTACATTGTTTGGGGTGCGTCAGCTGGGACGTGAGTGAATGTGCAGATGACATGGGTTTACACTCAAATTCTGCATAAATTTCACTTTTAAGCGGTGCGGCACCCTAGACAACAGAGATATTAACCAATGACAATGTATGTGTCGGTTGACGGTCTGGGTCTAAGAGCCGCAATTCTCTTTGGCTGTTGCATGTTAGAGCCAATTCCCGTGGAACAGTCGTGGTGAATCATACATCGTTATGTCGGATATGCCGACAGCTCCGTTATAGTGGAACATACTCTTATACCAACCCTTATCAAATTAGCTACATATACCTGTCAAATGAATGCTTAACATCGTCATCATCTGCATACCAAGTCACTTTCTTCTATTCATTCATTCTTCTAGAATGTGATCGCTTCTACTGAGTCTGTCACGAAAAAAGTCTTCGTTAAGCATAGGCTTTGTTTCTCGAAATGTCAACAACCAACAATTATTGGAATCCAACTCGCTTACTACCCTAAAGTGGCGTATAAGATGATTATTTATAATCCGTGACGCTGTTGGTCATGAATGCAATTCCATCATATATAGTAGGAACAAAAACTCAATGAGATAGACTTACGATGTAGTAAATAGTCGGTAGAAAATGTGATTAAAGGTTCAGGTAAGTTGCTATGATAGTAATAAGGCGGGTCCTAAAACGGTCAAGCATCCAACAGAGAAGCTTCTTATGATATATCTTGTCGAAGAACTGGTCAGGTATAATAGAATAGGTCTACAACTGTGGAAAACAGAAGATACAACTCCACTGGTCTATATGTCATATGGTACCATTTGGTTTTATCCTGGAAGCTAGGTGTACTCATAAAGGTCCTATGATACTTTATGATGATGATGTGGCATATGTTACTGTCTGCAGGCTCATTCATAGAGTTGCAGGTGGATATCCATAAAAGCGAGGGAGCTGATGACTTCATTGTCGTCATCGTAACAGGAGGGGTGCTGTGTAGAAGGCAAATAGCATCGATGCAAGAAAGTGCTGGTGCAACCTTCTCCGATACTTTTCGAAGATCAGATCAGCACAAGAAGTATTATGATAAGCAAGTGCCCGCCGTTGGGTATCTGATATTTTGCCATGGTACATCCGTCATACAATATGATGTGCTATTAGCAATCAATAAACGCAAAACCCCCAGGTAAACGCGGTTCTATTTAAGCTTGGGGTTTTTTTGGGTCAGTTGAAATTTCCCATGCCTATGAGAAATCACAAGCCGGTAGATTCTTCCAGGGATTCTATGGTGGCATCGAAAAATACAACTGCGACTTGTTATATTTCTCTTGTTTTGGGTAAAAAGCACACAGCATTCACGTATGATATGCAAAAAAACACAAGCTCCGCAGGACCGGACTGTGTGTTTTGTGATATGCCAAGTGAGTACAAAAGCAAAGCAGATCACCGAAAAGACGGCGATGGTATCACAGCAGTAAGTTGTGGTTTTTTTTTTGACGGCCGTTTCCGACGTACGTATAGTAAAACATCTAACATTAAAAAAAAGAGCCTGATCATTTTTTCTTTTAGTCTTGGGGTCCTCCCTGGATTTTTCGCTTTCTTCTCTCTCTCTCTCTCTGTGATTTTCCTACTCTCTACGACTGTATCCAAGGGCATACCACTTTCTCCTTCGTCTCTGTTGTCCCGTCATAGTATATAGCATACACACATCCACATGGGTAATAGCCACAGCCACAACCACAGCAACACGAAAAACACGAGGGAACCCCGTCGTCACTCTTTCCACTTTGACATGCACATTCACCACGCACCAAAGCAACCCCAACCTATTCCGGACAGCGTTGATGGCGATCATTTCAAAGTCGGCTCTCGACTCGGTGCTGGCAGCTTTGGTGTTATCCATGAAGGTGAATCACTGAGCTGCTTCATATATGTTCAAGAGCCCTTTATTCTGTGAGAAGAAAGAGGAGGTTTAACATAAAGAGGACGACCAAATATGTATGTAGGAGTCAATACCGAAAACGATCAGCTCATTGCCATCAAGTTTGAGTCAGATCATGCGCGAATGCCACAACTGCGCGAAGAACATCGTATCTATGAAATGTTGGCAGGAGCACGTAAAGTAAATAAGCCATGGTTGTGACATAAGCTCACGGTTACGAGCTAAAACCTTTATTCTGTTTTATAGCTGGGTTTCCTGCGTCGTACTATTTTGGACATGAGAATGGTTACAATATCCTAGTGATGGATGTGTTGGGCCCCAATCTGGATGACTTATTCAGGATGTGTGATAAACAGTTTTCACCAAAAACTGTCTGCATGATTGCTAAAACTATGGTAAGTTACTATATTTCGGTGAGAGAAGCTCTTCGATTCATGAACTGATATTGACTATATGTGGGATAAAAAGCTTCATTTATTACAAACGGTGCATGACCTTGGCCTGATCTATCGCGACGTCAAGCCAGACAATTTTTTAATTGGTCGTGCCGGATGTAACAATCCCAAGCAAATTTACATGATTGACTTCGGCATGAGCAAACCTTACCGAGATCCTCAGACCGGGTGTCATATCCCATTCCGGGAGCGCGGTTGTATATCGGGTACCGCAAGATACATGAGTCTACACGCACATGCTGGCGGAGGTAAACTTGGTCAATATCGTCGTGTGATCTTTTTCCCCCATTATTAAGTTGGGACTACTGTGTACATAGAGCAATCACGCCGAGATGATCTAGAATCCATGGGCTATGTGTTACTCTATTTATTACGTGGCTCGTTGCCTTGGCAAGGCGTCAAAGCATCGTCTGAAGAGAAGAAATATGAAAAGATTGAAGAAATCAAACATCATACACCAATTGCTCAGCTGTGTGCCAATCATCCAGGTAAACTTCCCAGCGGATCGGTAGAGGACTAGTAAATGCATATGCTAACACCTACATATATTTAAAACCCTTTATCCAGTGGAGTTTAGTATATTCCTGCACTATGTTCGAAAATTAAAGTTTGATGAAGCACCAGATTACGACTTTTGCGAAAGCTTATTTGACAAGGCGCTGAAACGGATAGGTGCTACTGATGATGGCATCTACGACTGGACGTTACTGAATGACGGGAAAGGCTGGGAGGTAAGAGCACAACCTTGGAATAATATACTCACACAAGAGTTCGTATAATAACCGGATAACTCGTTGTTGTCTTTTGCTCTACATAGTCGTGTGAACCGAAACCGGAGCCGCTGATGCTAACTTATTAAAGGAGAACAAATACCAATCATACCACTTTGCACTACCATCCCCCAAATGTATAATTTTAACAACTCAATTCAACACATATGACATACCACGCACTACATTTTAACATAGTTTGTTCTACCTTTTTTTTTACTGTATACAATGAGAATCTACACGCATATTATATGTTTTACATTAGCTTTTTTTATGGATTGGTTGCAATTGTTTTTGTTACACGTGATATGGAAAAAGCAGATCTTGTTTGTGAGGGTGAAGAGTGAGACGTTTAATAATGAGCATAATCTAAAAGAACGATCTATCCATAAATCGTTGTAATGGGCTTGCTTGTGCTTCGGTCCACCTATTCAGGACAAAGAAAGGAAATAGGGTCAACACTTCATCTGCTCTATACACTCACACCACATGTATACATTACAGTCAGGTTATCTAAAAAAAACACTCACATGCTGAAACCTCGTCGTTGGACCCATCGACCATTCTGCTTCTTAGCGGTCTTTGCGTTATTTCGTGTTCGTTGACCACGGACGGGTAAGCTCATGGCGTGTCGTTTGCCGATATAGTTGTTGATATTACGATGATGCATAACATGTTCACGAATTTGGCGTTTCAAGTCGGTTTCGATCGTCATGGACGACAGCTGGTTGGTCAAGTCGTTGATTTGCACTTCGTTCAATTCAGACACTTTGAGAGTTTTAGAAAACTTGAGTTGTTCGCATACTTTGACGGCAGTAGGTTCACCAATGCCGTAAAAGTATTGTAATGCTGTGCTGTTTATCAAAAAAGTGTGTGAGTGAGTAACAATGTTACTTTGTCTTTCTTTTGACACTATAGGTTTCATTTATTAAAGTGTGTGCCCTGTTTTTGTTCACAGTGTGTCAATGTATGTGTACCTGACAAGTTTGCGGTCGGGAAGATTGACACCAAGTAAATGAAGCATGTTGTGTGTTTTATATGTATTATATACAAGAAGCTTAGAGCTGAATATGTTTTTCAAGGGCCCGCAACCCGTCAAAGTTGTACTGTGTGCCCACCCCCTCCAAATCTCAGCCACGAAAATGGCAGAGGAATCAGTCACGAATTTTTGTCGGCTGCCAACTAAAAATCATGCACTTACTGTAAGCAACTTCTTTTTTTTTTCATTTAAAGATCAGTACATAATGTCAAGACCGGAACACATTGCACCGCCAGAAATTGTAGCGTATCGTAGTTCTCCCTAGTTGTACCATATACTTTGTATTTATAATTGTTTAACTAATCTCAAGTTGGATTCGCAATACAATAATAGTTTTACGGTGACACAGAAGCAAGAAAGTATACCGACAAGTACGTAGTTTCCAAAGCTCAGGGCTGTTCTTACCTTTGCCTACTAGAGTTATATTAACAATAACGACGATTATGCGCACAGCTCTCGTATTGCTTCTATACAGGCAGAAATGGCATATCGAGCATTGGAGCTGTTAAATTTATCCGAAGGCCCAGCTTATTTGCTTGATGTCGGTTGTGGATCTGGTCTGAGTGGCGAAATTCTCGAAGAGGAAGGCCATACCTGGGTCGGCATGGACATTGCACCGTCGATGTTGGGTATGCTTCAATGATTGTATAGGAGGAAGTTGTCAATGTAAAAGCTAACCATATCACAAAAAACACAATCCAGACGTGGCTCAGGAACGCGATGCCGAAGGTGATCTCTTCCTTCAAGACGCAGGCCAGGGTGTTGGCTTCCGTCCCGGTGTCTTTGATGGCGCCATCAGTATATCCGTCCTGCAATGGCTCTGCAATGCGGACAAGCAAATCAACCGACCGAAAGCCCGTTTACAACGATTCTTCTCTACTCTCTATGCATCCTTACGTAAAGGCGCACGTGCCATTTTCCAATTTTACCCAGAAAACGATGACCAGATCCAACTTATCATTGACGTGGCCACGCGTTGCGGTTTCGAAGGTGGTTTGTTGATCGATTATCCCAACTCGAAAAAGGCCAAGAAATACTACTTGTGTTTGTTTGCAGGTCAACAGACCGGTGTCAGAAACACCATGCCCAAGGCATTGGGTGAGGATGGTGAAATGCATCCGGATGACGCCAAGGCAGTTGCCTTTGAGAATCGTCGAGAGGTGTCGCGAAGACGCAGACACTCGTCGCGCAAATCGGTTAAAAATAAGGAATGGATCCAGCATAAGAAACAGGTTGCTAGAGAACGTGGTGACAAGCCCGTGGCAAGAGACTCCAAGTTCACTGGTAGAAAGCGCAAAGTCAAGTTCTGAACTGTTGTCTTTCTTTCCTTCTTTCGCTCTTCTTAATTCTCTTTCTTGCATTTCATCTCTTACTCCCTGTATAGTTTTTATCTTTTGCCCTCCTTGTTTTGTTATCACTAAATGTAATTCGGTTTAATTCTAAACATCAACAAAATATGCATATCAAACACATCCACCTAGTTGTCATTGCGGTTGTTGGTGTCTTGTTTGTTTGATCTCGAATGCAAATAGGGGTCGATCAATTGAGCTTTCATTTGGTGAGCCCCTTTTCTGTGCGACATTGAAGACGGTCTCATTGGATGAATAATGTAGCTTGTTAGAATTGTCGAGGACTCAGGTAACACCGAGATATCCATGGGATGGAGGCACGATTTTCGATGAAAGACGAGAAACGTTTATTAGATACATGGCAGTGAAGAAGAGATATGAAAGCTTGCGTACACGGTGAGTTTGCTGCTAGCATCAGTGATTTCTGTATGCCTTCCTGCTGCTATTAGCCCACATCAGTAGCCACTTGTAGCCTTGTGTATACTTTAAACGACCATCCAAGATCCTGTAAGGGCGGCCCAAGGCCCCAACGGTAATCTGAGATTCTGGATGTACTTGAATACGTAGTTAGTTTCACGCGTTTTGTCTTCCGCATATGGATCTTTGTCTCTAGTCTTACACCATTTACCGTTCCGCATTGCGTCAGAACGCTTCGATCTAATTTGGCATCAAAGGTGCCGAGGTTGTAGTGACAGACGCCTACTAGGGTTTCGCATTACATATTCTAAGCCTTGAAAGGAGGCAAGACGGGCCGTTTCGGTAAGGAGTCGAGGGAAAACAAAAGGACGGAAGAGTATCCTAGTCTGGCATGTGTTACCTATACAGGCTCTGTGGATCCATACTGTGAGATCAATTTTAATAGATTGATGTCATTCATCAGTAAAAGCACTTGTTCACGTGCTAATCAATAGGACTGACTCGCTTTATGGATATCTCAAAAATGATATGTGAAGAAAAGCTTTGTAAGCCTGGCGATAATAACGCTGATAATGTCCATACTAGTGTAGGAAAGCGCTTGCCGAGAAGACGTGTTTAGGTAGAAAGTGGCAAGCCAGTCTCGCTAGGGTTGGGATGTACAACAAAGTCAATGAAGCTCGTCGAAAACGTTATTGATGACGATAAAACGTAGCAATTATAGGGCGTGGGAGCGGAACTGTCGGTGCATCCCTCAATAGTTAAAATTCCTGCACTAATTCTGATTCGTTTATTTTATACTGACAACAGTAAAGGATGAAACAAGAATTTAGTAAGAGAAGACGTATACTATATGCATGTGATTGGTTATTGCTACTACTGCAGTGTAGCACAAAAGGTAGAGAGGAACAAGGGTCTAAGGATCCTCACGAAAACCGAGGAACCGAGACAAAAGTCGGGTCACGTCCGTTCTTGACGGGTCAGTTCCATGGAAGAACCGAAATGGAACCGCTTCAATTCTCTTTGCTCGGGAACCGAGAACTGAGTACACCGTTACAAGGTCATTGCAAGTGAGAGCAATGACTGTAAAAGAATGATTGTAAACAGAGAAACGAGTTGAATTGCTGTTTTTTGGTAACGAAAGCGAAGAACAAAGGAGAAAAGAGAAAAAGCAGAAGTTTCATAAGCACCAGGAGCCCAGAAGCATAGTGGTTTCCTGTTTCTTCAGACAAACGATTGTTGCTGAGCATGCACCAGTGAGTGCTGCAAACCAAAGGGAGGCCAAGACGGGCGCTACATAGATGGTCTAGCACCAGCAGCTGGAGTACTTAACAATCAATTACGCACAATCGTACTGTTATCGACAGTGAAATAAAGCACGTCTTTTATCCACAATATTTGCTAAATACTACGATAATTACGTCTTCCCTCAATCAGTACTACAACAATGAGTAACTCCATCTCTTTTGACTTGCAATCAAAAACTTGTATCAGGCCGGTTCTGGCAGAGAACATACCCATCCCAACCCCTAAGGACCCTTACAAGTGCTAAACATCTAAATCACTTCTTTCTGCCGCTCAATATGACGTGATCTGATATAAAACTCGACGCTCCTTCAGCGCGCATAAAAAAAGAATTTCTTTCGCTTCTCCTTTCTATATACTTTTGAGAGTGTGTTCACGTATGATATCCCAACATAAATTTCAAATGACAGCCTCTTCTAAAAAATTCGTCTCGACCAGTGTCACCACCGGGACCGTCGAAGTGGCATGCTTCGAAAGGGGGTCGAGGATTCATTGTGGAACGTGTCAAACAGAAGACAGTAACCGAAAATGGCGACAAGGTAAAGCCTACTTTCTACCATCAACCAAAGTATAGGACGGAAAGATAAATGTGAGCGAGAAAATACTGACAAGAGGCTTTTTTTATGAATTGTTTTAATTTTTCTATTCATGTGTTTATAGAAGGGTAAAGCGGCTCAAAAATCGCAGGACTTGAACGATTGTTTCGAAACAGAAGCTTTGCAACAAACAAACGCACCCGATAAAGACGACGACCAAGACGACACTAGCAATGACCAACCGACACCTCAAAAAACCCCAACGCAAAATAGCAACAACAGCAGAAGCAAAAGAAGAAGCTTGGAATTGAAGCCTAGCGAAGGCAGCTCCTCCGAAAACCCGTCTGAGCATAACAGTAACAGCAGCGCTGCTGTGACGCGTAAGCGTCGCAGAACATCGTCAAAATCCGCAGCTCAAGGAAAAATTTGAGGTGGAAGCGATTATGGGACATCAGGTACACCGGGTAAGATAGTGTTTTCTCTCGTTATGAACATGACTTTTTGGGTGGATGACGTGAAAAAAGAGCCATGGCAAGGGTGATTCTACTCAACTTTACAACTTACTGAAGGATGCAAATCTATGCACTTATATAGAGCATGGTAGTCATGTACGAAATCAAATGGCTTGGATATTCTGAAAAGGACAACACCTGGGAGCCTGCTACCAGCGTCCATGAGTAAGTAGCGGGTTGGACCACCTGGATTTCTGTTGATGATCTCATAGCGCACCGCCTTTTATAACTCGAGAAGCATGTGCGCTAACCATTACAAACCTTCCCTTTTGGATGCGCGGTCATGTACGTGTGGTTATTTTTCTTTTTCTATGACTCCGTCGTCGCAGGGACTGCCTCAAGTTATGCGCTTCGTATTGGGCAAAGCATAAGGAACGGCCGAAGAACGCCCCGACTGTTACATCGATAGCCAAAGAGCAGCAACAGAAGGAACCGGAATCATCCAAACCGGAAGACAAGTATCTCACGCGGCTCAGAAAAAACAACATTACCGACGACAATCTCTATCAACCCTTACGAAACCAAGGATTCAAGATCGCATACGGCACTGAATTTCCTACAGCAACTACTGACTGGGCCCGCGAAATGCGTCAAATCCATGTATTGCAGCCCGTGGTGGGCACGGATCAAATTTTGGCTTATGTGAGCTGGTAAGGAGCATGTCTTCCCTCCCCTTCTTTCCACATCACACATCTACAACCCCTCCCCCCGCCGCGGATTTTTCTTATTCGTTCTTTTCTTGTTTTTATGAAGAAAAGAAAAATAACAATGATGCGCTTGCTTTCGTGCTCTCTAACTCTGTTTGTAGGGTTAACAAAAAGAAGACTGTGCACGCTGTACAAGAGCTTCACGAACACTGTCCCGGTGAGGTAAGAAAGATGTCATCTTCAAAAAAGCACCCTATCCAAAAAAAACAGACGCATTTAAAGCTTACTGGTATGCCTGCACGTCTAACACACCACATCCCCTTTCATTTTCTTTCTCTCTCGATATAGCTCTTCAGTTTCTATGAAGCCCGCTTACGCTTTGCAGATTAGGTTGTGTGTATACGTATGTCTTCCAAAAAGCACAAAGCAAAAAAGCAAAAAGAAAAGGCAACTGCGGCGTCGACTCTGCTCTTTCCTCTCTTTCTCTTACCTCTTCTACCCTTGCTTACAGTATGACCTTTTACTGTAAACCCTGAAGCTTTATATCGACTTTCTATTTCAATTGTACCATTGACTCCAATTTTCATCGCGATCACAATAAATATATATATGTATATGCGTATACAATTTGACAGATATGTGGATTGTTACACGGATTCTAAGTTTTTCTGTATGCACACACGACCGACAGAAGTGGCATCTGTCATAATCTTTCAAGTACTTTAATGTGTGTAGAATTAAATAGTTTTAAGGAAAATAAATACATGTCTATGCATATGTACAGTGATCCCCCGTTAAGATCACCCTCAGATAAATTCAACTCTCAATTGTGTCAATCCTTTTGCTGGGAAATTCCATTATAAAACCCACCCTTACTTTTTTTCCAACCCTCATGAGTTTCAACCTTCTTATAATATTGATCTTAAAAGGGGACCACTGTAATTCTCTTCTCTATTACCTCTTCAGCACAAATACATGCTTATGCATGCCGCATTGTTGCTATCATGCTTTACAGTGGAGAATGACGCTTTAGTGTTATGTACGAGAGCAGGATGGGATCATACCCCACTCTTTTCTTCCTCAACCACAACAGCCACCAAATATTAACCTGTTTCTTTTACTCCCATTTTTTCCGACGTAATTGTCCATGGTTAATACTTTCACCGCCACTCCCACTACCACGTTGGTAGGAATCTCTTGCAGAGAAACTAGGCGGCGATATCAGTGCCGGTCACATCAAGCTGGTCGTTTGTCTGATTGCCACATATCCGCTTGCTTTGTCTATGAAAAAGTACCGGCTACGAATCCAACCAGCAGACACTTGTTTTCCATCAGATATGCCATCATTTACGACGGTGTATATACCCAAATTCTACACTGACACTATGATGCATATGGGTGTCATGTCTCTTTTAGCATACACTTTTATGAGATTTATCGCGGAAAGACTGGGCCATGCAACAACTTTGTGACTTGCTAGATTAACATGTCAATAGGATAAGGTAAGGGTTGAAACGTTCTGTATGAAATATTGCCTGTGGGCGTTCTGTTTGTATGGCTCTACCGCTCTGCATGTTGTGTACTTATTACTTATCCTTTCTCTGTCCCTCTCTTCTGCTGCACACTACTACTTTTGTCACATAGCCACATCGATCGACAGCTCAACGGATATGAAGATGATGCCAAATAAGACTACTCCGGGGTTCTGATGGTGATGACAATCAAGGTTTTTTCTTGGCTCTATTGTGACGAACGGACGTTATGGCCCAGCTACAAGCTTTAACAAGCAAATGAAGTTCGACCACTATCCAAGTCTGATTAATATTTTGGCTGGCTCTGCTTTCTCGGTGCACTGTTCGTCGGGCCCAACATGTGAATATATGGGTTACTACTGTACCGATTCACTAACTATTTATTAGTCGGCCGATAAGAATCTGTCCCATACAAACCAACGCTTCGAAAACGTGTGCTCGGTGTCGTTTTAGGAGGTGTCGTGTGCTTTGTAGCACCAAGGTGTAAATTTTATAGTTTGGATGAAGATGAGTTCTTGGCCAACATGCCATTCTACAAAAGGTAAGTTTTAAGCCATACAATTTTAAAAATGGTGGTATAAAATAAGCTAATTCTAAAGCATGTGTATGGGTGCGCTAACTTCTATATAATGATGCTGCTATTGGGTTTTTGGTCCTGGAAATATCAGGTTTTGTTACACGAAGCAAGTTTTACCTTATCTGGGTGATTGCCGAAGGGAGCTGCATTTTTGTCTGGATTGGCTACGACTGAACTCGGAAAGAAAAACATCGATGGAACCGCTTGATTAACATCGACTGGTATGCCATCGAGACGACAGAATCCATGAGCTACCTGTCCAATTGCTGGAGCCGGAGCTCAAGCACCTGGGTGCGCCACTGTGTGTAATGCATCTCTTAAAGGCAACACCAAAAGAGGACAGCAAATACAACAATGACATTCATAGCCAGTTATATCATATCGAGCATTTGGCATGAGTTTCATCCCGGATACTACTTGTTCATTGTGACATTTAATATCTATCAGATCTCGGTAGACGGACGCGACGCGTCTTACGTCCTCTGATCATGTCAGTAGACGATCCACAAAACCCCGTTGCCGGGAGCATAGAAGAAGATTTACGATTTGGCGGGTCATTTCCTCAGCATTCGCGTTGGATGTGTCCTTACGGCTCCATTTGAAATGTTGCGTTTCTCACGCACAATGACAGTCTGGGGTAACGTGTATTATTTTCGTCTGGTTGGATATGTGGTTTTCTGGATCGCTTTGCTTATCTTGGAGCCGACATTGAGAGGAATACAAAAGCGTCGCTTAGATAAGAAGCGGTGGCGGCCTCATAAGCCAGCACACTATAGTACTGCAGATGAAAAAATTGTTCAGAAATTAAGTATAAAGCAGCAATAAACACTGATGTGAGCTGTAATCCAATCCATATGTGTTTATGCTGAAGCTCTTAATACGCATAATATTAGAAATTCCTGATTAATTCTACCTTGGAAACAATCGTTCGTATCTACAGTAGCAATAAAAAAATAATATACAGAATGTTATAACGGTGTAGTATACGATGGTGTTAGTGTATTAGCCTGTTTATTCTGTCAAAAATAAATGAAAATAGTGTACCTTATTCGTGAGGGTGACGAAACTTTGTGTTATCATCGGTGTCGGATGAGACGCAATAAATTAAGCAAAGGCTACACATTTTACCCAGTTGGGTATATGTGTAATATAGATCAAAGAGAGAGAAGCTTCTTTAAATTTGCGGGACAGTTAAGAGCTGACTTCCAGGTGCACACAAGGAAAAGAACTCAGACATAATGTAGGCTCAGGAACATAACACACGCGGATTGTTTCAAAATTTAGGACAGCGACAGATATGTCTGCAGTAATATCTTTAAGCAATAAGTGATTTTGCTCAAAAGAAATAAAACGACAATCGTTGTCTAAAGGAAGAAGTTGCATTATATAGAAATCCGCCGATTACTAGCACATCACATACTGACTGACAGGTACATAAAGCTCCGCAACCCCACGTCCAAAATGCCAAATGGAGCAGTTGCTTGATATTGAGCACGTGGTCTACAACTTTCATTTTACCCGGATATCTGTCATATAACATTTACTACTACAGTATTCATCTGACATGTTGGCTTTTATTAAGCGCCACCACAACATTGCAATCGTCATCAGTATTATGTCCTAAAGAACTAAGGCTATTGCAGCATCAGACGATTGATAGCCTGATGATGATAAAATACTGCCGCGTTGAAAACGAATCTCAAGTCAGCAACTATGGAGGTTCTTGTAGCTCTTTTGTAAAGTATAACAAATACACATGAATGTAACAGCTCAACGGATATAGTTCAATGGCTTGAAATAGCTTGATATTGATATAGTAAGAAGAAGCGGGCTGAGATAATATATAGAGTGACAGGCAGCTTTTTCTACCACTACTGGTTGGTTACAGGCTGTTAGTATGTAGGGGGAGCCTAAGAGAGAATATTTTTTCTTTTATATATCTTTATATGGATCTATTTTGCTATTGTACGCTAGTGATATCTTGATTTTAGCGTGTGGCCGAGCAACGACTAGCTCTGCTAGCTATGCTAATAGTAGCAACAACATAGCAGCGTATATCACAGCAGCGCGCAAAATTCTCCTTATTTTGGTTAGCACTAGACAGATCAAAGGAAGCATGCACCAATTACTTAGTTTAGGTGCCCGCTCTCTCGTTATACGGGAAAGAAGGTTTTATTTTAATCTCTTGTCAAAAAAAGCAACTGTGTTTCTTGTTTAAGCAGAAGGCAACTAAAAAAGACACGCAAACAAGCTAAACGCAACAACAACAACGTCCACCACCACCACCACAGAAGAGCCGGCCCGAGTCCTCTCTCTCTTTCTCTCTCATCCCCCCCAAACTCGGCAACCTTTCTCCATCCTATTCCCAAACCTATCCTCTCACTCTCTCTCCCACCACCACCACCCCTTCCCATTCCCTTTTTTTTCTTTGACCAGTACTTTTTTTCCCATCATATATCCTCATGGGCAAACCAAAAAACAAGCCCCAAAATATAGCTGATCTTGCACAGCTTTCATCGCCGACCGAAGACTCCATCACGGCAACGCTCAGGGTCCGATTCGAGAATGACACCATCTATACTCGCATTAACGACGGCATCCTCGTTGCTTTGAATCCATATAAAGATACACTTCAATCGCACACATCGCCCGAGTATGTTGCAGAGTACAAGGAAATTCAGACAGAGGCACTCGAGCCATTACCGCCGCACTTGTACCAGATCGCGAATCAAGCGTATTTGCACATGCGCCGAACGGGTGTTGATCAATCCATTTTTCTCAGGTACGGAAGAAACAGAGTGATAGACTGTCATCATAGGATGTATCTCAAGGGGGGCACGAGGAAACATGGTAGCGAGAGGAGATTAATTAGAGAGGAGGAACTCGGGACGCATGATGTGTACTTTTATGGAGATAAAATACGGTTAAGAAATGTTGCTGAATGGTGATTGCTTTAAAGTGGCGAGACGGGTAGCGGAAAAACAGAAGCATACAAATCTATAGTGCAGCATTTGATCGCGCTCAGCTGTCACAAGAAGGAAACCAAGTTACAAAACCAGGTGCTGAACGCTCAGACGGTGCTAGAAGCGTTCGGACATGCACGGACAACGTTTAACGGGAACGCATCGCGGTTTGGGAAATACACGGAAATCCAGTTTAATGAACGCGGGCGAATGTCGGGCGCCAAGACGCTCAACTATTTGCTGGAAAAGAAACGCGTTGTCAAACGACCTACGGGTGAAGGCAGCTTTCACATGTTCTACTATCTCTTGGAGGGCGCCTCGGCCGAAGAAAAACAAATCCTGCAACTGACCGACGCCACGCAATACACGTACCTGAACCGATCCCACGGACCCGACACAACACTAACACCAGAAAACGAAACGTACTACGAAACGATCAAGATGGCACTACGCTCGTTGGGTATTGGCAAACGGCAACAGGCTCGCATCATGCAATTGTTGGCCTGCCTACTGCATTTGGGCAACCTGCAATTTGTTCAGGGCAACAGCTTGCAAGAAGCACCGCTCGTAAAAAACCCAGAAACATTGGATCTGTGTGCAGACTTCTTGGGCGTCGATCCACAGGCGCTGTTGAATGTCTTGACGTACAGGACAGCCATGATCAAGAAAGATGTGACAACAATGATTCTCGATGTCGAGCAAGCCGGCGGGCAGCGAGACAGTTTGGTCGTAGCACTGTACTCGCTGTTATTCAGCTGGCTCGTGGAACAAATCAACGCCAAGCTATGCAACGAGACAATCCATAATGTGATTGGCATCCTCGACATGCCTGGCCCGCACACGTACTATTCGACAGCATCGTTTGAGCAGTTTTGCGTCAACTTTGTACACGAGCGGCTGCACAACTACATGCTTCGACAAATGTTCGAGACAGACATAGGCGACTATCGCCAAGACGGACTGGATATACCCGACGTTCCTTACTTCAACAATGCCGCATGCGTTGAGTTAATTGAAAGACCCAAGCACGGCCTGCTTGATATCACAAACCACCACTCCAAATCGTCGAGTCGCGGCACTGATGGCGCCATGCTCGATACGTTCTGCAAGTACAACGGCGGCCATGATTCGTTTGCAATCAAGACAGCCGATACAGGCGCGCGCATGTTTGCGATCCAGCATTTTGCTGGCCAGGTGACCTACAACCCGGACGGTTTTGTCGAGAACAACAAGGACTCATTGAGCGCCGGTTTTGTTGCTTTGCTTCGCGGCAATGATGACCAACCTGCATCGTACAACTCGTTTATTGTCGGCCTGTTCGCCGACAACAGCATCCAGACCGAGACTCATCCCAAACAATCGGACGCCATCTTGAACGCACAACAAATCAATAAGCCAGGGCGATCGCCTTCCATGCGAAGATCAAAGTCCACACGACGAAACAAGACCAGCGAAAGCAACAATAATGACGACGAGAACAATACGTTAGAGCCGATTGAAGAAGAAAAGGCAGCATTGAAACTAAAAAGCAGCGGCAGCAGCAATGATAACAAGGTTTCGATGGCACTGACTCAGTTGCGTGGGTCGCTTGATGATCTTCTTACGACTTTGGACGAAACAACGCCCTGGTTTATATTCTGTCTGCGGCCGAGCGATGCAGGTGCACCCAACATGTTTGACCCCCAAAGGGTCAGAGCGCAGGTCCGTGCACTGGGCTTGGCGCAGATTGCAGAACGAATGCATGCAAGCTATACCATGTCGTATTTTCATGACGAGTTTTGCGAACGCTATGGCGATACTTTGCTTGCAGCAGGTGTGCAGCAGGATCGGGAGCCTCGCGATCAATGTGAGGCTGCAGCTGCCATTTTTGGATGGTTCGCTACTCAGGCAGCCATCGGGAACAGTCGGGTAAGGTTCTCTTTCTCTCTCTCTCCCTGTCGCGCGCGCGCTATGTTATAGGAAGGAAGTATGGGGACTAACCAAGTTCTTACTACTAGATATTCCTGAGTGAAACAGCATGGCGTTACCTAGAAGACCAGCTCCGGTTACTAGAAAAAGACGATCAGAAGCGACTAAAGGAAGAAAAGCGCATGATGCAAGACGATGCTACAATCCTGGGTAAAGCATCAAAAGGCTCTAGTGTGAATAATACGCAATTCTGCTTCAATTATGCTAAACAGCTTATGCACTTGTGAATAGAGGGCTCAGAATATGGCGATCGACGCACACTAGCAGCCCACAATGCAGCAGCGGCAGGACTTCCCGTGCCACATGCCATGTCGAACACAATGTCTGTCTATTCAGACGACCAGCGATCCTACCTGTCAGAAGACGAACTGTACCGCGACCAGCACACCGAAGGTCTGTCGCAAAGCGGCTCTGATGGATTTGCATCGAGTGCATCGGGGTATATGGAGATGAAGCACATGATGCCCACTGATGCTGTCGTGGAAGAAGAGGAACCAGCCGAAGACGAAAAGCCGTCGGCTGCACGGAGACGTTGGGTTGGATTCGTATGGTTCATGACATGGTGGATACCCAGCAAATTCTTGGAATGGTGTGGTAAGATGCGCCGCAAAGATATTCGGATGGCATGGCGTGAGAAGGTGGCGCTGTGTATGATCATTTTCTTGATGGCCGGCTTCATTATCTGGTTCTTGGTCGGTTTCGGTCGCATTGTATGTCCGCATCAAGATGTGTATTCCCAATCAGAGCTACAGGCGCACAGTGCTGGCGGAGACGCGTATGTTTCTATCCGCGGCGAAGTGTTTGACCTCACCAAGTTTGCACCACGCCACTATGCCACCGAAGTGATTCCTCAGAGCGCTATCCTGGCATATGGAGGCACGGATGCATCGCAGCTGTTCCCTGTCCAGGTATCTGCACTGTGCCGTGGCTACACGCCCGAAGAAGTGTCTCCATACGTATCACTGGATTATACCATCAACCTGACAGACAGCAATGCCAATTATCACGATTTCCGGATATCCAGTGGCGACTACCGCCCGGACTGGTATTTCCAAAAAATGTCCATGCTACGCAAGGGTTACAAGCTCGGCAACATGGGCTACACACCCAAAGACTTGGAAAACCAGGCAAACAATCCAACAGATATGAACGGCTTCAAAACGACCCGCAAATGGGCTATTTTGGAGGGCGAAATCTACGACTTGACCGTGTACACCTTGGGAGGACGTACAGCGAGAGCACCTGAAGGCCAGCAAGCTCCGGGTGACGTTGATCTGGATTTCATGGACGAGTCTGTCGTGAACTTGTTCCGGACACAATCTGGCACGGATATCACGGAACAATGGCAAGCTATGGACATGGATCCGGACATCAAGTACAAGCAAAAAGTCTGTCTGCGCAACCTGTTTTATGCCGGCACGGTCGACAACCGGAACTCTGCGCGTTGTATCTTTGCCGAGTATTTGCTGCTAATTGTCACGGTCTTGCTCTGTGCAGTAATCGTTTTTAAATTCTTGGCCGCTTTGCAGTTTGGTACGAGACGTGATCCCGAAGTCCATGACAAGTTTGTTATCTGCCAGGTGCCTTGTTACACCGAAGATGAAGAATCCCTGCGCAAGACGATCGATTCGATCTCGACCTTGGATTATGATGACAAGCGCAAACTAATGTTTTTGATCTGTGACGGTATGATTGTCGGTGGCGGCAACGACCGTCCTACACCACGTATCGTTCTGGATATTCTTGGTGTGGATCCGCACGTCGACCCCGAACCGCTGTCGTTCCTTTCGGTAGGCGAAGGTTCCAAGCAACACAACATGGCCAAGGTTTACTCGGGCTTGTACGAGATACGCGGCCATGTGGTGCCATACATTGTTGTTGTCAAGGTCGGCAAGCCATCCGAACGACAGAAGCCTGGCAACCGAGGCAAGCGTGATTCCCAGCTTATTCTGATGCGCTTCTTGAACAAGGTCCATTTCATGACCCCCATGACGCCTATGGAGCTGGAAATCTATCATCAAATCAAGAATGTCATCGGTGTCAATCCAAGTTTCTACGAGTTTGTGCTGATGGTGGATGCCGATACCGAGGTGAGCAAGGATGGTCTTAACCGGATGGTCTCTTGTTTTGTGCATGACGCCAAAATCATTGGTCTGTGTGGCGAAACGCTGTTGTCCAACGCCAAGGATACCTGGGTGACGATGATTCAAGTCTACGAATACTTCATTTCTCACTACCTGATCAAAGCATTCGAGTCCCTCTTTGGCACCGTCACCTGTTTGCCCGGCTGTTTCTGTATGTACCGTGTCCGATCACCCAGTAAAAACATCCCGCTGCTGATTGCGAACCAGTTGATCGAAGACTACCAAGTCAACAAGGTCGATACGCTGCACAAAAAGAACTTGCTGTTCCTTGGTGAGGATCGATACCTGACGACTTTGGTGCTCAAGCATTTCGCGAACTACAAGACCAAGTTCACGCCCGATGCCAAGTGTGAAACAAACGCCCCCGACCAGTGGTCTGTGCTCTTGTCGCAGCGTCGTCGATGGATCAATTCGACTATCCACAACCTCGGTGAACTGGTTTACTTGCCTCAATTGTGTGGTTTCTGCTGCTTTTCCATGCGTTTCGTCGTCATGCTTGATCTGATCAGCACCCTTGTGCAACCTGCGATCGTCGGCTACTTGATTTACCTGATCTATACCTTGGCTACGTCCACGAGTACGGTGCCCGTCATGTCCATCATCACAATTGCCGGTGTGTACGGCTTGCAAGCGGTTATCTTTATTTTGCATCGCAAGTGGGAACACATCATGTGGATGATTGTTTCCATCTTCGCCATCCCGGTCTTTTCGTTCTTTATTCCTGTTTATTCGTATTGGCACTTTGACGACTTCTCGTGGGGTAACACGCGTGTGGTCATGGGCGAAAAGGGCCAGAAGAAGAAAGTCATGGCCGAGGAAGGCAAGTTTGATCCGCGAACCATCCCCATGATGACCTGGGATCAGTATGAAGAGGGCCTGTTCATGCACGACGATTTCAATGATAATGCATCGGTCGGATCCAAAGGCTCGGCACGGTCAGGATACAGTTTTTACAGTACCGGCAGTGGCTACCACTATAACAATGGCCAGCAACCACCCCCGCCGCAACCACATCAATCCACGGCGCCAGGCCAGTATGTCGCATCGAGCAATATGTCGTACATTGGCCCGCCAGCTTCAACTACCATGTCATCACATCAGTCGTACATTGATCCAGCAGCCTCACATCAGTCGTTCATGGCGCCTCAGTATATGTCTGGCATGCCAGCAGGTCCAGGTACGCATCAATCGTACATGCCGCCAGCAACAAATGCGTCACACATGTCATATATGCAACCATCAGGCACAGGCAGTACGCCCTCGCTTGTGGCACCACCGTCGTATGCTGGCACCCATCAATCATTCGTTGGTGCGCCACAACAATATTATCCCGCATCACCATTACATAAATATGGTGAATAAGTGCCACTCTCTTTTCCCCTTTCCGCTCAAAAAAAATCAGAAAATTATAATAATATTACGTACTATTTTAGCTTAACTAGAAAAAACACACCCGCACCCACTCACAAACTCTCTTACCCTTGCATATCATTCTTTTCTATTCTTTTGTGTATCATTTCCATTTTTTTTCTTTCCAAATACAAATTTATATATCTAATTACTCTTTCTTTTGAGGTCGTTCACGTTCACCAAAAATGGTTCTTCCGACGCGCACATTGGTCGAACCAGCACGCATGGCTTGTACATAGTCTTCTGACATACCCATGCTCAGTTCCAATGTCTTGCCCGGCAATGCTTGCTCGACTTGGTTTTTGCATTCTGCCAAGCACTATAAGACCATAAACTTGACTATCAGTTGAAAGTACACCACATTTCACGATTTATATCTATACAACATTGCACATTCATACCTTGAAATCGGGGTTCTCTTCACTTGGATCACGGCCAAACATGCCAATAGTCATCAATCCAGATAACTCGAGTCGTGGACACGAATCGATGATATGTTGGCATACCTTTACACAATCTGCAGGAGCTACACCACTTTTGGCTGAACAAATTGAGAAATTGTAAGCATCATAGAATATGAGGGCAAAATGTCCTGATATGAACTAACCTTCTTCATTGCTTGTGTTGACCTGCACATACACGCGTAATGGATCTGGACGTAATCCGTCGCACGCCTTGTTCAATGTATTGGCTTTCTTAATATTATCTACTGTTTCGACCACATAGAGATTGGGAATGCTAACGACGGTCTTGGCCTTGTTGCTTTGCAGATGGCCGATAAAGTGCCATTGTATATCTTTCGGTAGCTTTTTTTTATAAATAAAGAGTATGAGTATTTACGATTTCTTCTAGTACCAAGTTACGCAGTATCATCAGCAAAGTAATGTACATACCTGTGCGCTTTTATCTACAAGTTCCTGAACCTATATACATCAAACACAACGAATTGATCGGCCTCTATATATTAATATATACATGTATCCAGCAGTGTATTTTTCTTTCGTGGTCAAACAAAGCTTCTTCTTTTTCTTACGAGATATCATACATAGTTTTCACCGAAATGTCGTTGACCAGCTTCATAAGCGTATAATAAATCTTGAGCCGGCTTGTACTTGCTAACGGCAACCAATCGAGTCTAATCTCCAAAACATACTTAGCTCTGGGCCAAACATTGCAGCTACATGCAGAATATTTAAACTTTACCTCTTGTGGACTTGAGGCGTTTTGCATAGCATTGCGGACATTGGTCAAGTTTTCGACAATGTCAGCTCGACGTTGTTCTGCCATGGTATGATTAAGTCTTAGAAATGCACGGGAGCAGCAGGCGCGGCGAGAAAAAGCAAACATGTACTATGTGTCTGTATATTTTTCTAGGTGAACAGATTGATTCAAGGAGCGCCCCTCTTCCCCACACACACACACACACACCTTTTGGAAGCTGACTTTTGCTTTGCCAACAACTTTAATTGTTAATTATAAGTTAACAGCAGCGTGTCAAAAAGACACTATTGCTGCTATGAGTTACTGCTAGTACAAAAATACTTTGGGTACTGCTATATAGCAGCAACAACTTCTAGTGGGCTATTATGTTGCTAGTTTACCATGTTGCTAAGTTACAATGTTATTACTGTAGGCGACTATGTCGGTAATAAGAGTAGCAGAAGAAGGTCAGTATCATGTAGAATCACACCATCAATGACCGACAGAAAAAAAAGCGTCAGCTCTGCATAGATGAAATACAACGTCATTAATGCAGTGTAACTCATGCATCACAGGAAGAACACAAAAGATCAAAAGCATCCAAGTATTCAAAACTTCCCTGGTGTTGCGGGGTTTAAGAGAGACGCTGCTGCCTCCCCAGGCTTGTCCGCACCGAAATAAAATCTTTCTACAAGCAACAACATTACGAAATGTCAGCAGCACGCGCTGAAATCCACACACTATATCGCAACTACCTTCGGCTAGTACGAGACTGGCCTGCTGATAAGGTACGACCCAACCGCGACATGAAACAAGTGTTGGCACAACGCGTCGAAGAGACTTTTCGACGACCATTGGAAGACGACAGTGTACCATTCAACGTAAAAGATGCCCAAAGTCAGTTGGAAGCATTGGAAAAGCTGCTCAACAATGAATACAAAAATAAGGTATATTTTCATACCGCTGAATGCTTGTCATTACTGGCTGAAAAACGCCAAAGAAAAATGAGTAGTACGTTTTTCGCTAAAGGGCTATTATCCTTCTTTTCTTGTGGTGATATTGTTTTTCTTCGTGAACAGTATCCGTTGTCCGATAAAATTCTGTCACCAGCAAGCAACCCTAATTATTACGCTCGATTGGTGTCGTCATTAGGCGCTACAAAGGATACGGAAAAGAAGAGTCCATTGGCCAAACTTTTTGGTAAATAAGTACCAATTGTAAGAGAAAACGATACAATAGTACAATGATATAGATTTTTCCTTTTTTCTTCCATGCACTCTTTATCTCTCTCTTCTACATAATGGGTTTTGACAATGCCATATACAGCCCAATCTTTTTTTTAACATTCCCCTCTTATCCTACCTATCGTCCCGCCACCACGTACGCTGCACATCTGTAAATGACTTTTTCCCTTCACATCCTTTTTCTTTGTTTTCTAAAAAAATACCTCATCAAACTCGTTTCATCACTTATCTCCTTCTCTTTTCAGGAAGAGTGTCAACATAAAGAGTCTTTATCAGTAATCGGGGTGTAAAATAGCGAGACACAATAAAGTAAATCCTCTGGAGACCTCACAGCGTCACTTTAAACCATAAAAAAAGATTCATCTTGTTGTGCAATTGGGAACAGCGAGGTCGACTTTACTAGCGAGTTATATTCCATCCTCTCAGTCTTTGCAATGACGAAATATCAATTACCATAGACGACCGGCTCTTATGCAACAAGCATGCCATTATCGTACATCACAGCACTATACTTCTCTTGGTTTGTGTAGATATCCAAGGCGGAGCGTTGTAATTAAAACTGCTACTACCGTACAGACTATTGCTACTGTGAGAGACCATTGTTTGCTGACCATAGAGGGAGCCTTACTTAAAAGGGATCTTATCTAATAATAGCCCTAGAACAACATGAGCGTTGTATAAATTTATCTGAATGGTAGCAACACAGTGCTTTACAGCAGCTTTGGCAGGTTTTTACTATTGTATGCACATATGAACAAAAACTACTGAATGTTGTAGCACAAACGCGTGTGGCGTAGTCATGCCTGATTATTAATGCATGACATATTCTCCTCCAATATTTGCAACTTTAGCAGTAACAAGATGAATTAAAGAATACCCATCAAGAAGTACGGTTTGAAAATGTAACCTGACCGGGCCATATAAATAGACAATGCTTATCACGTTCTTAAAGCAATCTAGTAACATTAGCGCACATTTCTTGTAAGGATTCTTTTCTTTCCCATCATACTACAGAGGGAGTATAGCACGAATGACACTATTGAAGCCCATTTCAGTTGATATCAACAATTTGCAGCAACGCATTGTCCTTGCTCCTCTTGCAAGATTCCGAAGCAATTATGAAAACCACGCAATCACCGACCTTGTCGTCGATTACTACCGCCAACGCGCCACCTCAGTTGGGTTGCTCATTTTTGAAAGCACCCTTATCTCTGAAATTGCTGGCGGCTTTTCAGGAGTACCAGGCTTTTACGCGGATCAACAAGCTGACACGTGGCGGAAGGTCACTGAAGCTGTGCGCGGGAAAGGTGGTGTCATTTTCGCCCAACTTTAGCACAGCGGCCGCGCTGGTACATGTCTTTTACATCGTCAACCACGATGCGCCAGTGACTCGCGCTGCAATCTAAGCGTGCATTAATGTGTTTTTCATAAATACGCATGAGAAACCTCAGGAGCTGACAGTCGATGAAATCAAAGCTTAAGCAATCAAGGCGGGATTCGATGCTGTGGAGCTTCATGGTGCCTTTGGCTACTTCATCGACCAATTCATCGAGCAGCCAACAAATGGACGCTTACGGTGGATCCTTCGCCAGTAGAGCTCGATTCGCAATGGAAGTGGTTGAAGCTGTCATTGTTGCAATCGGCGCTGAGCGCACCGCGTATCGGTTTTTTCGTGGGGGCGTAACGTGGTGAGTATATACTTTCTAACTGTGTGAAAAAGCTTAGTTCTAATAAGATGCACCCATTTTACTTAGGATGTTGAAGATGAATCACCGTATGAAACATAGTCTTATATCCTACAGTATCTAAATTCCAATCTAGCCTATGTTCACTTTGTCGAACCTCGTGATGACTATGTCCGGGCACACCCGGATTTCAAAAACATGCTTGAACCGTTCCGCAAAATATGGAAAGACCGTCTATTCATTTCTGCTGAAGGATACTCAACGCACACTCATTTGATCTCAAAACTGGCCAATCTAGACCTTGTTGATCGACTTAGATATGGCTGGCCGTTGAACGAGTACCGTAGAGATACTTTCTATACACATGATGCTGTTGGATACAAATATTATCCTATCTACAGCACAGGGAGCAACTTTTAGATTACTTTGTAAATGTAAACTTTTTATGGTTTATTAATGGCGGAATACAACTTGGTGGATCCAGCTAAAAAATGAAGCAACCATTTGTACAGTATATGATCCATCATGTCATTGTGGTCAACTATCAGAGATCGAGATTGGAGGATGTTTCAAATTACAATATACCCAAATTTTGACAGAACCAAGCAGCTGCAGATGTTACGAAGCAAACAAGAAAAGTGCCACACCACATATGCACTTACAATGATCTGCTGCTTCTATACACTTTTAGAGTATGTGCCTGCAGAAAGATCAGCATGGCGTGCATGATGGGAGCAGTGACAATAAGCTGCTGCACCCGATCTCTGATCTGGCACTAATCTGAGATTATTTTCGGAATCCACTTATCCTAAGCTGGGGGTGGACGGAAACTCTTTGTCAATAGTAACATATGCGATTCCACATTCTAGGCACAGGTGCCATTGGTTCTCACATTGCCACCGAGCTTAAAGCTCGACACCCAGTAACACTCATTCTGCGCTCACAGAGGGCCGTGCAAGAATTCCGAGAACGAAACAATGAAATTACGTACAAACGGGTGGGATCAAATCCTCGCCAAATCCAGGGTTTTGATGCCGTTGCCATGGACGACACGACCCACATGTCTACCATTGAAACACTCGTGCTGGCAACCAAGGCAACACATGCTGTCGACGCAGTGCGCTCGGTACGACCTTTCTTGACACCGTTAAGCACGCTGGTCTTGCTCCAGAACGGTATGGGTATCGCTGACGAGCTCCTCCAATCGTTATGGCCTGTACCTGAGCAACAGCCTTCGGTTGTGATTGGCGTCAATCGACATGCAGTCGAGCGTCTTGAACCATTTAGTATACAGCACAACAGTGGATGGAACGATAAAACAGGTGGTCTCGTCCTTGGTGCTCTTCCACAAGCGCGTCAGAAACAAGTAGAACCCGTGCTCCGTGCATTCGCTGAAAATTCTGATATGAATACCCAGGTTGTTGACTCTCCAGAACTGCAAAAGCGCATGATGCGTAAATTGGTGGTCAATGCTGCAATCAATCCCATCGCTGGTATCTTGAACTGCACAAATGGGGAAATGCTCGAGAACAATCATGCAATGGAGTTATCACGTGTTGTATGCAAAGAAGCCGCACAAGTGTTGACCGAACTGAATACTACGACCGAGGATTTGTTTGAAATGATTCAGTATATGCTCAAGATCTCCAAAAGCAATCGATGCTCTACTGTCCAGGATCTCAGTAACCAACGCTTGACAGAGTTGGATTACATCAACGGTTATATGTGTAAATTGGCCAAGGAACGCAAGGTGGATGTACCAATGAATCAATTCCTTCTCGATTTGGTCCATGCTAAAGAAAAAACGTTTGGCGCATAAACATTTGTATTTTACTCCCTACTCCCTCCGTGCCTTGTAACTTTCCCGTAAAACATATATCAATCTCTCATCATATCACTTAGAAATAATACATCCATCGTACTAGAATTACATTAATTTGTACATCATGAGGCTGTTTTTGCCGTCCTTTATGTACCTCTATTTCCATTCATTTTTTGTTGGATGATGTTTGAAATACTTATATCTTCATTGATTAAGTACAGCCTTTACGTTAAAGACGTGCAACCACGATAACTAGCACTTCTAATCCCACCACTTACTATTTGAGCATCAACTAGGATGTCCTTGTTTCTTTATATTCAAAGTGTTACAAAATGAATCAAAAAAAGGAAATATGCACAGCAGATTCTATGTAGATAGTGGGATTATAAAAGTCTAACTTTTTGATTTCAGCACTTTTAGAAACGTCTCTTTGCGGCACGTCTTGCCATTGAAGTTGCCCGTTGTCGCTCACGCAATGCCCGATCCTTCTCCAGCTTTTCATGATGCACAGTCTGTTCCCGGAAATTTTCCATGAAGCTCTTGGTATTCTTTTGAAGTTCGGAGGCAGGCTTGACGAGTTTGGGGATGTCCAATGCTTTTCGCACAGTAGGGTTTTTAAGGGCGAGGATCTGGGTAATGGAGACGGCGTTGGAGGTGATCCAGTAAATGAACACCGACTACATGATACAAAACATCTACGTTAGCAAAGAAAACGCAATTGGATGATGCATACACAATCAAAAGGACAAGTTAAGCTTACACTAGGCATCCAGGCTGTGAAGGGAACCATGGCCACAGCCATTACTCTGAAAAAGTTCTTCATGGTCTTGCTCTGGGGATTGGCAGCGCCCACTTCAGTACCGGCTTCAAGAACAGCCATGACACCAGCAGCACTTGCAATGGGTAAGACATAGTATGGGTCCTGAGCCGTCAAATCCGTGAACCAGCCCATACCTCCTGTTGTTAATCCGGGAACGGGGAGTTCAGACATGGCACGCAGTGCCATGAAGAAGGAAACCATGACAGGCATCTGGATGATAGGCAAACCAAGCGACTTCATGGGATGACAACCGTGTTTTTTGAAAATTGACTGCATTTCGTTCGTGTACTTTCCAACGGCCACCGAATCGCCTTGTTGTTGTGCCGTTTTCAAGTTTTCCATCAGTCGTGATACTTCTGGGTTCAAGTTCATCATCTTGGCGTTATTGCGTTGGATTTTGATCATCAGGGGAAGCAGAGCCAGACGAACAATAACTGTGGCGGTAGCAATGGTTCCCCACCACGGTAATCCGGAATATACGTGCACGGCTTCCAACATGGCTTCCAAACCACCAACAGGTGTGAAATTGCAAAGACCCATGGCCTTAAAGTCGCCGATTTGTGCTGCTGACTCGCTCGTATGTACCAGTGCCTGAATGGTGTCAGTTGCCGTGGTCGTTGTGTTTTCTGCTGCTGCTACTGCTGCTGTTGCTGCTGCTGGTTCAGTGGTAGTGTATGAGCGAACGAATGCTACTGCACCGAGACGTTGAGCAGCTAAAGAGCGTGGCTGTTGCAGAGCCATGAGGCGATGCACGGTGCAGGGAGACTGTCGTAGTGCCTTTGTTGACTATGTTTAAAGCTTCAGGTTAGGTGCTGTTTGTTATTGTTCGTTATCAAAACTCGAGTGACGTGTTGTTTAAGTTTACCAGACGTAAGGCCATGTTAACAGAGCTAATTTAAACAAAAGAAAAAGGTACAATTAGCTTCAATGCTTTGAGGACAGGTGAATCTCTAGGTACCTTGCTGCTTTGTACATTATTTATGGGCTGTTGTTGCGGAACCGGAGCTGTTTGTCCTCATCCGTGGCATAGAAATGTCCATGAGTCAAAGCCACCCAATCATCCCAAATTGGGAACATGGACGGTGACACCGGATTTTGCTTGACAACCGGGCAGATCAAAGAATTTTAAGCATCGATAACACGCTCGCCCAGAATACTCAATGCAGACATAGTATAGAGTCTCTCACAATTTATAATATTATTGTATGAGTGACTTACCTTGATTTCATACAGTTTAATCTTCGTGCAGCTATATTTGCTTGCAACTTTCTTAAGTTTTATACTACGAATATACAGTATGAATTTGGCTATAGTAGGAAGCAAGCTAAGCACAACTGTATAATAAATGTTGTGATATGTTCTATGTCTCCTGGCTTCTGAAGGAAAAATTGTCGTTAGCTACTATTTTCTATTTCACCCGACTAAAAAAGCAGTCGGTGAAAAACTGCAACGGATAGGATTATTAAGTCGCTTTATAACCTTAAAAAGGATGTCTGTAATGTGATCAATAAATGAACTAATCTTTACACTTGCATGGATAATGTACGCTGAAAACTGTGTCGCTGCTGCCCACCACGATAACAGCTTATAGTAGGAGTTCACCTTAACTGTTGTCTGTCTTTCTATACGTTATTTTAGGCACCACTGGATCAAGTGGCTCGGTATCTTCTTACGACGATAGAAAACCTTTTTACTTTTTACAGAAAACCGGGGTTGAGCTTTATTGCGAAAAACAAATAGGGGTGCAGGTAAAAGATGTATGAGTTGAAATAGGGTTCAAACTCGGAGGTGAATTGCTGATATTCCATGTGCCTCAAAAAGTACGATTGAATCGGCGAATCACAAAGCCCACATTGCAAGTAAAAAATGCCTAGGACCGCAGTGTATATCAAGTAAAAAACAGGTTCATTATTCTCATATATCAAATGGAAAGACTAGGAGCAGATGATAACAGCAGTTCAAGTTTTGAACCCGTTTATAGGGTTACCGACATTGAAATGGAAGGAAAAAATTCGAGCGCCGTATTATTTGGCAGCTTACCACCACACTATCAAAGCTCAGCGTAGTCTTGGTTTCAAAATGGTTCGGAAGCAGTTGAGCAGTTCCGAAACTTTCATCTTGCATAACACAAGGCGCAATGTCTTTATTATAATGGTGAACATACACAGTTATATTGCTATGTCTATACGAGCATATATTCTGTTCTTTTATCACCAATTTACTCTAAATAAAAAATGAAAAGTAACTTCATCTGTTGTACAGTAATAGCTGTGATGTCGTCGAGCCTCGCGCCGTCTTCAGCAGCTGCTAACATGTCCGACTTAATCCTGTAACAAACATTTATATCAATCGTACTGCGTACATTGAAGTTTGTGTCAATATCATAGCCTCAGACATATCTTTATGATGTAAATACTATGTCTAATGAAATTAACACAACTATGTGTAGTGGATAGATTACCGGTGTGTTTAGTGTTTTTAGTTCTTTTTGGACCGGTTTTTTTCTGAGAGACACATATACCTCAATACCTTTGCGTAAAGCAAACTTGCTGTACCGCGCGCTCGAAGGGGTTATTGCCGCCATCATCGAGTTGTAAATATTGAAAATATGACACTACTGACTCGATGATTCGATTAATGTTATAATACATGCTACTGCAGTGACAAAGCAAGATGATTCGGTATTTTTAAGTGGAAGAGATAGAACAAACAGCGAAACAGGAAAAGTTCACGTCCTGGGAGAAGGTTTTACCTTAGAATGCGCGTATATTTGGTAGACATGAACGTTTTTAGTGGTACCTATTAATGCAACGGTAACACACCGCTTAATCTTTGATGTCATGACGTAAATTTCCCAACGCAGGTTTTAAGCCTAATAGTAACAAAAAGTACCAATACATATTGCCACAGCTGCTGGCATGAGAGCAGCTTATCATTACTTTTGTTTTGCTTAATAACGTTAAAAAGAACCAATTCTGGTAGTTGACAAGATACAATACGTGCTTCTACCGCCCATTCATGGCTCAGTTATATAAAACTCGGTTCTGGATGAACTGTGCCACATAAAACAGGGGTAAAAAGATGGCGTTTAACCGATACTCCATGTTACAGCTGTCTTTCTCAAGTATAATTGTGATTAAGTCTACCAAATGTGATAGTAAAGGCCATCCAGTTTCCTTTTTCCTCCAGACAGCCGATGAAAGATTCAACTTCTTCTTATTCCTCTTGCATACACGCACGCAGCAACAGAGTAACCTGTGCTTGCATGTACCATATATCATTATTCCATTGTGATTATGTGAGATAAAGTTGTTTATTGTAGATGCAGTGGTATCACCTCGCCAGATATTGTATTACTTACACAAACGAATAGAGCGGGATTCTGTGAGGTGTTCTGAAAGGTATCTTTTGCCGAATAGCCGAAGGCATACGTGGCAAGGCAAGAGAGAAAACAAGCCATTAAACACCATTTGGTTGTGTGGTTGCCAACGCTAAATAATCTCCCCATCCCCAGTTGAAAGGGGGATTTGGGGGTTCGAAGGAAAACTCAGCTTTTACTGTTACAGGCATTGACATCCGCCGCCGTGCTTGTACAACAAGTGTTTTTCAAGAACATAAAAGGACGCTTGGCGTTGGTGCATGTACAATTTTTGGTTTTCTTTTCTATTTCACTTATAAACTTAAAACATGTGTAAGTAGAGAAAATAGTGTCATAAATTAGGAAAAATCCTTGAGGAAACACGGATTAACAGTAGATACTCTTCGACTACTATGTAGCTGACTGCGAAGAAGAAGTATACGAGGAGCAACAAGAGGAGCAACAAGAGAACGACTTTGAAAAAGGCTCCCGTCCCGAAGATGGAACCGTGCACTATGGGTAAGTACTTCTCTTTGAGGATATGATGATCAAGATTTTGCGCCATGGAACGACAGTTGACAATTGTATTCCAGTAACGTCATTTACTTGAAGCATGATGCTACCGAGAAGTTCCTTAACTCTGAGGATGGTGATAACTATGAAGAGGGCAGTGGCCAGCAAAAGGTATTTAATTAAAGAATAGACTAACTGTACAATCATCTGGTATCTTTAACGTTCAACTAACATTGTTTTCTGTACGTAGGTCTATACTTGCGATGATGAGAGTGAGTGGCTCGTCCTTCCCATTGCTGGCCAAGAAGATCAAATGAGCTACCAAGTCGGTTTTGATGACCAATTCCGTCTCCTACATGTTGCCTCAGGTCGTTACCTCCACTCCCATCCTGATATTGCCAGCCCTGTCACTGGCCAGCAAGAAGTCACTGCTTTTGGCAGTGAAGAAGAATCAGACGAGAATGACACCTGGCAGCTCCAAGCGTTCCCAGATCACGAATATGATCCTGAGGACTATGTAAGTTTATCTTTTTGGGGTTTGAGCTTAGATTAGATATTTACCTTATACGATGGCAAGGAGCCATAACAACGGGGAACAAACCTTAATCAATTTATAACATTCTATAATAGCTCTGGCACCTTGAAATTCCCATCGTGATCCGTCACGTCATGACCGGCCAGACGCTGTAAGTTATACTTTTCTTTTGATACAAATCACGAATAGTTTGCTCTATTCTTTATCCATCTTGTATATACTCATAATCTATCTACAGTCATAGTCACGAAGAAGAATTGGGTGATGATCATTTCGAAGTCACTGGCTACGTTGGCACTGACGACAACGACAAGTGGCAAGCTGTATAAAATCGCATTCTGTCCTTGCGATTATTTTAGTAAATCTTTTGATCAAAAATAAATAAATCCCCTCATACTTTGTACACATCTATCAATAAAATGGTTTGGTAATATTGACGCTACCTCTTTGCTGCATATCATCTATATAAGTCTCCTCCATTACGACAGCACCTATTACCTATTTGACTACATATATACTAGTTATCTCTTACAGCTGTTGGTTCGCATGTGCCCCTACGCCATGATTCTAGATTCTACTACCCTGTCCTCGAAATATGAAGCCCGGGCGTTATGTGTGACAAATACTTTAATCACGCGTTCTCCGGTTGCATTAAACCATGTTCAACTCTCAGAACCAAAAGCTACAAGCATATGCATTCAATAACTTTGCTGATAATTTTTTGTAAAAAATGATATATTTGACTGTACAATGAACTTTTTCTTTTCTTTTCTGCGAATGAATGAGAAAACTATGGAGGATGGGAATATGCTAAAAATATGTATACGTATGCAGTGCTACTTTGAGCCTTTTCTTTTTACAAGGGGTTCGATCTCTCTTTTATAAACATCAGTAAGTGTGCGGATATCTTGTTCCAAATGAGAGGGTAGTTGTTGACGAACGCGATCGGGGATGTTTTGATACCAAATGACAACTGGCAGGGCTAACTGTATCTGCTCATTTGAAAGCACCATGAGGCCTTTTGCTGCGGTTGTCTGCAAAATTAAGTCGTCTAAAAATAGATATAAAGTTAGGATCCATCGATAGCACGAGATGGTAAAACCCATTCTTTGCCCTATGGCTTACCATCTGAGCAGTCTGCAGTGATATGAAGAGCCTCTTTCAGCTTGTTTCTGATCGTAATTATTCCAATATGTTCAGGTTCTCTCGCCGCCGCCGACCGGATACGCCGCGGTTGATCACAAGGTTGTGCAGACATTCCAGTTCGTACAAGTAAGCCTAATAGTAACATACTTTGCATATTAATTCAAAAGCTCTATCGCCAAAGCACCAAGTACATGAATTCTTACACATCAACTCCAAACATGTGTCAGCAAGGTGTGGATCGTTCATATGTTGCCAAAGGACAGGTAATATAAAGTCTTCATAAACAATTTTCCAATCATTGATCCGGTAATAAGTCAACTCAAACGCCTTGACCATGTTGATTCGCAGATCGTCAAATGAATCTACTACATACAGGCAGCGTAAACTTTCTATCCTCTGATAATTATATGTCAAGATTCTTATACATACCTGGTTGCACAGCAGCAAGTTGTTTGTATAGGTCTGAAAGAAGAATCCCAGAAAATTCTTTAAGGCGTCGTGGCAAGGGAATTGATTCCTTCAAGGCTGGCCAACCGCACAACTCTACGAGAAGTTTGTAGGTCTGAGGGGAAAACGCATCAGTATATTTTCGCAAAAGTACCAACACACACTCATCTTCTTCAATTACCTGTGTAATTTTTGGATCGTTCTGACAAAAGTCAGCACACGCGCTTTGGATAACCTTTGTGATCATTTGCATGCCATCTACCGAAGAAAGAAGTACTTATTAGCGACTGTGTTGTACAGATTTTTCATCTTTGTGTGTATCTTTCTTTTACCTAATGCCTTTTTGTCGTTAAACATCAGCATGTCGCGCCACACCAGTGCAACATTGACGAACAAAAGCGGGAGGTTGTCCTTCAAAAGAGCCATTCGAGCAAGATCGTAGCATAACACAGCCATGCGGTTACGATCGTCAATGCGTCGATATAACATCGCCAATAGACGGATATAACGGCTATAAACCACACGCAGAAAGATTAATACAGGTAATTGGGAAGATAACCACGTCAGCAACAACATACCAAGCAAAGCTTATCTTTGAGTTCTTGAGATGATCGCGGATTTGGTTGGTAGCCCATTCGACGAGTTTTGGGTATAATGCCTTGATAAGCGGTTATTAGTCATTCAGATACTATTGATAATAATCTGATTTACAGTAGTTTACCTTATCATGTATAGTGCAGTATGCAAAAGCCATCCACGCAATGTTTCGCTCTTTGTGGTCGATATACGAGGGAGATAGTAGGTATATGCTATCCGCTAGACCATGTACTTGAGGTTCGATATTTGCATCTTGCGATTTTGGTACCGGATTTGCATGACTTCTGCTTTCCTTATAGATCGTTGCAATAGACTCAAATAACGGATGTGTGCAAGAGTTCTTATTTGAAGGGTGGGATTGTACTTTTGTGATATATTCGGCCAATGCAGACAATTCGTTGATGGTATCCTCGGGTGCATTCTTTGAGAATTTCTGAACATAAGTATCCACAACTTAATCAAAAAAACAAAACAAAACAATAATCGTGAGCACCAATCCATGTCAGTTCTTCTTGGTATTACATTCTGGGCTTCTACCTTTGATTAACTCGTGTGGAGCTACAGTGGGCTTCTTCAGCGGTCGCGGAGGAATAGTAGAAGCAGTGGTGGTTGCTTCTTCTGCTTTTCGTTTACGCGCGATTCCCGGTAACCGCATTCCAGCAATTTTTTCGAGTCTGGTTTTGGGAGGTTGTCTTTTTTTCACTGGGGTATTTGGCTTTTCTTTTGGTTGTGGTGGTGCCTGCCGGGATACTGGACCCGCTGAAGGCGTGGCGGCTGCGGTTAATAGCGGTCGAGATGCCTGCCGGGATACTGGACCCGCTGAAGGCGTGGCGGCTGCGGTTAATAGCGGTCGAGAAGGAGGAATTTTGTGCAATACAGGTTCTCGTGATTTTTCAGAATCATCGTCGAATGAGTCCATCATATCGCTATGTTCTGGTGACGGCGAGGACGCATCAAAATCGGAAACATACGGAGCCTAAGCCACGAGAAAGCATTAGTCGTTAGTATAAGGCAGAAACTCGCTTTCAAGCATATTTCCGTACCAAATTAGTGTTTCTTCGTCGTTCAGTGAGGCGTGCGTTCGTTACAAGAAGTTCGGTGTATCGATCTTGCAATACACGCTACACAAACAAGAAGAAATGATCGCTGTCAGTGATACGTGTACTACCTTTTAAACACATTTACAACTTGCTTACCTTTTCTTCTGAAAGCTTTTGAACTTCCAGAGCTCGTTTTTTAAGCTCTCTTACGAGATGTGGGTGTGATTGTGGTTGCGGTCGTGACTGTGGTAGCGGTCGTGGCTGTGATTCTGATTGTGGTTGCGGTCGTGGCTGTGGTTGTGGAGATGGAGGTGGTGGAGCGCGGTCTCTTTCTTTAAGCTCGGCCTCTAGTTGACTGACTTTGTTATGCAGTTCCTGGAGCTCTGCTTTTTCCGCTTGCATCTTCGAGACTTCTTGTTTTGAATCGTTCAAACTGCCTTGCAACATTTCGTAATTGATATTGAGCTCCATTTTGTCGTCTTCTAAGGCGTCGTATTTATTCTCGAGCTCATCTCGTTCCTTCTTCAGTTCGTTGTATTCTTTCTTAAGTGTAATATGCTCGGTTTGTAGCGATCGATGCGAGGTTTGAACACTTTCTTTAGTGCTCTTCAAAGATGCCACTTCCTTCTTCAACTTTGTCACTTCTGCACTATTTGACTGCTGCTTCTTTGATTGGTCCTCTGCTGCGGCTTCCAGTTGCTTGATATACATCTAGATAAGGGAAAATCATGTTAGCGTCGATATGAATAAACTTCTCGACGTTTTTTTCCTGTCCATGTGCGATAACCCGCAGTTTACCTCACGATTTGTCAAAGTTTGATTGATATGCAGGTTGGAGGTTTCCAGCTGTTTCAACTGATCTTGTAAAGCAGCGGTGCGGTTTTTTTCTTCTTTAAGATCTTTGGTAGAAAAAAAAAGGTTAGAGCTACAAATGCTAGATTGTCAAAGCAAAAAATGTTCTTCAAAATGTTCACATACCATCACGCGTACTTTCCAAGATCTTTAACAGCTTGTTCGTAGCAATGATTCTTCCTTTGAGTTTTTCGATGGGATTGCCAGAATTTATAGCAGACAGCATGCTGTCTTTTTCCGTCTCCGGTTGTTTATTTTGCATCGCACTCTGTTGTGGATCGACAGGGCTTTCTTCGAGAGAAGAATTCGAAGTTTCCTGCGGATGCATGGAATCGATCAATAAGGCTGGGTCAAAATAATCAGAGGTCAAAGAAGAGGAAAAAATATTTAATTGCGGATTCGGCGTTTCTTTGATAAATTTATGCTGCCTAAACATAACCTATTCTCATTAAAAGTGAAGTATATCTATACATGGAAGCATTGCGCTAAAACTTTGACATATGCTATAATTTTAGCAAGAAGTTGAAAAGCGACGCTTGTCTTCTTTGATCCACATACGCTGCTTGTATGTAATTTTGAAAAAGTTGCATAATCGCATACACTATAGTGTGAGCTTGTCTAGTCAAATGCCCATGCCAAAGATACCTCGCCCAACGGTCGTATTGCAATACAGCTTAGTGTGCAAAGTAAGTCAGCTTCAAGTAAAATTTGCTCAAATGTACATATACAGAATTTTAAGCCTTTAGTGACTGATACAGTGAAGCATCAGCTACACCGTCAGCAAGTTGACTCTTGAGTTTGGTGAAAGAAACAATGAAAGCGATGGATGTGCGTAAGAGTCAAGCAACTTCCTTTGTAGCATCACGAAACAATTGTACTGTTACCAAGAAGCTAATGTATTGTTGCGATAGTATATGTATGTCATAAAGCATACATATATGTGGATTACAATAGCCTGTGTACTTAATGAGTACGGCAATCGTTTTAAAGCAAAACTTGTATGATTTTCTGCAAAAGTTGCGATTTTTATTTATGATCATGAGAACATGTATGAGACAAATGATACCGAAAGTATCGAAAACACCGAGGACTTAGTGCACATTGCAGTTGTATCTATGCAGGGAAGATCTGAAATGGGCCATCAGTGTATATATATTATATACAGTCCCTCTTGTTGTACGGCAGTTATTGATCATTTTAATTGAGAGGAAGTAAGAAGTGAACAAATTATACATGAACTTGACGCCTTTTCACTTGTTATAGAGTATAAATACTTTATAGCGGATCCAATATACTTCCTTTCCGTTTCCTCATTGTATTAGCAAGCATCGCCACTATAAATATTAACCTGACGCAGTAATATATAATGCAAGTTTCGATAAGAAACAGGATGTAGTTTCATCAAGAGCTCCATTCCGTGCAACGTATCGAGAAAGAAGTTTTGGTTATTATTAAATGTAATATCAGAACGATTAATTATTAAACCCGTTAAAATATATGTTCCACTCAATTTCTTTTAATACAGTCGGTTTTTCCCCCGAGGCTCATATGAAGAGGTTGAGTCGCTTGCCGTTAAGACGATAAACGACGCAAATTTGAAGCCGAAGCAGTGAACAAGAACCACTTTGTGAAGATGTAAATAAGCAAGCAGTACATAGTACCATTCTTTACACCAGTACTTGTGCGTACTGTTATTTAGAAACTAACAACGTCATCTAATTACTGTATTTTTGATCCCTTACAATAGTATGTGGTACTCTACTTTCTTTAGGACAAAGAGTAAGTCCCCCCCCATGCCCCGGGGGTAAGTACTCTACTTTGCCAGTTGCAGTATTATTTAAGCTTACATATAAAACAGCAATACTTGCATACTGTTACTTTATATACGAGAGGAGTCTGTTCTCGCAACTGGTTTCTATACGGGTGATGGCTGCTTAAGATATATACACCGCCTTTTCGCTTCGCTGCGTGTCACATCTGGCTTCAAGGAGCGAGTTCACTGGGGCTATGTTTTCTACCGCCCCAAGAGTTCGATCAAGTTCCATTGGACACTGGATTTATGGTTGCAATACAATCTGTGGAATCTTACTATGCCGTGTTTGGGTTCTTGACACGTCATTGCATAGTAGGTTTTAATAGATGCTGGGACTTTCGATTGGTATCGTAAAGATTAGATGCAGTACTTGGAACGAGTGTTTGAGTACACCAGCTATAGGTTTAGGTTTGCCGAAAAGGAGCAAGCTTTAGGATTTTAGTTTGTGTATAATATAAAAGTCGATAAGATGACCTTATATTGACAATAGCCTTTTTACAATTGAACTGCTAAATATACATAGCTTTGTCAGAGCCATTTTGATTGAGATACTCTTGAATCTGTGTGAATGTTTCCCACTGTATTCTAAATTACAGACACCTTTAAATAAGGCAACGTCTTGATGTCATACACTTACCAAATGATACACGTCATCAGAAGCATTAACTCCTTCGATTGATTCAGTGGAATAGATATTACAGATGCAGCAGTTGTTGGTTTGAATATCAAGTGCAGTTAGCATTCTATTGTAGTCTTAGATTATACAGTTAATCTTGTTATTATCAAGTCAAAATATCAATTGAGCTACTTTATATGTATGTATAAAAAAATTAACATTGTAGCTATGTCAGTAGCAATCATTTTTTTGATTCTACCAACATAAAATTTCATTGACCAGTGTACTGTAATTTTGTGATGATCATAGTAAATCTAAGCTGTTCACTATATACTTCTAGCTTTCATTGCAGTTGTTAGGAGACCGATGCCAAAACGCGAATGGATGATAATGAGCTGTTAGAATTCTAATTGTATCAAGTGTACTTCGCCTGACAAAATCCATGTCTTTGACCCGTTCCAAGTTGGCTAAAGCAGAGTATTTGTTCTAAGGTTGGCGGAGTAGGTCGTTCAGGTACCTTGGAACAAATACTCCGCCTACCTTGGCACAACCTTGGCACAACCTTGGAACATATACTCTGCCTTAGCCACCTTGGAGCTGGTCAAAAGACATGGATTCTGTTATTAGCGTAAGTGTACTCCTTGCACTTTTTTCTTTTGCAATAGTACGGACCGTTTTAAATCATTATTACCAAAATAGCACATTTTTATAGCTACACCAGCGATGACACAGGAGAAGAGGACGATAACACTAACAAGAATATATAGACATCTTTCTCTATTGAAGAAGCTATATAGGTTTGATGATGCGGTATTCTTTAGATATATAAAGTAATAATTTAGTATAAGTTGATGCTACTACAGTGTTTTCGAGAGTGACGGATTTATTGTCGACGAGTCTGTTGGCTGTTTCTTCGATTCAACCATTGGGATACTAAGCTGCTGATTCCAAAGCAAATATTGACACAACAGGCGGAGTACACTTGATCCAATTAAATATCTGACAGCTCATTATCACCCATCTGCGTTCTTGCATTGATCTCTCAACAACTGCAATGAAAGCTAAGTATATAGTGAACAGCTTAGATCTACAATGATCATCACAAAATTACAGTACACTGGTCAATGAAATTTTATGTTGGTAGAATCAAAAAAGTGGATCAACATCCCTCAATATTTATTTTTTACAAATGCAAAAAAAAAGAATACCAGCAGTCCCTGATATGTAAGTAATATTGTAGTATAAGCAAAGAGTCTAAAGAAATGTAGCAAGAATAATAATCTATGTGATGTATCTAAAATCGGGATGCTGTAGTATAAAGAAAAGATTTGAGCACCATTAGTAACCAACTATGCAGTGTTTGTAAGTGCGATATACCATGAAATATTATGCTTTTACCTTATCAAATAGCTCATCATTTTTGTCAATAACCGCTTGACGCTCTTCGATCGACATGTTGTCACGTTTCTTATTAATGTATATAAACACTGCCTTAAGACATGCAGCGACTACAACACCAGCTACTATAAATCCTAAAAACGCTGCATGACCATGGATATAATGAGGAGCGTCGCTTGCACGATACAGTTGCCCAGAAACTACTCCACCTAGTACATACGGATTCAATTTTCCTGTTAGTTTTTCCCAGGAAAACGTTCTTCTTTTCTTTCCTTTTCACTCTGATGCTCATGGATGGTTGATTATAAATTACCTATGTTTCCAAAGCCATTGATGGCTGCAATAGCGACGGACCGCTTCATTCGACCAGTTATATTGTTCGTGAACCAAGGTGGAACAATCGCATAAGACGTATATACACCTGTTGCGGTGAGGATCGTTGCAATAAATAGGCCTGGCACGCTTCTTAAAGTTATCAGCAAAGTACAACCGAGAGCTGTAACCAGCAAAGGTACAATGATGTGGATGCCGCGTTCTCCCCGCTTATCAGCACTGATACCATTGATTGTGGCGAAAACGCAAGCTGTTTTTAAAGATTTGCCCGCAATATAAGAGTAGAATTTTTCGTTAAGTTACAACACTTGGAGTAACATTTTTCGTAAAAGTTTAATCGTTATCATTACCTACGACATATGGAATGCTGCTGAATGCCTGGGCGTTCAAAGCTGTGAAGCCCAATCCATGAATGATTGTGGGTAAAAACATACTGACACTGTATAGTCCTACGATGATACAGAACGCTAGCAGTGAATACACGTATGTTTGCCAATCACGAAACACTGCAAAGAACTGCGTCCAAGAAAACTTTTCACTGTTCTCTGAGCCGGAGTCGACAGATATCATATCCAAAAAAATCTTGCGTTCTTGCGCGTTTAGAACTATATGTATTATTATCAAGCATTTTAGATAATATTCACCTACATGGTCATTTTCATATCCAAGCTTACACGAAGTATTTTCTGGAAAGTCAGGTAAATAGATAAAGCAAATGATCGACATGACTAGCGTAGGAATAGCCTCAATAATAAAGATCCACTGCCATCCTGAGAGACCCTGTAAGCCATCCATATACATAATCGCATATGCCTAGGTCATCATTACCGGAGTTAAACAATTGTCAAACAGGAAACTGCCCTTGCTCTACATGTATGTATGGGAGCTGTATAGTCATACCCAAACTCCACCAAAAGCCTAGTAAAGTAATAATTAAATAGATCACGCTTAATTTTGTTGATACTACTCATTGACAGGAGTCCATAGCAGTAAATGAGTAATAGAGACCTACCCCAGCAGCGGTTGAGCAAGCATAGAAGATAGCGATTCGTCGAGCTTGCTCTCGTTTTGTGTACCAAATGGATATGTAGAAAATGATAGCTGGCACTAAACCTGCCTGTCAAAAATAAGGCGCATCAATTTACAAACTTTGAATGTTTACAATACAAGATTTTTTGCTCAACTACACCGAATGCTTACTTCAGCAACACCAAGAAAGAATCGGGCAACCATCAAATGCGTTCCGTTCTGTACGGCTGCCATTGATAGCATAATAGTACCCCACACCGCCATCAAAATCGCCATCCAAATTCTGGGGCCAACTTTGCTAAGCATCATATTAGCGGGTACTTCAAAAACAATCTAAAAACCGTGTTACTTAAATTCCCTACTGCGTGCATCTGTTTCTTTTGGATATCAAAGGTACTGGCAGCATATTATAAGGTCCTTACGTATCCTGCAAAAAATATAGACAATGCACTGTTGAACTCGCTTTCAGTCATGTGCGTATCTTCGGTCAGTCCAGCTAACTTTGCATTTCCTGCATGATAAGAGTGAAGATAAAGGGCGATGATAATGTAAATAGATAGTGTGTAAGAAGGAGGGGAAGGGGTGGGGGGTTGGGGGCTAGATGAGCAATATTGATCGAACATCAACTCTTTCGTTATCGCTACAATTATTTTCCCTACCAATATTGACTCGATCCAAAAACGAAAACAAGTAGAAGAGACAAACAAGAGGCATGATTCGAAAATCACGTTTCCATGTCAACTGCCGTATTTCTTCGCCATGGGATGAGAAGTCTCGTCCAACGATGTTGTCCTGAGAGGTACTATTTGCCACATAGCTCACAACGTATTGGTCATATTGGGCGTCACTCTGTTTTACACCAGCCTCAGTTTTCTCATCATGAGTATGATTCATTGCTTATACGTGCGTATGTTGTTATAAGCGGTAGGAGTATTATAATGATGATATTAAGTAGAGAAATAGAATTAAAAGTGGCAGCTGTACTAGCAGAAATCAAAGTGAGTGAAAGGGGGAAAGCGAAGGAAGAAAAAGATGAGTCTTAAATATCGAAAAACAGGGACCGAGTTTGTTCCCAGTTATTATAAACAAAAGCATACAGTGTTATGCATGCATGATAGGGGCCTTGCATAAACAAACAGTGAAGGTCCATCGTTGGTAAAAAGGAGGAGTGGTGTCGCCTCTGTCTGATTATTCGCAGGTGTCGGACAACCGGAGCAGAACAGTGGACCCCCTCCTTAATTTCACATGCGCTAACTTTCAATTTTTTAATTTCTTCACCAAATCTTTCGGAATGGCACATCTTCGTATATTCCACTTATAAAGGACAATTCAGGGTTGAAGCCTTATCGGGTGATAATAAAAAGTGCTCCCTCATATATATACTTCTCTGAAAATAAGCACTGCACATTATATGTCATATTTCAATTGAACTGAATAAGATTGAATGTTACAAACGAGAATCATATAAAGAGCTTTGTCTAGCGAACAGTTTTGCTTGAAGCTTGTAACGTAACTTTCGTTGCTTGGTAGGGAGACTAGTTATGGTTTCTTTCATCTCCATCAAAGGCCAAATAAAACAGTATTACCGTGATACATACATTGTTTCCCTCGTCTTCAATGGTACTGCTGGGCGGCAAGCAGTCTCTGCTTCACTGGGTGCTCCTTTAACATCCATTGTCTCTTCGTATTAAATATGTGGAAAAAAGGTCCATTCGGCCAGATAAATGTATCGGATAAAGGCTGCGTGGATTACGTGACCATTATAGTGACAATTTCATGAGCGTTGATACATAATACATGTAACATCAAGATGTGTCTGGATAAAGAATATCCGTACATGGCAGTTTGTCCTAGTATTTATTAACTTTCACAATCCCTTATATTCATACTTTAAGTTTAAATTTTGGAGGGGGATCACTGTACTTGGTATGATCAGTTATTGCACTTGTATGCTCTACACGCTTCAAAAAGAAGGGGATCCAAGCAAGCATTTACAACATAAGCATATTAGGACTATGTCGTCTCCGAAAATAAAATGGCTGCTGCAAGCAAGGATGCAGGAAAGGAGAACCCCTCTCTTTTGGCAACTTCAGCATTGCTACATCGCTTTTCGCTTTTATTATCAGCTTATCAATGAAAGTTGCCACCATACATAACTACCAGACACAGGAAAAATTTGTTGTTGTTTAAAAGAAAATCAATGGTTTATATAATTGTATAATGGTAAAATACTAAATATGCAGCAAAATAACAAACAAAACTACTAAGTTGTATACAAAAGAAAAGATAAATGTTGGGTGTTGGTTGGTGTAAGAGAAAATATTGTAGAGAGAGAGAGAGAGAGAGAGAGATTATATTTAGAAGCGAGTGGCGAGTTTGCGAAGAGTTTCCTTGCGGGCCTCAACGCTCATGTTCTCGATCAGTTTTGAGAAACCTTCAATGACAGCGTCCTGGTCGGCGGTACCGAGAGTGACGACCTGTTCCTTGGTAGCTTCGCTCTTGATCTTGGCAATACGCTGGTCAATCAATGGAGCGCGCTTGTCGAACCATTCGGCGACCTTTTCATCCTGTTGCTGCCAGACCTGCTCAGCAGCCGACGAGGCAATGTCGTTATCCGAGACGAACCATTGCTTCAACAAAGAGCACATGGCCTCACGAGACATCTTGGGAGAAGCTTCAACGATCTTGCGGATAGCATACTCCTCACCGAGTCTGCGACGCACACGCCAGTAAAAGTATTGACGCGAGTAACGCCATTCAAGAGGCTTGCGAATGACACCCTTGGCTTCCATACGGCCAGCACGATCGTGCAAGTCGGCAAACTGGACGGCGATCTGTTGATAAACGGGTAACAGTTCTTGTTCACGGGTTTCGATCTGCTTCTTCAACTCGGTCTTCTTGGCTTCATCAGAAGCTTCATCCAATTGGCGCTTCAACGAAGCGTAACGTTCGTCCAGACGTTCCATGGTAGCCAACAATTGAGGCTTACGGTACTTGATTTCGACGATACCTTCGGGTTCCAAGACACCACCACGGGCTTGTACGTCACCGTACATTTCCATCATGTCCTGGTTGATAGTGGTATCAATAACGACCCAAGCGCCACCACGAAGTTCACCGTTGGGAACCAAGTAGACAAACACGGGCTGCTTGTAGTTGCTCAATGCATCGACAATTTGGGCACCATACTTCAAGACTTCGTTGTACATGTCGCGCTGACCGCCAGAGAAACCACGCCAGTTGGCAAAGATCATCAAAGGCAGCTGTTCACCCTTGTTAAAGTCGTTGATGGCCTGAGCGGTCTTGTATGCAGAGTTGGGGTACCAGACACCACCGGCTTCCATGAAAACTTGTTCGGTAGAATCGGCGTTAGCAGGATCAGCCGGGATGATGTTTTCGACAGTGCGGGTTTCGACGGCGACAACACCCATAGGAATACCACCTAAACGAGCACGACCAACGACGACAGTACGAGCCCAGCCGCTCAAAGTTTCGATAAACGAGTCGCGATCGAAGAAACCGCTCAACCACTTGCCATTCTCGCTCTTGCCGTTCAAGAACAGACGAGGATCGGAGGGACCCTTGGGAGGTAAGTACTCTACCTCACGGTCGATAGGATCAGCACCAATGCGAGTGGTGACGGGAGCACCACGGAACTCGGGCACGAACGAGAGCCATTGTACAATCTTGCCAACACCTTCCAGATCGTTTTCGGCAGTCAAGTGCGAAACACCGTTCTTGTACATGATTTGGGTGCCACCGAGCTGCAAGTTGGATGTGTAAACTTCACGACCCAACACCTTGTTCAAGGCAGGAGCACCGGTCAGGATAATGGGCTGGCCCTCATTCTGGACAGCACGCTGACCAAGACGCACCAAGTAGGCACCAATACCGACGGAACGACAAGTCACCAAGGTGATTGTGAAAATGTCGTCATAAGCACGGGCAGTGGCACCGGCAATCAAGCCAGATCCTCTGAGATTTTCGACACCAAGACCGTCGGTGTAGCCGATAACGTCAGTAATCTTGCAACGCTTTTCGCCTTCGTCCTCGATCTCTTCAACATTGACGGACTTGCCGTTGCCATTCTGGCTCAATGACTGGTAGGTTTCAGGAGTCAAGTAGAGATACTTGAAACCCGAAGCAGGGTTCTGAGGATCCTTCCATGCTGCCTTGAATTGGCTGATCAGCTCGTCGGCCAAGCCGATACGAGCACCAGAGTTGGCAGACAAGTAGATGCGTGGAATACCCAAGTTGCGAGCAAGTTCAGAAGCCTTGTAGAACACCTGGTCTTCAGCGACGCCAAAGGAACCGATCTTGAAGGTAATGTCGTTGGCAATCACGACAATGCGGCGGCCAGAGGGATATTCAGGTGTGCGCAGGGTCAACAACCAGGCAACCATACCAACAGTGTTTGTACCGGGTGCACGATCGATTTCTTGGATCGAACCATCATCGTCCAAGACCAATTCCTTGCCCTCCACCAACTGACGAGGCTCCTTCAAACTGGGGTCGTTCTTGACGGCCTGTGCCCACTGGATATGGATGGCTTGCTGGAACAGCTCGGGGAAGTCATACACATAGGTGGTGCCCATCAAGTGAGCCTTGTAACGGCGAGGCTGCAACCATTCCTTGGTAGGGTAGGGCTGCGACAATGACTGCATGTGCATGGCGCCAGGAATACGGCCCACTGACTTTAACACCCATCCGCTCTTGTCAGTCTTGACTTCTTGATAGACATCGACCTTGAGGATGTAGCCAGAAACGTTGTCGACAGTGAAACGCATGGGGATGATGGGGGCATCGGGTCGCTTGGGCTGAATGTTGAAGCGGATTTCGGCACCAGTGACACGCAACTTCCACAAACGCTTGCCGTGGCGGTCAACAAACTCTTTGAGCGCAGTCTCGACTTCATCGGCTTCCAATGAGAACGTGGGGATAAAGTTGATGAACAAGTGGTTACAGTCAGAGTTCTTGTACTCGTGGCTGACAATTTCCAGCGTGTCCAAAATATCGGTCAACAAGCGATCCGACTCCGAGATCAAGTAATCAGCAGTGCGCATCGAGCTCTTGACACGGCCAGGGCGGACCAAAGCACGGACAAAGAAGCGGCAGTCCGATGGATTTTCCTTGGCAACTGCATAGTAGACATGCATCTGACGGTTCTCAATGAAGCAGGGCTTGATGTCAAAGTTCGACAGACGGGCCAATTCGAGCTGGTAGGCCAAAGCAGGTTCAACGTGACGGATAGTCTCGTCTTCAATGTAATCTTCACGCTCGCGGAAGGTGTAGAAATCGGGCATCTGGTCCTCACGGCAGACAATCACGGTGATACGACGCAAATGAGCGCGACGGAATTCGTCCTTGTGCTGGCTAATGACCTCAGCAATCTTGGGACGCCAGTAAGCATCGTCCTTGTCGGCATCTTGGCTCTGAACAGCAATGTTCAAAATGTTCTCCATGCGAGCCTGGGGCTTGGGACGCTGCTGGTTGTTCTTGAGCATAGCAGGCAACTCTTCTTCTTCGAATGCGGTCAAGATACGAGGCAATTCCTTTTGCACTTCCTCCAAAGAGCGGCAAGAAGTCATGGCACCCGTACGGACGGGTTCCTCTTCGGTGTTGTTCAACAAGAAAGTCAAGTCAGAGTACGAAGCAATACGCTTGTTGTCAACGTTGGATGTAGCGGTCTGGAGCAAGAACTTCCAGGCAATCACATAGGGTTCACGCTGCAAGTTGTAGGCAACGTCCAAGATCTTGTAGGCATGGTACGAACGACGGCAGTAAACTTCCAAGGCAGCCAAGACAATGTAGGGATCGGCGTGGTAGAAGAAGTTTGGCAAAACATCAAAGACATTGAATTTGGTGTCAATCAGATCCTTGAACGCATCATAGCTTGGCGTACGGCGTTCGATATCACCACCATAAACGCTTTCGGTGACCGAGTTGTTCAAAATCTGGTACATTTGGCTGTGGCGTTCTTCGTACGATGGCAACTGGCACAAGATCAACAACTCACGGGCTCTGAGAGTGACCTTTTGTGTGGCACGGCTGTCGATTTCGGACAAGCGTTTGAGGATGGACATGAAGAACTTGTCGAGCGTGCCACCGACCGAGGGCGAGACCAGATCCAAAAGGATCAAGACCAGCGTATTCTTGCTTGAAACCTTGGCATGCGACAAAACGATGGCCAAGACCTTTTCGAGATCGTCCTTGTTCTGGTCACGCAATGAAAGGATCACTTCCTCATCACGCTGCTGGGCCCCACTGAACAAAATTTCGACGTCATAGTATTGTTCCATCAACTCGACATAGACCAAATACTCGTGATGCTTCAAGCCCTTGCTGTAGCGTTCCAAGATGCTGACCATGGGTTCGACAATGGTCTTCAAAGCACTTGCTTCGGCCTGAGTCGAGACGTTGTCGCGACTGTATGCGTCGATACGGTTGAGCAATTCCTGAGCGGGGAAATCAACGGGCTTGGTGTCCAAAAGGTCGTGCAAGCTTTGCTCAAGGCGGGCTGGCAAGCGGCTGGAAATGGCCGACATGAGAGCAGCGAATTCCGAGTAAGGAAGTTCGGGGTTGCGCAAAACTTCGGTCAAATCCTTGACAGCAGTCTGAACAAGAGCTTGGTTGTCGTAGCCTTGCAAGATGTATTCCAAGGTGCGCTTGGTGGCCTGGAAGCGCTGCATGGGTTTCTCGCCAGTGATGTGAGGAGGACCGAATGCGGGCACAGTGCCAGTGAAGGGCAAAGTGGTCTTGACACGGCTGGGGTCATCCAGAGAGAGGATACCAATGATATCACCGGCTTCCAAGGTACCACCGACCTGCTTGATGAACTGAACATGACCGTCCTCGGTTGCAACCAAAGGCATGTACATTTTCATGACCTGAATATGTGATCAGTCTCAACCTCTTTTGTATGATGCAATAGCGCCACCACCCAACAAAAAAAAAGAAAAATTACCTCAATTTCAGCATAAGCTTGACCGGCCTTGATGTGGTCACCATTCTCCAACAACAAGCTGACCAATTTACCAGGCGAAGGACTACGCAACTGGGTAGGATCGCTTTCCTTTTCCAACAAGCAGGTCTTGCCATCAATCATCAAACGCGTGGCCTGGACCTCTTCACGCGAGTAGGTGGTGTGCGACTTGCCACCGACGGAGACCAAAAGACCGCCATCAGTCAGTTCACGAACACCGACCTGGGTCTTGCTGCCGTTCAAGTACAAGGTATAGATGCTGGGAGCTGAACGGGTGACGGTAAAGTTGTAGCGCAGGTCTTCGTAGATGAAATCGACGGTGAAGACAGTTCTGAGCATGTCACGGCCAGGCACTTGACCGCGCTCCAAGTTTTGCTTGTACTGCTGACGACATTCTTGGGACAAGGTGTGGGCCTTGGTGACAGCACCGCAAAAGACGGCGAGCATGGGATCAGGACGCTCGGCAGTCAGCTTCTTGGAGATGAGCATATCCAACCAGCCAGTATTGATGGTGTTTTCCTCAAAGTCCTGGGTCTCCAACAAACGGACAATGTACTCGACTGTGGTGCGGAAATCGCCACGGATGGACAGTTCCTTCAAGGCAATGACCATGTTCTTGCGGGCCTGTTGACGGTTCTCGCCATAGGCAAAGATATGGCCAAACTGTGAATCGGCATACTCGTGCAGGCCACCGGCCGAGACGACTGAGAAATAACCCCAAACGTTGGTCGAGGAGCGGAAGTTGAGTTCTTGCATCATACCGGACGAGGGTTTGAATCCTGCGTCTGGGTTCTCGGCAGTGATACGGACCGCAATGACGTGGCCCTTGGGGACGGGTCGGCGGTGGACTTCGAAGGATGTGGGGTTGCTAAAGTCAAAGTCGATGGTCGAGGCGCTGTTGGGCTGACCGCCATAGAGGACACGGATGTCACGGATACGGTGGAGCGGGATGCCCATGGCAATCTGCAGCTGGGCGGCAGGCAGGTTGACGCCAGAGACCATTTCGGTGGTCGGATGCTCGACTTGCAATCTCGGGTTCAGTTCCAAAAAGTAAAACTTTTCATCCTGGTGACTGTACAGGTACTCGACCGTACCGGCAGACACATAACCGACCAGTTTACCCAAACGCACAGCAGCCTTTTCCATTTGTTCAAACACATCGGGCTTGGCAATCGTCACGGGAGCTTCTTCAATGATCTTTTGGTGACGGCGCTGAACCGAACAGTCTCTGCCGAACAAACTGATTGCGTTACCGTACTGATCGGCCAACAGCTGGACTTCCAAATGACGGGCGTTGCCGGCCAGCTTCATGATAAAGATGGGCGAGCCCGGGATTTCACCTTGGACTTGGGCGAATGCTTGTTTAAAGTTGGCAGGGTCTTCCACCTTACGGATACCTTTACCGCCACCACCTTCGGATGCCTTGATCATGACGGGGTAGCCAATCTTCTCGGCAGACTTGAGACCGGCCTCGGCCGTCTGAACGCATGCATCCATATAAACATGCTCGGGCACAACAACGTGGCCTTCTGCGCTCTGGCCAGTCTCGGAGATGCCATCACCGCTCCAGCCCATGGTGGGCACATCTGCGCTCTGAGCAACAATCGTAGAGGAGATCTTGTCACCCAACGAACGCATAGCCGATGCCGGTGGACCAATGAACACACACTTGTTTTTGCTCTTTGCGAGCATGTCGGGCAATCGTGGGTTTTCTGATGCGTGGCCCCTATATTATCATAGGTGATACAGAAGCTCAAATTTTTTTAGTATATCCCATTATAACATTGACATTCAATGTCCCCCTTTCTTCTTTTGTGAAACGCGACTAGCACTTTTTTTTAAAAGTGTTGTACATACCAGCCAGCCCATACGGCATGGACACCCGTGCGTTCAGCAACATCGACAATCAGTTCAACGTTGGCATAGTTGTTATTGTTGGAACCGCCAGGCACTTCGACGTAGTTATCGGCCATGCGGATATACTCGGCGTTTGCGGACAAATCTTCGGGCGTGGCCATGACAGTGAACTCAATGGCACGTTCGTTGCCAAACGTTTCATAGGCCCATTTGCGAACCGATCGGATTTCTTTCATGGCAGCCATACCATTGTTGGCAATCAATACTTTGCTAATGACAGTATGGCCCTCGTGTTGTTTGACGTAGTCGCGGACGGCGCCTTCAGGTGCAGCGTCAACCGTGTTGCCACCTATATACAGTATTTCAAAAATGAGTATTTCGGTTTGGCATTGGATGATATAACATACACACACGAACACATATGCTAGACGACACAAAAAAAAGTTTTATTCTTTTTCTCTTTTACCTAAAAAGTGTGAGGGTACATTCTTATGATCGACCATGGTATTATATTATGATAGTTTGTAGTTGTGGTGTAAGTTGCCGGAGGGATGCTTTTTTGAAGTTGACAGATGATGCTTTGAGGATGGATTGATAGTAGTAGTAGTCGTCGTCGTCGTAGTAATAGTAGTACTAGGAGGGTTGGAGGAAGTTGAAAGGGAAGGGGGGGAATATGCAACAAGAAAGATTATATACAAAAAAGTACACCAACAAAAGATTAAAAGAAGCAAAGAAAAAGAGAAAAGAAAAAGAAGAGAAAGAGATAAAGGGTTGTTTCCCGCCTTTTTAAAAAAAAAGATTGTTGAGCAGTTGTAGGAAGGGGGAAGCCGAACCAAAAGTGCTTCTTTGAAAAAAGCTGAGACAAGACAGACAGACACACACACACACACACAGACAGACCAGAACAACCCAAATGTATGGGATCTGGGTTGCAATTGTCCGGATCCAAACTGTCGGGGATGTGACTGACACCCCAACGATTGCCGTCCAATGCCCTTATTGCTTAAAACGCGACGTATCGTTTTTGGGGGAAAAAACATTTTGTTTTGAATATGGATGGGCCCAAGCTCTAAAGCGGTTGGGGAACCAAAAAAAAAAAAAAAATGAAAGGGGGGAAGAAAAAAACAACAAATGGACCCTTTTAATATTTTGTTGAGTGGGAATTACTTACTCATGTATCTTTCTTTCTGTCTCTCGCCCACGAATCGCTGTTACTATCTCGCTATAAGGTTTATTCGTTTCCCATTACTATCCCCCAAAAAGAGAAACGCACGGAACCCTGCCTGAAGATGAAGTCGGATGTAATATCATACTAAGCCCTTCTCCGCTACATCTTTTATCCACTGGTTGCTTTAGTAGACGAGATCTACTACTGCTTTCTTTCCACCCGAAAATCCGAGAGTTTCGCCACTTTTCCACCCGCCATCCCAACCACAATTTTTTTTTTTAATTTCCCTCTTCTGGGGGTGGGATGGGTGATACAATTTCTATTTTTAATTAATTGTATATAGGATGTTATCAATAGCAAAAAAAAAAAAATGGTCGAGGGTTCTTGAGCGAGGGGCATAATACAGAACAAAAGGGCTATATGTACAAGTAATGATAATCTTGAAAGGAAGAAAAAAACATGGGCGAGTGCGTATATAGAAAAAAAGGGCGGGCATAATCAAATAGGGTTTCTTTTTTAATTTAAAAAATAGTGCGGTTGCTGGTGTTGTAGCTGCTCATTTACCGCTTTCGTCGCTTCACGCTTTTGCTTCCGCCACATTTTGCGCAAGTCTTTAAATTCAGAAGGATGACGTTTGGGGCCCTATTGTTTTTGATATCAATAAATGCGTTTAGGACCTTTCTATCATAGCAACCAACCCGAGCCGCCGCCCCCCCCCCCCCGGGAGCCGCCATGGCAACAAAAACCCCCATGACAACCAGACACGCATGGTCCACCCATTCAGAAAAAATACACAAATGGTCAAACTTACATGCTGTTGCATCGAAACATGTGCGTTTAAATGGTTCAGAGTGCCATAGGCTTTGGTACAGTTTGAAAAGTTACAGTGATACAATCGTTCGATTTCATGGTACTTGCGGCGTGGTCGTTTTTTTTGATTGACGCCTGGGAGTGACACGAACGAAAATACTTTCTGCTGTTGTTGTTGCTTTTGCTGCTCTTGCTGTTGTTGATAATAATGCGGGTGGAGGTGATGGTGCGGGTAGGGTTGTTCATGGATCGAGGATGGTGGGGATGGTAGATGACGGTTTCCGTTAGTGTAATCATACACAGGATGATGATGATGATACATGGGCTTTTGCTCTGGTGTGACTACAGGAACAGAAACAGGAACTATGGGCGGCGGTGGAGGAGGAGGTGGCAGCAGTTGTGAAAGGGGTGGCAATGGATGACCAGCAACGGCTGCTGCTGCTGCGGCTGCTGCAGCTTCATCGTGAGCATGCTGTTGGTGATGATGAAGGGATGGAGCAGCAGTTGTAGGATGATACACATATTTTGGTTGTTGGATGATGTGCTGTTGAGGTGAATGATGTGGATTCGCTGGTACAGTCGGGGCATAGGCATCATACGTGCTAGGGTAGTAAAAAGGAGTAGACGATGAGCTACTAGCAACGGCAGCAACCACGGCAGCTTCTTGTTGTTCCAACTGTTGTTGGGCAGCTGCTACTGCTGTAGCATAAGGTGATGATGCATTAGCAAACGATGGCATAATTATTGATGAAATGTGTGAAATGAAAGAGAAAGAGAGAGAGAGAGAGAGAGAAATATTAAAACACGCCAACGACAACTAGTCATAAGATCATCATACATTCACAACATAGTAATAGTGATAATAGAGTGGAGCATGAATCTGAGCTTTTGAAGTTAGGCTTGGGTAACACGGGTAATATACGTGAGAGCCAACCAACGATGATCATTTTCTGGGACGCAGATCCCGTTACTCAAACCCACCTTCTTCTTGTGCGACGATCTCACATCCTTTTTAATTTTACTATCCGTCGATCACATTCTTGTAGTTTTCTATATACAGAACACACTATCGTGGGGTGAGTTGCATGTCTCTGTCTCTGTAAATGGATGTGTAATACCCGTGGACACACACACACACACACATGGTTTTTTTTTCTTTAATAAAGAGAATAGAATTGATTGGACAAGCAGAATTGTTTTTTTTATATATATATATGCTATCTTTTTTTGAGTTGTAACAGATGATGAGTTCTGACAGCATTTGGTAGATTGCGTTTGTTGCTGTTTGTTTGTTTGCTAAATCTTGCCACTTTAGGGGAAGAAACAAAAAAAAAAAAAAGGGACGGGTATAAATCGCTTGTTGCTGTGCTTATTACACAAGCAAAGAACATGAGGCGACACATGCGCGCACAAAAGAAGCCAAAATAGGGGGTGGGGGTTGGTTGGGAGGGAGGGGGTTGGACGAAATATGCTAATTGGGATGGAATATATGAGAGAGAAAGACACCTACATATTTATACTGAAGGGGAAAAAGGCTGGGTGAGAAGTGGGGAGTAGTAAAGGAAAGAACAAATGGTGTTTTTTTTTTTTTTTTTTTGGGAAGGGGGTTTTATTTTTTGGGTAAAACGATAAAAAAGGGGAAAGGTGGTATGTGTGTATATAACGTGTGTATCGTGCTACGGCGTAGTAGAAGAAGACGATGTTGAAGAAGAAGAGGCTTTCAGTTCCGCGATTGGATCCATGGTATGCGTGTAATTCAATCGAGCACCGAGAGGATGTGATTCATCCGGCGTAATGGGCGGGGTTGTGTAAGACGCTGGCTTGTTGGTCACTATTGGCTCGTTGTTGTTGGGCGATGGCAACGGACATGACGACGGTACTATTTTGACAGGCGCTGGTGCATCTTCCGACGTGTTTGCTAAGCTTTGTGCGAGTAAGGCCTCGTTGACGTTCAATAATGAGCGTAGATATTCCGGTGACGGGCCGCTGCTACTGGTTGGTGGTGGTGGCTGTTGTTGTTGTTGTTGTTGTTGTCGTCGTTTATCTGTTGCTTCGAGCCAGCCAATACCGGCGCCACTAAACTCATCTTGACCGAATCAGTACATTGAGTATAAACAGTTTTTTTATAACATAACGAAACACCACCACCCCTCCCCTCCCCTCCCGCAGCTGAACTCGTTTTACTAAAGATGCGCATACCTTGCTTCCCATTCCTGGCCCATCTTTTTGTAGACGAGCTCAAGCTCTTTTCGCTGCCTCTCCAATGCCTCTAGACTTTGATCATAGTCTAAAAGGGATTTTTCCATAGTTTTTTTTTTTTTTCTGTATTTGCCAGGTGATGATGGTAGTAATTGTTTCTTCCAAGGATAAAGGCAAATGTTAAAAAGAAAGAAAGAAAAAAAGGCGGGCGAAATAAAATGAATAAGAAGAAAAAGAAGAAGGAAGTCAACAAGGTTTTCTCTTTGGGTTTTGCTTTTATAGCAGATGGGGGTGGGAGGGTATCTAGTAGAGATGATCACCTCTTTCTTTAGTAAGTGCTGCTGCTGCTGCTGCTGCCTTGTGCATAGACTGTTTTTAATTGCATGCATTGGGAGAGGGTTACCAGTAAGTGAGAGGCAACTCGATCTGGGTGCGCCTCTCTCTCTTTTTGAAATCAGCTCATCGCTATTGGTTCCGTTGGAACGCCCTTCGAACAACAATTTTAGCATAAAGGCCGTTCTCCCACCCCACACCTCCCCCCCTATTCTTCCGTCCGACTCTTCTCTCTCAAAAATCCCTTCTTCCCAACCCCACCCACCCACCAACCAACCAGCCCCACCTTTGTGTGTGTGCATATCCACTATCTACACACATCTTGCTTGCCTTCTTAGCATATATAAACACACACCCTCTGACCCTCTGACCCTCTGTCGCCCCGCTTTTTTTTTACACACACACACTCGACTTTCACAAACCCCTAGATCATGCGGGGCAAATCCAGGTCTCGTTGTTGTTATTATTAGTGTGCACAGAATTTATTTTTTTGAAAAAGTATAATATATGGAAAACCATCAAATAGAAAAGAAAAAAGATAACAAAGAAAGTGAATGAGAGATGATATGTATGAAAAAAAGTAGATCAAGCTGTGGTAGTGGTAGTGACAGTGGTTCCAGGATGCTCCATCTTGAATGGGGGCTGCTGCTGCTGTTGCGGGACTGTATCCAGGACAGCACGGAGGATATCGCATCGCCGCTCTAGCATGCCCAAGAAACCATGCATCTGGTCCTTGTTCATTTGCACCAAAAGCGACAAGAACCGGGAGTCTTCCTCGTCCATGATGGCTGCAGGCTTGCTATAACAGCTGTTGTTGCTACTGATACTATCACTGCTGCTGCTGCTGCTGCTGCTGCTGCTACCCATCATGCTAAAATCGTGCTCTTCCTCTTCTTCTTCTTCTTCTTCTCCTTCAGAGCTGGATGACGAAGAGGATGATGAACAACACGTCGAGGACCAGTCTCTGCGACGCCGCTGAATCTTGGCCTTGCGCATCTCAATCGGTCGATCACGATGGTGCAAACGCGAATAGAGTCCACAAGCATTGCAGACCGGCTGACCACGTTCGTTCTTGCGCCAAAGCGGCGTCTGTGTCTGACTACAGTTGGCACATTGAACACCAGTGCCTGGAGTCACCTCTGAAGTTGTTGTTGCTGCTGCTACTGCTGGAAAGTCCTTCTTGTCAAGCATGGAACAAGTAGTGGCAGCATCTTGTTGTTGTTGTTGTTGAGCATGAGGAGGCTCTTGTTGTTGGGGTTGTTGTATCGATGGCTGCAGCAGAGGCAGCGTGGCAAGCATGGATACCATCGGTTGTTGTGGAGCCACAGTCATGATACGCTCGTTTGCATAAGGATGGGTTCGAAGCTGACTGCTCGTCTTGTGTCGCACATGCAGGGGCCGGTGTTGACCATACTGCTTGTAATAAAGACCACAAGCATTGCACAAGGTGTGTGCACGGTCAGGTGTCCGTCGCCACAGGGGGGTCTTGGTCACCTTGCAATTGAAGCACTCGAGCTTGCGTGGAGGACGCGTGGATTTTTGAGTAGCTACCTTGATCGGCACCGTCGTCTGACCATGCGGTAATGGTTTCTTGACTCTGGGCTTTTTGGGTTTCTGCTGCTGCTGCTGCTGCTGCTGCTGCTGCTGTTGAGCCGTTGTTGTTGTTGTTGTTGCATTGTCTTGATGCTGCTGTTGTGGTTGTTGCTTGAAAGCAAGCTCAGTGTCTTGAGGGATGAATGGTTGTTGTTGTGGCAAGTCGGAAAAGATGGCAGGGACGAAAAGATCCTGCAAGAACCCGTCGTCGTCTTGCAATAAAGAAGTCGGCGGCGAGTCATCCAGACTTGAGGGGGATGAAGGAGAGGACGAGCTCTCTGAAGAAGGAGATGGAGATGAAAAGTAGAGGGTTGGATCATAGTCCATGGGTTGTTGCTGTTGTTGTTGTTGCAAGAGGCTCGCCAGGAAATCGGCCTGGACCTCGGGGGATGTGGATTGGAAAAGAGTCGAAATGGGATCGATGCTCATCTTTATCGTCGTTGTTGTTGTTGTTGTTGGTGTTGTTGTTACTGATGGTGTTGACTTGGTCTGGCGCTGGCGCTGTATCTTTGTAAATAATAGTCTCGTTGGCTTGTAATATATTGCTGTTGTTGTATTCTCTTGGGCGGGGGCGTTGTTCTGTATCAATCGACGTCGTTTCCTACGTGCTTTCCGTTGTACATGTAATAGTAGGCCATCTTTTTGTAAAGGGATTTCTTTTCTTTTCTTTTCTTTTTTTTTAAAAAAAAAACTTCTTTTTTAAAAATGCTTCTTTTTTTTTGGGGAAATAATTAAGGGAGATGATAAAATAAATCAGAACTTGGCGTGCATCTTGAACTGTCGATGCACTAGGGAAAATATACAAGTTGTGTAGTGGGTGAATAAGGGTTCAGGGTTTTCAATAAGATAAATAAGGCGAGGCTTTAGTTAATAAAGAATAGAGTAGAGACGCGCGCGCAGACACAAAGTAATAGTGTGGGTTGGAAGAGAGGGAAAAAAGAGAAGAGGGACTTTGAAGACGTGGCCCGTGGTAAATAAGAAAAAAATTTTCTGTCGGAGCTTTTATTCACACTACTTACGCGGCGCACTCACTTCTGTTGCCCGTTTCCCCCCATCACCCCGCTTTTATTTCTCTGCTACAGCCAACAAGCGTATGCATCTTCCCTATGCCCAGAGTTACCAGGTATCGTCCTACTCTCAACTAACAACAAGTGTTGTAGAAACTTAAGGTCAAGCGCTCCGTGCTGCTGGGTTCTTTCAAAGACAGCGCAACTTGTTGCACGGATGACTCAGGAACGAGCCAAATATGGAGTGGGAGTCATTGCGTGCTATCCAATCATCTTTCGCTCAGAGATAACGGAACCCCACTTGATCGTACATATAAAAAAGAACATCGGGGAGTCCACACACACACACACGCTCTCGCCAGCCCGCGCGACCGTTTTCCCCCACTATACATTGCTGACTATATACAACATGAAGCTATATCTGCACGGTCTCATTGGGCAAGTGTTGAACCGTAGACACACAAGATGAGCGTGTGTCCATCTTTCTTGAACATACGACGTTCTGGGTCTAGAATGGGGAAAAAAAGCACCGACAGACTGAGCAGGAATATAAAATATACCCTCGGGTGTTGAAAACCATATGGGATTTCCCGAACCAGCTTAACATTTTTCCCACAACACCACGCGCCTCAAAACAATGGCATTTGTCCAACTTACTGGGAAACATATGGGCAAGAGGTCTTATCACCAATAATAAGCAAGTCCGATCGTTCGTGAGGGGCCTTTCATAAGCCTCTTGTAAAAAGGCACGGGCCTCATCTTGACATGAATAAAAAGTCGTACTTTCCCCAGAAATCCTTCCGCATGATGACAAATCGCAAGCCGTGTTGAACGGGAAAGTAGTCGTACAAAATTAACTTTGGCAAATCCTTGCTACAGGGTCATGTAGTTGACGAGCACGGTTGCCCTGATCCCATCGATGATGTAGTTGATGAGGAACGATATACTCTTCAACACGATTAGTTCTCATACTGATTTAATCACGCACTTTTCATATAGCGTGGATTATAACCCATCATGAGTCTGTTGTTATGATACGCATGTGGAAGAACCACGGAGTAAAGATGTTCACATGCGATACGAAACGAGATTACACAGTTTATACGGATCAAGAGGTGTTGCGTGCTTCACAACTGCTGCAAAGCAATTGAGCATTAATGTACGCTCAGCGCAAAGATAGGCGTTGCACTATAGCATCATTCAAAAAGCGCAAAAGCTCTAGTCGTCCTCGCATCCTCTACGATGAACATAAGAGAATGGGTAGACGAGAATACGTCAATTGTCCTAGCTCCAAGAGTTGAAGGAAGACAACACTCTATCAATTTGTGAATGTAATTTTAACTTTGAAAAAAAGCCCGTTGACAGGGATATATAGTGAAGCCAATATCCAAGAGCAGCTTCATTGAGTGCGCAAGTGGGATAAGACTGACATGGACTTTAGAAAAAACTGCGTGTTTCTTGAAGATGAGTCTGCCTTCCATATCAATACAAACCGTAGTATGGCCCTGGTCAAGAAAGAAAAGTTCTCTTACAGTAGTAACTGTCCTCGACACTTGAGCAAAAATGACTACTATCTGCATCTGGTCTGATTCAATGCAACTTTGAGACTTCCACAAGCACCAACTAGAAAAAAAAAAAAAGAAGCAAACGTGAATGCTTTTAAAGTTATTCACAGAGGAACTGTTGTCCCTGGTCATTATCGAAGTTTCCTTAATGGCTACAATGGATGAAATGGCCAAGTTTGACAATATCGAAGGACGTTATTTACTTATGGATAACGCTCATATATTCATGATAAGGCTGAGACTAACTCAAAGTACACTGAATATCGAGGGATTCCAATGTGCTTATCTTCCCTCATACTCACCCGAACCCAATCCTATTGTACAATTGTGGTCTGTTGTGAAATGTAAAATAAAACGCAATAGATTCCTGGATTTAGTGGAGACGCTGATGACACGAATCAGCGAGTCATCAAAATACAGTAGCTTGAAAAAAAGTGATTTTGAAGATGTTTGGACAGCTGTCGTAACGGAGAGCCAGTGATTGTTGATGTAACGCTGTCTTTTCTCTAACGCTATAAACGAGAGTAGTTTTTTATACATAAAATCCGAGTAGTTTTTTATACATAAAATCCGACTGATCGTTCTCCACTTGGGAACTTTTGAATGGCAACCGCAACTGAAGCAAGATTCTAGACGGTAAGGAAAGTCGGCTGATAAGGAACTATTTGCAACGGAAAGAACTGATACGGATAAAACAACAAATGTGGGGATAACTACATACATGGGGCTAATTATGTTTGGATTTTGGTTTCTTTGATGATGCCGATGATGATGATGATGATGATGGCCAAAAGGCAAGATGGCAAGACAAGGCTGGTAGAAGGATGATTTGAGACGATAAGGAATCGAGGAGTGTGGTGGATGATGTCGAGCGTGTCTTCCATAATGACTTTTCCTAACCCAGCAAGCTGCAACAAAGGAATCCCGTATGTGATAGAATCATCACTGCTGGATGGGTATGGCAGTTCATTCAGGCGTCGGATTCTTGTAACATGTCCATTTGGTGAATCCATGTCCATGAGGCTCATTTCTTCACGGCTTTTGATACGGACACCCCCCTCTGATCCTTACGGACACCCCCTTCTATTTTTAATCCTCATCAGGTTACAACATCCTATAAATATATACTTGTGGGGGTGTCCGCAAGGATGTGTTCACTGGATTTGTTCACTTGTTATTGTTATTATACATCTTTCGATATATAACAAAAAGGAACCATAAAAAGTACATGAAAAACATTCCTTGATGCTTTTCAAACTCTCTAGGGTGTCTCTACGGATGTGTTTATGTGCAGTAGTTTATACAAGTATATAAATGCTCCTCAATAAACAGTATACTTTGATATTATATCTTCAACTTTCTACCTACGTTTATCATCCTACTAACCCAACACTATGGAGCAATTGATTGACACTACTTATACCGGATCAAATAAGCAAATTGTGAAAGCAATCAACGAGCAAGCCAGAGAATACAACTTTGCGGTTTCAACTAAACGAAGTGAGAAGAACGTAAAAATCGTGATCCAGTGCGTACATGGTGGAAGCTATCGCAATACACATGGAGTAACTGAAGAAACGCGGGGACGCCAAACAGCGACGAAAACGACCGGCTGCCAATGGACCATGAACCTAAGGTGGTCCGAGAAGGATAAGCACTGGAAAGTAACGAAGGTCAGCAACGACAATGAGCACAACCACTCCCTCGACAAGCCTCCTCAATATTACCACCAACACCGCACGTCAACTCTCCACGCCGAGCAGCAAATATTATCATTGACAGATAATTCCGTCAGGCCCCTCATGATACATCGAGAAGTCCAGAACCACGAAGACGGCGCAATTATGACCATGAGGGATCTATACAATTTTCGTGCGCAAATATTCCGTGAGGATAATCATGGCGGCTTCAGTAGGATATTCGAGTTCCTCATTGGTAACAACTATATCACTAGATATAAGCTAGACGGCACAGGTAAAAGTCTCGACGCCCTCTTTTTTACCCATGAAACGAGTATAGCAAAAGCACGACGATTCAACGAGATCATTGCTATCGATGCGACGTACAAACGAGCAGAACCAAGATGCCTCTTGTCAATGTTGTAGGTGTCAGTCATCTCGGTGCATCAAAGCTCAAGAACGTGCTTATTGCCTCTGCTTTCTTGGTAAACGAGAAAGAAGAGTCGTACACCTGGCTCCTTCGGACTATGCGACAAGTCGTATGGCCAGAAGGAAACGTACGCATCTTCATTACGGACAACGAAAGAGCTTTAATCAACGCCATCGAGTCAACTTTCAAAGATGCAGAGCATATACTTTGCGGGTGGCATATGGAGCAGCATTTACGTAGCATTTTCAGTACTTGCTTTCCACCGAACAGCGAAGAGATAGGCGAAGCCAAAGCTATCATTAAGCAAATGGTTTATGTTGGTAAAAAAGACGAAGCGACTTTCCAGGCTGCCATTGACGCTTATAAGTGTCTGATCGAAAAAGGTGCTCTTGCGTATGCCAACGAAAACCATAAGCGATCCAACAAAAAGCACAAGAAAACAAAGTCCAAAGCGAAGCATCATGACGACAGCAGCAATAGCGAGAACGACAGAGATACTGAAGATGATGCAACGTCTGCAATACGTTTGCTGGCAAACAAAAAGAAAGAGAAATGATGGACTATCTCAACGGGTATGTTAACTACCTTTATCCAATATTTGACTGAGGCTTTTGCCGAGTTGTGCTCACCAGCTGTATTATATTATATTATATAGCTGTCTTGAATATAAGGAGAAATGGGGTGCTTGTTATGCCGGAAGACTTTTAAACATGGGAATGAGGGCATCATCGCGTGTTGAAGGAACACACTGGCGCATCAAAGATACAATGCAAACCACCGGAAGCTTGTTTAAAACGGTCAAAGCAATTGATCGTGTCATGCGTAAATCGGTATGTACTACACCCTTTGTTTTCGAATTGAAAAGTTAATGTGTTAACAGATATGCTAATCAGAATTTTGTACTAGTTGGCTGATGAAGAGACTCAGTTTTTGCAAGAAAGACATAAAATGCCACTGTATGGAAAGCATGAATCGGCTGCGATGCAAGAGCTCTTTGGCACTATTTCGTTTTTTGCTTTGAATCGACTCCGAAGGGAGCTCAAACGAGCTTGGGATAACTGCGATAAATATCAACTTGACTCAAGCGAGTGCTGGTGTGGTACCACGCTAAACTATGGACTGCCGTGTCAACATAATATCGCACGAAAAGGGTTCAGTATAAGCTTGTCGGATATCCCTGATCGATGGCGTTTGGAATATGACAGAGGTATAATTTTCTGTTATAGTAATACTGTGATTATACTATGCGCCTGTAATATACTTCATATCCTAATATGAGAGTTATTTATCCACAGATAGCTTCCAAAAGGTGTATACTCCTGAAGCAATTGTATTAGAGCAACAGAACATGGTACTACAGAAGCTGCATGATGTACTCTACAATATGCGGTCGGATCAGCAAAAATCCGATTTACTTAGTAGTAACGATGGGACTATCGACGAATATACAATGAGTATCGACATTAGCGACATTGAATTACCAAGCAATGTGAAGACGAAAGGACGCCCTGCTAACACAGAAATGCACGATTACCGTCAAAGTTTGAACTCGATGAAAAGGATAGCCAGCAACGCTTTCAAAATAGAAATGCCAACGAGTCAGAGGAACTCTCCGAAGGCAGCAACACTGAGGATGATAACATCTACATTTTTCCTCAACAGAGGAAAAGAAAGGATCCGGAGATGAACTTCCTTGAAAGCACGAACAAAAGGTACGTGCTCTTCTGATGGAATTCTAGCTAACCAATATTTGCAGCTATCATGATTTTTTGTAACCAAACTAAGTTGATAAACTATTTATTGTAGATCCAAAAAAGATTTTGTACCCAAGCTGAAGTTCTTCGTTCATCCAACCATCCCTCGCAAGTTCATTGAAACAACTGTTGACATTATGTCTGATGGCTTCTGTGGCTTCCGCACAATCGCACATCATATACACGGCAATCAAGAGGCTTTTATGTTGGTCAAGCTACAAATGCTGGAGTGCTTCAAGATAAACAAGGATATATATCAGCAGCACTATGTATTTATGCGTGTAAATTTACAGCGCATTGAAACATCACTATCTTACGCACTTGATGCACCACGACCCCCAGAATCGTGCCCATCGGATTATTGGTTCCTTGCGCCTGACTTTGCACAGATCGCTGCAGACACTTATCAACGACCTCTTGCAATTTATCCAGACAATGATAAGAAAAAGCCAGACTCTGACGAATACGCTTATGAGCCATCTCTAATTTTGCCAATGCAAGGTCCATCGTCCGACACCAAGAATCCTCTCCCCATCATTATGCAGCATCTCAATAACAATCATTGGGTTACCATCGATACAAAAGGACGCATTATCAAGATGGACTGGCCGATTATCAACTCGATGTGTATAAAGGCATACCGATCAATGGGTAATATTGATAACCTGCGTAAAACAAAGTGGCGTTATCTACAGATAAAAAAGCGTGACGACGAAAAGACAGTGCGTGCTGGACCCTTTACACTAGATTAATCATTCTACTACTTCCTGTACAGTAATTCCCTCTCTTCTCGAACACCACTCTCTACATTTCATTGTTATTTGATATATTCTGGCATGTGTCAAACAGCGATGTTGATAAGATTTACTCAATACCTTAAAGGAACATTATATTTTACATCACTTTGATTTATGGCTCTCCCGTTATATGGTATAGCAAATAACAGAACACACCACTTAGGTATACTCATAACCTTGCGGACACCCCCACAAGTATATATTTATAGGATGTGTGTAACCTGATGAGGATTAAAAATAGAAGGGGGTGTCCGTAAGGATTAGAGGGGGGTGTCCGTATCAAAAGCCTTGTGTATAATATACCATTATGTAGCTTAACTCAGTCAATATTATGGCGCACTGCTGAATTCGTTGTAATAACAACATTCGATGGAAGTGGTTTTATGTAGAGCTGAAAATGTCAGACTCGAGTTAGTGGAGCTTTATACAAGCAAAGCAAGTGATAATATTGAATCTTACAAAGCCTTGCTGAACAATGCATAAACAAGCGCGTTGGTTCAACGGCAGTTTAAGTAAAAATGAAGAAAAAGCATGGCGATGGACAGCACAGATACAAATTATCCACACTCTGTTTTTTTGATTATATAGCAAAAGAATTTTTCGTGCCTTTGTTTAGCAATATAGTCTTGCACAAGTTTTGCCTTCTACTACACAGTACTGTAGCACTAGAGAAAAACACCTTCATTGCTTCCGTGGCCCAACTATCTTTACAAAACATCCACTACCATGTACACAGCATGCCCATACAGTAACTTATCCCTTTGCAATTATAGCTTTTTGATATTAACTATAGGCGTCTTGCAATAGGAATCTCTGCCGTAAATTTACACCGTCCACTCGTCTTGAAAAAGTATATAATACACATCGGTCTTTACATTTCATAACAACTTTTTAAAGCTACAAACTGGATGACCTTTTTAAAAAATGCAATATATGTTTATAATGGTTTTAAGATGAAGGGAAAAGGGGTATGCCAAAAAAAGTTTCTTTCAATCACTATCACTATCATCGTCATCGTCATCACTACTATCACTACTACTATTACTACTATCCTTCTTTTCCTCCAGTCCTTCAATACTGAAATCATTATTGTTGTTATCCAATCCATCCTCCTGATCGCTCTTGTCTTCTTGCTGCCGTTCTTTCTTTTTGCGCAGCTTTTCAAGCATATTCTTGGCCGTAGTAAAGACACCACCAGTAGGAGCGCCACAGGCAAAACATTTGGGCGACTTCTTATAATTATCGAGAGCACATTTCTCACAGAAATAATGGTTACATTTTGTCACGACCGGGTCCTTGAACTCTTGTCGACAAATATAACAAGCGAACGGTAATTCTTCTTCCGAGTCGTCGTCGTCATCAGATACAGCATACTTATTTGGATCGGATTGACCAAACTTGGTCTTGTTGCGCATGGCATCTTCCCATTCCTTTTCCAACTGCCAACCCGTCTTGTAATCACCACGATCGTGCAAGAAAATGCAAGAGTCGCCATAACCACAAAATCCAGTTTCTTTGTAATCTTTGCAAATGTCGGGTTGATAGTCAAACCGTGCCGTTACGCGAACGTTGGCTGGTGCTCGTTGCGGACCAACTTGCATTTTGGAATTCATCACATCCTTTGTGCCACTACTACTTGGTGCTGTTGTGGTAATTGTTGCTTTCTTGTTTGCGCTCTTTTTGAGCGCTTCGCTTTCAAGTTCCCATTCTGTTGCATAACGAGTCGCATCGCTTTTCTGTAACTTGGACGATCGATCGGCTGCATAACGAACGCCAATGGCACTTTCTTCTTCTTCATCATCGTCGTCATCGTCAGATAGATCGGCCAAGTTTGTTTTCTTTTTTCTGATTCGACGAGTACTTTGTACAAATGGTGTTGACACTGTCTTGCGTTCCTTGGTCACTACGTGAGACACATCGTCGTCGTCGTCGTCATCGTCGTCATCACTATCCTTTCTACTAGGAGACGGTTTGCGCTTGCGCAGGTTTTTTTTTGTCGCTCGTTTTTTAAAAAATGGTAATTTGTCTTCGGTTCCAGATTGATCTGCAGTGGTGCGTAAGGAGGCATCAGCCATGGTTCAGTTTTAATGTAGAGAGAAAGTGAGAGAAAGTAAACTGTCAACTTTGGACTTGCTTCGAAGTGAGCTCCGATTCCAAAAGCGAAACCAAGCAGCAAAGAGAGAGCCCTTTGGAAAATTCGATTGGTTCGGTAGCCAATGAAAAGCAAAAGCTTTCAGATTTGTAATCTTGTTATATTTTTCTCTTTGACGTTCTTTACCTGGAGGTTTGACGATCTCATCAATAATGAGTCGTGGGATACAGTTGGACTTCTTATAAGAGAAAAAGAGCTACTACATGCAATTATAACAAACTATATGCTAAAAGCACGCTGATGTATGCAGCAGCAAATAAAAAGAAGGCGTCGCATTTGTATGCATACTACATACAGACGAATGTATGTAGTTGATCTCAAACGTTAAAGCAATATCAGCTTGAAGCTGCAAAACAAGTATTAATGCGTATGTGAACCAGAAGAAAGGAACCAGGAATAAAAGTTTGTCCTCTTGATATGTTTTTCCCTGTTTTCGATTTTGGCTTACGTACAGGAAATAAATTTTCGTGACAACCGTTGCCATGTCAACAAATGGAAGTAAACATTATCACCATGACATCCATGGATCAGGTTATACACGTTGTGTTGTTTTAAATAGAAGAATCCCCGGATAACCATAAATTGCTTGAATGTGGGGTTCAGTTATACTGCATATATACAAGCACAAGAGAGCGAGAGTGAGTGAATTAATCAGTTGCGTTCTGCATCAGCACAAACAGAACCATGTGAAAATTTCAATTCCACTCATAATCAAGTCCGTATTAATGATGACAAACGACCATGGATTTCAACTGACTCAGCGCGGGGTACTTAAAAAAGGCTAAAGAGCTGGGTGTGCTCAAAAGGCCATATATATATAATATTCACTTTCCCCACTATTTCTCTTCTCTTTCTCCACCACATACCCCATTTCAACCTTTTTACAACAACAATGGCCTCCCGCTTGCAACAAGTTTCTTCTCACCTTGCTCCCTCTGACAATGTCGCCAACAAGGTTGGTGTCAAGTCGCCTGAGGATGTTGTCATTGTCTCGGCTCTTCGTTCGGCCATCACTCGTGCCCGCAAGGGTGGTTTCAAGGATACTCTTCCTGAAGGTAATTAAAAGAATATTTCACACGAAAAAAAAGGACATATACATACGGAATGAGTGTGAGAGAGACACACACAGAGAGAGAGAAGGAAGTACTTACATGTAAACGGAATTATTAGAAATTCTTTCTGGTGTCTTCCAGGGTGTCCTCAAGCAGACCAAGATTGATCCCGCACTTGTAAACGACATTGCTGTTGGCAATGTCTTGCCTGCTGGTGGCGGTGCTACCAACGCCCGTATGGCTGCTTTGCACGCCGGCTTCCCCGAGACCACCTCCGTCAACACTGTCAACCGTCAGTGCTCGTCTGGTCTCCAGGCCGTTGTCCAGATCGCCACTGCTATCCAGACCGGTTTGATTGAAGTCGGTATTGGTGCTGGTGTCGAGTCCATGACCAAGAACTATGGCGGCGGTGCCATGGCTGCTACTTCCGAAAAGATTGCTGACAGCTGCGCTGCTGCTGCTGACTGCTTGATGCCCATGGGGTAAGGATTTCTCTCTTTTTTTTTAAGTCTGTGATAATGACGATGTGTGGGTATGTGGGTGCGGTAAAGGGAGCTGGTTGGTAATTATGAGAATAATGCGCTTGTGGGAGGATATTTGAATGGATGTGAAAAACTAACTTTAATGCAAACACAAAAATTTTAGTATCACCTCTGAAAACGTCGCTGCTGAATTCAACGTCACCCGTGCAAAGCAGGATGCTTTTGCTGCCTCTTCGCATGCCAAGGCCGTTGTTGCCCAGAAGAACGGCTGGTTCAAGGACGAGATCGTCCCTCTTGAGGCCACTGTTGAGGACAAGGATGGTAACGAGAAGACTGTTATTGTCGACCGTGACGATGGTGTCCGCCCTGGCACTACCCCTGAGGGTCTTGCCAAGCTTCGCCCCGCCTTTGACGAGTCCGGTTCCACCACTGCTGGTAACGCCTCCCAGGTCTCTGACGGTGCTGCTGCCGTCTTGTTGATGAAGCGTAAGACTGCCCAGAAGCTCGGCCTCCCCGTCTTGGGCAAGTACATCACCTCTGCCGTCGTCGGTGTCCCCCCTCGCGTCATGGGTATCGGTCCCGCTTTCGCCATCCCCGTCGCCGTCGAGCGCGCTGGCTTGAAGCTCTCGGACATTGACGTCTATGAGATCAACGAGGCCTTCGCCTCGCAGGCCGTCTACTCGGTTGAGAAGATTGGTGTCCCCATCGAAAAGGTCAACCCCAAGGGTGGTGCCATTGCTTTCGGCCATCCTTTGGGCTGCACTGGTGCTCGTCAGATCGCCACTTTGATGCCCGAATTGAAGCGCCAGGGCAAGAAGCTCGGTGTCACCTCCATGTGCATCGGTTCCGGTATGGGTATGGCTGCCGTCTTCGAGAGCGAGCAGTAAAAAGGATTGAAACTCCCTTGAAAAACAACCAAAAAAGCAGTGTATGAATTAATAAGACTTAACTTTCTCTCACTCACGCAAACAACTACTGCTTCTTTCAATCACATTATTAAATTTCACGCACATTACCCTTCTACCTCTTCTTCCTCCTTTTGTCTTTTAATTGTATGTAAATTCCTCATCAAACTCATCAAATAAGAAAAAGAAACTTCTTTTTTGTATCTACCCTGTTATTGATTTTCGTTTCCCAGTAAAAGAAAAGTAACAAAATGGTTGTCAAAGCCTAACAAACCGGCTTGGAAAGTGGCTGATTGTATCCGCAAGGTGGAGAGCGTGTTTATAACAAGAAAGGAAAGGGTCTGGTGCACAGAACGATATACTTTGTATCAAGCTCACATGCATTCCTTGTATAAAAAAAACCCTCATTGCGCATTAACATATATGTTCTTTACATATGTACTAATCATGCATTGAACGCAACGCGACTGTAGGGGATGCGTTATGGTAAGCGGGTGGAGTCTTAAGGAGAGGGAGTAGTCAATAAGTGGGACTTCTCCTTTTAGAGTAAGGATCCGTTCTGTCGTTGTTGAGACAGCGAACGGGTGCTTGTATAAACTGGGCAACTTCCAATCAACAAGCGCCCGCGAAAACATGGGCGCTGTATGCCCTTACTAATCGCGCGCGCTTTTTGTGTTTGTTGCTACTAATAATCTTTCTATAGAAGTATGTATAGTATAAAAGAAAGAAGTGGCCCTGTCCACTCTAAACTTCTTATTCTGGCCAAAACATGTCAAAAAGCATTTCGGGTGGTACCTTGACCACCAGGCTGGGCCATCTTTTGTCCTCCCACAAAAAACTGACTTTCGAGGCGTAAATTGACCCATATTTAGGCAAAAACAGACCTCTCATGGTGCGAGGCCAAATGCTTAAAATGGTTTTCTCTTTGCGACATACACACAGCCATCACGCTTTATGTCTATCTACTAATAATAATAGATCGGCATATTGAAATTATTATGAGACTGAGCCCCCCCCCCCCACCTTCTTCCTCTCCTTCCTTTTGTCAATTATTCTGTTTAGAAAAAAAACCAAGTGTTCTAGTGCGTTGATGAAGGTCCCGTTACGCAATATATGCTTGTGTTGCCGTTGAATTTTTTTGTCTCTCCGCCCTTTTTGTTCTGGCCGGGTGTACGTTCACATACACTCGCTCTCCTGATCATATATAAAACCCACCAAGATGGCTGCAAGTGCAAGAATTATTTTTCTTTTCGCCTTTTACTCTTTTCATTCTGACAAATTTTTTTCTTTAAAATACGCTGGTCGTAAACAAACCCCCCTCCCTCTCTTTAGCAAACAATAACAGCAACAATAACATCAAAATATGTATCGCAACGTTTGGCTTGTCTCGATTCTCCTTGCTACCTTGATCCTTTGTGCAGCGACATTCACCACGGCTGCGCCAGTGCCCCGTTCGTTAGAGAAGCGGGGTAAAACCTACGAGGGCACAGGAACATGGTTCCTTCCCAAGGAAGAAGGCGGTGAATATGGTGCTTGTGGCCCCAAGGAGAACAACTATTCCATGATCGTGGCAATGAATGCCAAGCAGTACGGCAGCATGAGCAAGAAGAGCAAATGGTGTGGCAAGAAGTTGCGCCTAAAGGGCCCCAATGGCTCTGCTACCGTCAAAGTGAACGATGCTTGTCCAGGTAACAACACACTACCTCTCTTACCACCCAAAAAGATCCTGTTGTAATAATACCTATCTCGATTTAAATGTCTGTGTACTAAAAAAACACCCTCTTTTAATAACACACTCTAGGCTGTGATTACGGCGACCTTGATCTCACTCCCAAAGTGTTCAAAAAAGTGATTGGTGACATGAATAAAGGTGTTGGCAAGATCACTTGGCACGAAGTCTAACTGCACTATGGCCGAGACCCAATTTTGTATACACACCAAAATACAACAACGACCTCATTGTAGTCCTCTTCCTCATCACCACTAACATCGTCACGCTATGTATCATCGTTCCATCGTGAAAACGAATCGTGTGTACATACAGAAAACACCATTTTGTACAGTAGTAGAGCTCATTTGTCCTTTTTTCTGTTCTTCCTTGCAGACTCCCCACCCCCATTCCACTCACTCTTCTGTATATCTTTTTGTATCTCAACAGATAAACTCCCATTCCAATCATTCAATTATCAATTCTACAGCAACACCAAAGCCTTCCGATTATACATCCTCATAAAAGTCATTTCTTTCTTTCCATCATACAGAAAAGCTTCTTTGAAACAGCAAAAGGACTTGCGGGTTACTTGTTTCGTTTTAATTACTTAATAATTGGTAGTGCTGAAATGTATGTTGTGCTAAACTGCACATTCGACTAACAGATAGAAGAGAAGCTGAATCATATGATTGCAATTATGATAATGCATCTAATCAAATTCAAGGGGATCTATTGGAGGAGGGTTTTGCAATAATAACTTTCTTTCTCACTTTTCATTTTGCTGACAACTACATATTCTTCATTTCATGGCGACAAAAATGACTAATAATGCCAAATAAGGCTATATCGTGGAACACAGCCCAAAAGCACGTTCCACCCTTGTTTGTAACGATGACAACCATTATCGCTGTCGATCATCCCATCCAATGAAAATTCTCTCTCTCTCTCTCTCTCTCTCTCTCTCTCTCTTCTCTTCTCTTTCTCTAACCATTTCTTCTTATACAAATCCAAGTGTAATTTACAAACGAAAAGTGATAGATGGATGCAAGCAATTATGGTTTTATTAGCGAAGACTGTTCTTTCCGTCATGAATCTTATTATGTGGGAAAACGCCGCGGCGATGTATTGCAATTTCATGAACTGCTATTCCATAACTATACAATTCAGCAGCAGACAAAACCATTAAAGTGACAGACATTAGGAGAGTGGGAGGTTGAGCAAGTAAAAGAGAGAGCGGCCAACAAAGAACTGCAGTTGCAGTAGTTTAGAACAACCATGCTTCTTATCGAAAAACATGTTTACAAAAAGACAGACCCAACTTGGTTATTCCGCTTATTTTGCACAAGTTTTTTAAAAATCGTATGTAAAGCATTGCTATTACTGAGGGGAAGAAGCATATACAGCATTGGTATATACATTATAAGAAACACATAATATGACATCTTTTCTTGTATACTCCATCATTTATTTAGCTTATTAGATATAG